TGATTTGTTCAGTCACTCGAGAGCTAAATTTTTTGGCTGCAAAATGTGACCCATTTCAAACTCGACGAAGAGTGATAAATTTACATAAATCTTCACTGACCGCTCAGTTTCATAGCTGAACGAAGACCAACTGGCCCGTTATTGTGGCTGTCCAGTGTATTGGTCGTCTCGCACTGCTGGACCCAAATAGCCAAATCGTTCTTCGGGGTTAACATAGGCGTTCAATAATTTATACCATCGTAAATGATTTAAAAGACCCACTTTTTCCTGGCCTAATAAACCCCATGGAAACATTCAGCAATGCTCTCCTTATCTCCATTAGAAAGCAAACTATGATATTCCAAGCAAACTAATTCGTATTGCTTACAATTGAGTTGGCTTATCGTCAAAGCAGTGGCACGGGCTCGCGCCCATTTCGAGCCGATTTCTCTGATTGCACAGTCAAGTGTTTCGGTGTCAAACGCGCGAGTGCAATCTAGCCTCGGAGCTCACTTAGGCGAAAGCCTCACGTGTCCACACTAGTGCTGAAAAAATACGCTCAGAAAAAAAGTTTAAAAACACACGCCAGGCGTTACCGATTCTACTCAATACCGGTTTCTCTGTGAGCTACTTTCGCAAACTCCATAGGACCCCGTACTTACGAGTTACGGCTTTTAAAAGCCCGGCACACGTGCGGAAGAATATCTACTTCTGATTGTCGTCACACGTACTCTCTTTGAAGCCGTGTGTCTGTACATTGTAGACATAATGGGATGCCATCACCACCACCAGCATAGCATCGACTTCTCTCTGCCGGGGGCATTTTTAGAAAGGTGCGAAACAGCCGCCTGACCCTGAATCCGTAATTACAGACAAAGTCAACGACGATGGCATGCCCACGGAGATAGTACACGGTACAATGTTTTCTCGAGGCATCGACCGAGTGTTTTGCTTTACAACGATCGCTTTTCATTCGATCTACAGAGATCTCGAGATTTTTCCTTTTTCCCTCCCAGTTATCTGGTATTCACGGCTCACGTAGTACAAAATCCAAGCTGCTCCGGAACGAGGAACCCGGCATTTGATCGTTCATCATCGGCGACACCTAGGATTTTATTTATACCGGACACTAAAAAAATTAAAATCCTCGATCCCGTCTCCAGTCGTTTCGTGTAATTAAATTCTTTTTGGCGCGAGTACCTCGTTGAAAGCTCAATTAGTATCAATAACAGTAACTTTTCCATCGTGCACACATACATGCATGTAGTACACGCTCTCTTTGCTCCATCAGCAGCTCGCACCGTCTCACGGCATCGCCTACCCATAATCCACTCGTGTGTTTTATGTGCAACCCCAAGTGCATTGTGTCCTCGTGCGATGCGCATCTCATGACTCGTTCCCCCCCCCCTTTTTGGTAAGCTTACGCGAGACTGCAGGAACCTGCGCCTTCCCCGATCTCAATAACGATTGTCACGTTATTAATTACAAGCGCTCGCAATTAGCGGCTGCTCCACGGGATGTCTCACTGGTACGGCTCTTCTCGAGCTCGAGAGCGACCGGTCAGCAACTCCGGGGAGAGAGAAAAGATCATCGTCGGAAGATAAGCGTGTACTTGCCTCGCGGTGAAAGGGGACTGGGTTGAATATGGGTCAATGCGACGGACCCATTCGAACGGTCAGCCGTACACAAGCGTCATCGTCGAAAGGGCAACAATCGCCGTACTGACTCCCTGGTCTCGTTTTTCCAACAACAGGGTGAACAAACTCCGTCAAAGACGAAATTTTACCAATACACTGCCGTGCTCCCTCTCGCTCTGTCTCTATATTCTGGTCATAATCTGGGATTCCCTGGCTAACCGATCCTTTCTGCCTCCGAAGCCTTCTCATCCACGATAATTGCGCTCATTTGCACAGCTATACATAGCTGTACAACGTATTCGCCTCGTACCACCATAATCCGTACGGCATCACGGTGTAACGGTTTCTCGCGCGTCGCGCACAGCTGGGCACGTTTCGCGCGGCCAGCCAGTCCGCTCTGACTGGTCCGATTTATGAATCGGCACCGATCCAACTCTAGACCGCTGGTGTTCCATGTTTACCTCTTGGCTGTGGAAAAATATTCTGCTAATGCTCGCTTTGCCATCTGAAGTGTGTGAGCGTATACTGATTGTACCCGAGCATTATCCATCTCTCTGTGTGTAATGCATGTCGCAGAGTTTTCACTGGCCGCTGCTGGGCATTTCGATGGAACTAATGACAGCGTTGATTCATACGAGAGTGCTTGTTTAATACTTTTTTTTTTTTACATCATTTGGAAAGAAAAAAAAAAGTGATACAAGGGGCATTTTTTCTTGGGGATTTTTCTCCGTACGGACCAGCGAAACGAGAACACTTGTGATGTACGAGGTACTTTGCTGAACGTTGCAATCCAATGGTATAATCGCGTATAATCGCAGATGAAGGCTCGAGCTTGTAGAGATACACAGTTAGGAGTGGGTTATACACAAGGGTGCAATTACTTTTAGAGCGATTGCTGATAAGATTTTGCGAATATGGGTTTTTCTTTCGTTTGTATATTAATACACGTGAGCTTTAGAAGAGCCAGGCTACGCTTGCACCGGCTACTTGAACATTGTATTTTTATTTTAGTAAGAATACTTGATCCTTTGTTTTTTACTATTCATTCGAGGAAATCATTTTGTGACTAAAAATGCCTCTTTCGTTCCTCGAGAGGACTATTCATTTTTCCAAACTTTTTTGCCATGACATATTTCCACATCACTGCAGTTCGTACACGTATACAATATATCCATGAAATGAAGTACAAGTAAACCCACACACTAGGTACTCATGTAACATTATAACAATCATGCACGCGATGCTTTCTCTGTTATTTTTTCTCCTTTGCGTCAACGCCAGAGTTCATAATAATACGGAGAGCAATACTTGGAATTCAGAAAAAGTCGCGTTGGCAAGGCATCATTCCCATGCACGTATGGATGGAAGCAGAGCACCCACGATCCAGTGGAATGAAACCTTACTGCACTGCGTACAGTCGGTCTGTTTGCATCTTACGTCAGATGTATGAGTACACGTGGAGGTACACACGTGCGCACTCAATGAGGGAGGATCACAGACAAGCCAGGCTGCTATACGTTACTTGTTAGCTGTTCGAAAGAGAATCGTGTAACAGGTGGTACGTGCATGTAAAAGCATGGGAATTTTCTCTGCTCGGAATCGTCATGACAGGAGGTTGGCACATTGATGGTGAAGATGATGATGATGCTGTTGTTCGCCTGATTTATGGGACGCGGTCATTTCAACCACCTACTCGTTGTTACCTACTTTTTCCCTGCTGGTATTGACGCAATTAAATTGTACGTATTTACGAGCTACTATACTTTCAATGGCGTTATTTTCCATTAATTGTTTAATAAGCTGTAACCTAAAATCAGAAAAAAAGTGAAATCATGGAACTTTTACACACCTAATCCACATAACAAAAGTGTTATATCGTGACATGATTTTGTTCCAACCAATAATGAGAATGCAATAGTACTTAGAGGCTGAAAATTTTATATTACATAGTTTTAAAGATGTAAGAACTTTATACCCCAGGATTATTCGAGTAAGAATTAATTAGAGGTCAGCATGTAATTGAAAGTTGTTTTATTTCATCCTTAATAGAACCTAATTAATACATGTTTCTCTCTAGATTAAAATTCAACAGGTTATATGTATTACTCATGGATTAGTGTAGCTCTGCCATGACTACTGTAAGATTTAAATTTAGATGTACTAATTTCGCAAATTTATAATGGCTGAAAAAATTGACCTTAGACTACCCACTGATCATCAGGGAAACGATCTCTTTAAAGGAAACACGATAATGATCGGAAGCTCATCGATTACGAAGCAAAAGCGTCCGATTCCCAACGCTCCTCTAGATAGCAGAGACAGCAACACACGCGCAAAAGTACAAGCAAAGTACACACGCATCGAATCGAGCCGTATCGCAGTCTCACGCTTCGTGGTGTGAACGAGATCTCGTAGCGATCTGCATGGCGCTCCACACAATACGCGCGTACGAGTTAACAAGCTAACGCTTCGGCTTGAGGCCGTTACCTTTAATTATGTCATCCATTGTATCTCTTTTGGTGCGCGTTATGAAGGAAAATTATTTTCTCATGGATGGAAATCCCTCGCGCATCGGTGTTAACGAAAACAAAGTATAAACGCAATGCTCGTGCCTATCAATAACTGATGCTTATCCGTTGATTTTCTCTGTTGAGCAATGGATGTTGCTTTTTTTTTTTTTTTTTTACATACATTTAAGTGTTGACAAATTAATTAATTGTTTGAAATTTTCTTCATAGTCTTAGGCGGTAAGTTGTACGTAAAATTAATCAAACATGAAACAAAACGGGACAAGAAAATTTTACAATTGCAAATGACGAGGAAGAAGGAAAAATCCAACTCTATTAATGACCCTGAATACATTCCTGGTGTTGCACAGACTAATATTATTATAATAACCATCAATCTCAAATAAAATATCCCAATCGAGTTCACTCCGTGAAAACAAGGCGACTACGGCATTCCACGAAAGATAAAATCCACATCTTGCCCGTGTATAGGATATATCATGGGCTGAAAAAGCCAAACTATAAATTAAACGATCAATGAACAACGAATATCCTCGCATACCTCCCGGGTACCCCATAGAGAGCTGGGAACACGCCTTATCTCGATTTTCTGCAATTACAGATGGAAAATACCTTTCCGTTGCTATACCCAAGAAACCCAATATTGCATTTACCCCCCTGAGTGTATATCCTCGTATTTGCACTGACCCCATTATCCTCAATCGCTGAAAAATAAAAATAAAAAAACACCCTCCAGTACACAGTGTTTAAAAAAAAAAAACAAAGTAAAAACGTATTTTTTTTTTTTTAATCAAGTGTTGGTAGATTTAAAAATGTAAACTAATGTTCCCCTTGTGTTTTTTTTGTGTTGCAGAATATGCTGATAAGGAAATCGGTGGCCGTGTGGCTCGCCGTCCTTCTCTTGTGCCATCTTCGACTAACGGAGTCACAGGTGAGTTACCTCTCTCTCTCTTTCTCTCTCGTTTATACATGAATACCCATGCACGAAAGATACTCGCATATAATGTCACGTACAAGTTTAACCCAACAACGCACTTACACACATCACACGGTTTACCAGAGTCCAGGGGGACGGACATACCCGCATGTGTACACGCACACGCGTATCTCGGAGCGACTGTATGTATTCGCGCTCTCCCATAACTGTCTCTCCCTCTCGCTTTATGCCCTGTACGAAGGAAGTGTTTCCCAAGCGAGTGAGCGCGTACACGCACACACACAGCCGGGAGGCCTCTCCAAAGTTGGCCTCTCAAAAACAGGTTTTTGCTATTTTTTACTCGCGTTTTCTGCCTCGCCGTGCACACGCGCGCATAAAACGGCCCCGTTGGCGGGCTCACAACATTCCTCTCCTCTCTCTCTCTCTCTCACTCAACTTGCCCGGCCAGCTTTTGCGTGTGTTCCTCTCATCTCTTTTTTCTTTTTCCTTCCTGTTCGACAACAAATGTCGTTCGGGCGATCGTAAAAAAAGACCTACGCATAAAACTGCCCCGGCGTGGAATATAATGTACAAAGTGGAGCCGAAGTATTGCGCAATACGCGTGGAAAGACGGGGGAAAAAAGCTCCAAGGATTCGACTGCGATTAACGGCCGGAAATGCCGATTTTTCGCGATTATCGGCGCGATTGCACAAACTCCATAATAAACACGGGATATCGATTTTCCCCGCGGAACTTTGGCTTTTCGCAAGCGGGGATAGGCTGTACAAGGGGAAGAGGAAAAAGGACCGTAGGTGGGAAACTCCTCTCCATGCGACAAAGACGACGCAATTAGGCGAGCCGATCATCCGTGGAGAACAATGGAACGGCTTCTCGGGTAATTTGCGTCCCAGCTGACACGGCGTAGGCACGACTCTACACGTTATTACATATTATATACGTTTAAGCTCAGTCACTCTCTCTATCTCTGGCCTTTTTTTTGCTGCTTCATCCTCGTCGTCACTTTCGTTGGTTGCCTTACCTTACACGGACATTACCATTTTTCATTAGAATCATACGCCCAAAGAGCTAGAAAGTATATAGTATACGCGTACCAAACGGGATATTGTGCTCTGCGCTCCTTTACACAACGAACGTACAAGTGTATACGCTTTGGGAAGTTATTGTAATCGTGTACTTACGCGCGTTTGTTCCATACATGGGGGGGAGGAAAAAATGTTGCTCTCGCATGGTACTGATTGTTGTTCTTTGATTATTTGGCGTTTTCAACGAAATACCTCCTCGTGATTTGTCTTTCGGAAATTCCGAAGAAACGTTTACGCATCGTTGGTATTTCGATTGTTGTCGTGGCCGTTTTTGTGCAGGCTTTTGAAAATATACTCATGCACCATTATTACGATCTCAGCAGTACTTTTCTATGCATCGTTTTAAAGTGGAAGATGATTTACGGGTCTTTTGAAATAAAAACGCCGAAAGGATGACTACTAGAAAATATCCCGATCGCCATAAATGCCGATTTCGATAGTAAAACTATTTTTCTTTTTTTTTCTCGTCCTCAATTTATCGCTTTTCAATTTATTCATGTGTCCCTCGAGCACTCGAATGTCCAGTGATAAAATCGTCGTTAAACGCTGAAAAGGTCCTCTCGCCTCGACTACCCGCTCTCAAGATGGCCGATAGGTCTCTCGGAGGCCTCGTAAAGACTCGCCGTCCGGTGAAAGTGCATTTCTGAGCGCGAACTCGCGCACCGACGCACCCGCGAAATAGTGCGCTGCATAATAGAGCCGCGGCAACGTTGACGCTATAGGAGAGAAAATCGGCACAAAAGTATCGAGCGAACGTGCCTTAATTGCTTGCCGATTATCAGTTATTGTGTACCCGAGTGCAGTAGAAGAGAGTAGAACTGCTTAATCAGTAGTTGTTTCTCTAGGTGGGGTGACGCGTGGTTATTGTTATTGTTGGTGAGGAAGAGAAATCGGTTGTAAAACTTTCAGTTGCGTTGCGTAAGGACGCGTTTCAATATATGCCCGTTTGGGCGTCTAAAGTGTGTATATGTTAATTGATGCGTGAGTAAAACGATTTTCATGCATACTGTACGGCTTGGTTTTTTTTTTTTTTTTTTTTTTTAATTGCGTTTGCATTGGACATCTGATGTAAATTATATGTATTAGATCCAGTTTTAATTTTTGGATTTAAATAAACTGGCTTTCTAGATTTGATATGTTACCAAAGAGAGGACCACTTCATTAAAGTCACGCTATGTATTTGGTATGCTTTAGGAATTTATTTAAAATACTAATTTTAACGGATGTAGCTCAAATGAATCGAATGCTCGAGTTTATTAACGTGACTTAGTCGAGGCTGTGGTGAGATCCGATCGATGGAAGAAAAATTTACCGATTTGGTACTTCTGCTTGGATGATGAGATACAGGGTTTGAATGAAAAAATGCAGAATAACAGGTTTTTACTGTTTTCCATCCTATTACTCATATAATGTATCCTCTTACTTATATATCCGAAGAAGATGAACCTGTTACAAAGTAGACGTCAAATATATGGTAGAACAGGGTGATACAGATAAAAAAATATTTTAAAAAGATACAAGGATAAAAAATTTAAAGGAAATAATACAGGTACAGGGTGACATAAAACATATTGAAGGATAATGAAATTGACTATCTACCCTCAAACAAAATAATAAATAGTCTACAAATCAGTAAAGCTAGTGCAAAAACTTGATGGATTTCTCATGTATGTGGTACCTCAGAGAAATATTTATAAACCCATACAATTTGAATATCGCACATAGTTGATTGATATGTTCATTGGAGTATAAAAAACTTTGATACACGATTAAAACTGTACGAACAAATGGTCATAAATTGCAATGTAAATGTCAGTACAAGGCTATTTTTACTAACATGAACTATTAGAACTTTCCATGGCATGAATTTGCGTATCAGACTAGATTTCGTAATACATTGTTATTGTTACTGATTGATATGGTGTAAGAAGTAATCAGCTCGCGTTCAAAGTAACAAATGAAAAATCAACACTTATTGAGAAATAGTTTCTTTTTCATCCAATAGTATTCAAAGCACTATTTCTTGCGATAAGAAATTGTCAAATTAACGAAAAAAGCTGTAGGCTTATAGGAAGTAGACATTATCATCGGTTTATGAATTATTTGATATTGTCTTTTATTACTCCTCAAGAAATAATTGTTCAAGTCCATGATACCGTGATTGGAGATCACCGATTAAAGATTATATCTTTGATCAGTCATGTTATGAAAATCTTAATCAAAGGTGTATTTAAATTCTGACTGATTGTTCGAGCATAAAAAAGTTTCTTGACAAATTAGTATAACATTTACTAATAGTTAATCAAAGTAAAAGGCTTTGAGACTAAACAAGTATTTTATATTTCCAAGGACGGAGAAATTTGGCATTTGGGCAAAATAAAGTTTTTTTTCAATAAACGGTCAATCGATCGTCAAGTCTAGTGAGAATTTATATTCTATTTTCCGGTGAACGTCTGTCATTTCATAAAATCTACAAGAACGCATTCTCAAAACTATCATTGAACAGATGCTTGGATGCTGGAATAAAAGCAAACAAGTGTCCCACAAGTATTTGTCGTAATCTCGAATAGAAAACCATCGTCTGAGTTTCTGGATTTACCGATACCCAACGTAATATGCACAGTGGAGTGTATATTTGTTGGAACGAAGAAGGGCTCTTAATTAAGCCTACACGTCGACTCTTCGTTCCAGCTCCATGAGATTTTGGTACCACGCCTGAATAGATCATAGAAGTACCGATCGTAAATAACACTCTTGTCCCTATTTTTCTATTCACGTACCTCTAATTCACTCGGGCACGCGAGAGCGGAATGTTAAGCACACAACGGGCGTTAAAAGGTGGTACTAGGGTTCTGGCATTTCGTTGCCGGTTTGAGCGAGGAGGTGGTCACTGCCGTGGCTGCGCCTCCTTCGATGGAATGCGATAACCCGTTATGTCATTTACGAGGCACGGGCAAGGCAAGAGAGAAACCGGCATTGGATGAGAGAGGGCGAACCGCCGTGTCCGTACACACCATACACCCAAATAAAACTTACCGATTGTTGCACGCGCATACCCGCACAAGCAAATATTTTTAAGCCATTTGCAATTGTTGGTGCTTATTGCATATCATCATCAGAAGTGCCTAGGTTGGTAACGCGAGTAGGCGTTTTTATAAACTAGCATTCTTAGATAAGATTTTTGTTTTGATAAGCTTAATGCTGTGCCGATCAAACGAATCGACTAACTTTCTTTCGGCTGTCACTGCTTGTACGAGTATCGTCAGATAATCTGGAGAAAAATTAATTTCATTTTAAATCTGCGAAAAACAGGTTTCGAGCGCTATGTCTTTTGATAAGCCATTAAATGGTAGTCACTCGGATGATGAAACCAAAATTATTTAAGTTATAAATAAATGTCGTTTCAAAGTATCTTCAGTATCAGGTTGAATTTACATTTCTCACGTCTTATGTAATCGATACATCTGATCATTTTTTTACCATGATATCCAAATCGTATGACTATGCAGTGTTTAATCGTGCGAAATCGGTAAATAACCCTGGTAATTAAAAAAAAAAAAAAAAAAAAACTTGTACCTGAAATAAAAATTTTTCGTGGTTAGAATAATATTAGGAAAAAAGAATTGCCACTGTGTTTTTTATGAACATTGTCCACCAGGCTTGCAGTGAATCAAATCGTAAATCCAAGCGGTAAAAAAATTATTTATGCCATTGCACGATATGCCACGCTCAGGAATTCCAACCCTTACGGCGAGTAATCTGATTGAGCGTCAAAAAACTAAGCACTTGTAGGAAAAACCTGTCAGTTCGAGCTCCGAATATCAATAAAACCGTAATCCAGGGAGCGTAGAAGTATAAAACGGAAATCAGCAACACCTCCCGAAGCGAGAATTCTTCCCGCGAGGAAAAATAGTCTTGCGCGCACCCACTTTGCAAAAACACGCGGCATCGCCCAAGAAAATTCCGCTAGCCTATCCTGAGAGAATTGCACGTGCTGGAAGCCCCACATTGGTTGTACACGAGCGATTCTGGGCTCGGAAAATCTCGAGGCGAGTTCTACACATGCACAACCACGTATAGCTGTACCCGTAAATATGTGTTATATAGAAGAGCAATGGCTGCTGGACCTCGCGATCGGTGCAATCTTTGTACTTTCACTGCTGCACACAGATGAACGCGCATGCACATATACATGTGTACACGTACAAAGTCGTGCATACCTTCTTATGGGTGTACCTATGGTACGTGAATGCTGTGCGGCTCTGAACAAGTGTCCGCTTCGCGAGTCTAACGCTCTAATGGGTGGCTCACATTTATTTATCGTTGGAAAACGCGAGCTGAAATTTACCTGCCCCTTCTCCAAATTGAGTTTCGTGGCTTTTTTTTTTTCTCTTCTTGCTGCTGCTGTTGCCTGTATACCTGCACCGAAAGAGCCGCAAAGTCACGCTTGGCGTTTTCATTCAGCCGAGAAATGGAGAAACACAAACCTGCTACTGCCATTCACCGCTCGCAGGGAGCTTTGATACCTAATGGGAGACCAAACGGCTTGGATCTCGTACACATTCAGTGGTAGAAAAAAAAGGGAGGCCAGTTGTATTAGGTCGAATCTGGCGATGCGAGTTTACAAATCGTTGTGAAACCGGTGTTCAAACACATATAGTATTGGTAGAGCAGTCCATACAGGACGGAGGAGGCTCGTCGACGATTGGGGAAAAGCTGAACAAGGCACCGGCCAAGCTGGTATGTGCCAGAGTAAGCAGATGTTCTTGATCTTGAGCCTATATCACCACAACTGACCACGCGTGTTTGAATTGGAGATCGATTGGTTGCTCTCAGCAGTCGGTAGATTGGATGCTGTTGGTCAATTTGGCTGAGAGCCTCACGGTACTCTCTATGGGGGAAAAGGGAAACGTATGAAGGGAAGGAAGGAATTTGTTTGTTATCCATTTCAATTTGCAATGATTCTACGGCTCATTGGTCTTACGGTAGATAAGGGACGATTTCTTTTGTTCCGCGGACATTGGCTTATATTAATTATTTCGTTATTTGATCGTATAGCGTTGGAAAAAGAAGAAGAGGAAAAAACAGCAAACGGAACAAAAAAAAGGATCCATGGATCATGTGTGCACATAAAACTAGCGGTTCTTACATAAATTAGCATTAGGAACACGCAACTGTGGCATTCGGTGTAACAAATAAATGGACGAGCGTACGTACAAGTAATGAATAGTACCTTTCGCAAATATTTACTTTTTGGATTACTCTTCCGTGGACTTAGCAAAGCATGTACACTTTTATGTCTGAGTTAGCAAGTTACACAAATGGAGAATAAAACGAAACGACGCTTCGGATGAAATGAAACCGTATATTGTCGTCATGATATACCATGAGTGGAAACTTTTTCTAATTGGAAGCACTATGATGCAAGATGTTTCATTGCGGGAAAATAAATAAATATCATCTCTTCGTAGACCCCTCAGAAATCAAAACAGAGACATCATCAACCCCTCAATCACCAAAGAGAAAATCACATCTTTCTACTTGTCCGCCACATCTGGACAAACGTAATCTCGTCACGTAACATCATCCTCTCGTTAATATTATAAAAACTTACGAACCAATCAATAGTGACAGACGACGGAAAACAGTGTACCGGCCGTATGTCCACGCAGTTAATGTAAGCGACTCCGCGTTATATCACAAAGGCATTTGCGTCGCGGTTCACGGGAGAAAGCTATACGAGACACTTTTCCTTCTCAACGTCGATAGACGTGAAGGAAAACGCGAAGGAACAGCCGAGGCAGGGTTGGAATAGGCATTCCTTGGACGACGCGTGCGTGTATGTACAATCGCCCGAGCGAGGAATTCGGTAAAGAGCCGGCGTCGTCGCTATGGCCTATTATCGTGCGCCTGGAAGCGGTGCGTGAAAGTACGCGTGACACCGATTGACAGTGGTTGGTTCTGCATCGTGAGCTCGAAAGTCTTTGTTGGTTTTTGCATCCGAGCCATTGCATGCATTTGAGTTGAACGTGTGGGAACTGCTTGATTGGGAATTGAAGGTAGAAGGGTTAAGGATTCTTCATTTTAATAATGCTCGGATCTTGCCAACTTTTCACGCGAAACAACAGGCTAGCAGGGTAACCAAACCACATTATAATTCATCAATAATAGTTAGTTTCACAGCCACGGGTAACAAGCCAGTATTAGGAATCAAGGAATAGATACACGCAAGAAGGTTTTAGGTAAACAACTACATCTCGTAAAGACAATGCTGGAAAATAATTAAAATACGAGATGATGTTAGATTAATTGTTGAGATTTGTTAAAATCAGCTATCTTATTATAAGTATATAATTTGTACTATTTGAGGGATTATGTATTTTTAAATTTTACACGTCAAATAAAATTATCTACATGATAAATCCATGACTAGAAGCTCACAATCAATAATTTCGTAATATTCATTAGATCATCTAGATCACATTACGTTACTTTACTCCTTTGGGAAAGTAAACATCGAATCAACTAAAACAATCCATGATTCGTAGTGATCGGTTAAACGTTTCCTTTTTACTTTAATGACGTAACTCGTTGACTTTAACGTATTACACAACCAATAACTATAAATCGCGTGCAGTGTCTGCAACCAGGCATTTAATTCGATTGCACAATCTTTTTTCCTCTTCTTTGAAACCCGTACACCTATAAAATTCAAAAAAAAAAAAAAAAAATCAGACATATCAAGTAAACTTTAAAAATATCCATGCCCACTTACACTCCAACATACCTAAATAGTCCACATGAATAACTAGCTATGTATCATCTGTTACAGGTCTCGGCCACGAACGTCTTCACCTGCCCGAACGGTGAGTATTAAAATTTTCCCCCTCTTTTACTTCTTCTCCAAATAGTCCCTTCGTAATAAAAAAAGATGTCGGCAGGTAGGCTGTACTACTTATACACTCACATATCCACACCTAGTATTGTTTTGTGCAGCCAAGCGTACCCAAGTATATTTATGAATCGGCTTGGGACGAACAAGGTGCAAGCGTCACCGGGTCTTCCTTTTGTCCTTATTCTCTTACCTGCTGCCACTACGACTAATAATATATTTCCGAAAAAAGGGCCAACCCAAAAGTGTATCTTATTTAAAATGCATTTTTTTTTTTTTTTTTTTTTTTCATTTATTTCTCTGGCCGTTTTCTTTCCAAAAATGTCACAGGTCCAAGCACTACTGAAAGAAAATTTCTTGTTTTTGAGATATTAAAAGGAATTTCACGGGGCCAACTGGAGACCAAGTATATATAGAATAACCGAATACTCGATCTCAGTCGAAAACATCAGTGGGTCTTTAGCCACAAAACATCCTTGATACGTGAAAATTTCTTTCAAATTTGAAATCGCCTAAATTTTTTAAAATTTATTTTCCGTAGTTGAGAAACATTTATAACTGAAATATCCTCAACCATGGAAACGAGAAAAAATCCCTCAAAGATAATGAAACAACCATTACATTCGTTCCTTGTAAACCCTTTGGGGATACTTTTTAATTCTTGGTGACTGTCATTACACGATACTTGCACAATTTACGCGGTTAGGCAACGATTCACCAGCTGACTTGCACTTTTGTGCAAAACCTGTGTAAAATGCGTCAAAGTATATGCAGCAAGATAAAGAAAGATACCCAAGTATGTCCTCGTGAGGAAGCTCATGCTATATTCCTTGCATGAAATTCACGTAAAGCTGGTAAATTATGACCATCCCTGGTGTATTAAAAATATGGCATCAACATAATCATTTATTCAACGGCGTGGAAAGAGCTATTTACAGAAGAAAATCAGCAGAATTGAATCAAACAATGGATGGTTGCAAAAAAAAAAAAAAAAAAAAGGTGGACTAGAAAGAAAAAAAAAATCTCATCACACGCCGGCTACGCGTATTAATTAATTAATTAGCCGAGCAGCGAGCGAATCCGAGCGAGTCCCCACAATGGACGCCACGGCAGGCACAAAGCTGCAGCTTCGGTAATAACCTCTCGCGCACGTATGAAGACGGGGCGCCTCATCTACCACCTCTATCTTCTTCTCGCGACGAAGAAGAGGGGGAAAAAAAGTACTTAGCCTCCTCTCGTGTACTTACTCTTGCATCAGGTACTTTCTGACGCACGCGTGTGTATATGTATATATACATATGCCGTGCAACGTATGTACATTGTACAGAGACGACGGGGTTAACGGCACCACGAGAGAACAGAGAGAGAGGAAGATCCCCGGCTTCGCGGATACCTACCTGTATATTATATACTTGCCTGTGTCCGTATGTATGGGTATACCAACGTGTACGGAGCTCGGCAACCTACATAATTGCGAGGCGGCTGCGGTGTATACGCGCAAAAGTGGAACGATGCTCGCTAACGAATGCTCGAATTCCCGGCATAGCATATAGAGGCTCGCTATGCGCTTACTCATTTCCGCGTCGCGGGCGCTGTACGTACACAGCGCTTTTCACCTCTCCGCTCGAACTTTTCAGGGCTATGGCTAACTGCTCCTGCTCTGTTCAACACTTTCGTACTTATACCTCTGAGTGTACACACACACACGTTAGGTGCATCCATTAGCCTACACGCGGAAGAGATTCGACTCGGTCACTCGTGCGAAACTTTATAATTCCTCTCGAGGATTATGGACATTGGGGTACGGTCGTGTACGCGTGCAGATGCATTATTACCCGTACGGTTGTTGAAGGAGCTTGCAGAACGGAGTTTATTTTTAATCTATAGTGGAGGTGGTGATTATCATGTTTATGACCTCGAGTCCGTGAGGTGCGGCTCGTTGGCGAGATATTTTTTTTGCTTTTGGTTACCACGGGGTTACATGGAATATAGTTTTTGGACGAATAAAGCCGTCAATATCTCTTGTTGTTGGATGGGGACGCACGTCTCGACAAAATTACAATTTTTTTTTTTTTTTTTTTTTTACCGAGTTACCGAGTTTCACGATTTTCTTCCGATTTTTTGCCGATACTTCAAAGAGTAATTCTGGTCTCGCTTTTGGATCATGCAAAATGATAAATTACTACAAATTACAGTTTCAAATTCAACGAAAACATGTTTGACAGTGACCCGATGTTTCAATCGTCGTCTGCGTAAAAACCACCCATAAATTAAATTATCTCCGTTTGTCACTCGATCGGCATATTTTTTGGAAAAATTTTGAAAAACCGTCACGATCATTAAAAATTACATAAGAAATTCCCCAATTCCCAGATGAAGTCGAAATGAATTCAAGAAAGAGGCTGTAGCCCAGCTAAAAAAAATGAAAAGAAATCTGTCGAGCGAGGCACTCTTTCACGCGTGCGCGCATTACCAAAAGGTCGATCACCTTGACTCTCATCGACGTAGCGTCGCACTCTCCTCTCCCTCGATCTCCCGCTGCCTCCAGCGGTGTAAGCGTGCCACCTCCCCGGCATCATAATTCCCGAGGATTCAGGTGACACGGATCAGTTTCTCGGAAGAAGACAGCCCGCAGACGAGAGGAGACGCCGCAGAAGAAAGAAGCCGTCGCGCGAAAAAGAGGAGAGAGCTCCGATAGCAATGCCGTCCGACCACATGAATCCATGTATGCCATACAGCGACCAGTTTCTACTTGAAGTGCCAGACAACGACTCGGATGCCAGAGAGACATGCAGATGCTATCATCATATAGTCTTATCCTAACGTGTATGGTTGTACGATGACCAGTTGGGGTACTGCGCCTAGCCTGGAGAGTTCAATGCCTGTAGGTAGTGTGTACTAGAGATCTAGATTTTTAGGAGACCATTCGAGTATTTCAAAGAAATTTCAATGTTACAATGCACAGAGCTATAAGTATGACAAGATAATCCAAAGTACAGTGTGTCTCAAAGACGTGATGGTGTGCGTATATAGATATCACGATGATGAGAAAACCAATTAAATTATAAAGATCTTGAGGGATATTGAAAGATCGGTATCCGCGACAGATTTACGGGGGTTTTCGTGAAGAATTGCGTAAAAGAATAATAATTGTTATTGCAGAGTAACGGTTTGTTATATACGTATGCGCATACAAATGGTTGTAATGTGATGTCTCTTGTGTAAGACAGTCAATTAGGGGGGAAAAAATATACACTCTTGGTGGAATACAGTTATTACATTAGAGAAGTTAATTAGACGGTCGCAGTATAAAGAATCGCTATTCTTGATCTGCAGAAACTGTTTCAATGAGATGTACACAAACGCGACTTTCCGTGGGATGAAAAAAAAAAAAAAAAATAAGTTTGCTAATCGGAAAAAAGCCATTAGCATCGATATTTCCAAGCGAGCCCAAGAAACGTATGAGAATAGCATCCTGGCGAGAGAAAGCAAGTTCCGTGGTAATGGAACGCGACAGCGAGGCAAAAACCAAGCGGCGCTCCAATAATTGCATTCTAGCGCGCGAGCCGTTTCCTCCGCCTCGTCAACCTCATTAGTCCACTTGTTTCTGCGATACTTTTGCACGTGGTCGCAAAAATCCCTCACGAACGTCAATCCACGGATCCCCGTCTTCATTGAAATCTACAGTTCTTTATTATTTTTTTTTCTTCATCCGCAGATCAACCGTAATAACACGCAATGTTCGTCAAACCGTCACAAATATTCACCACAAAAATGAAGAAACACGTCTTTTTTTTTTTTTTTTTTTTCAAAAAGACCAAGCCGCGCGTACGTTGCCCCGTTGATTCTTGGCCGCGGGCAACTTTTTCTCCCGCACAGCCATATACACCGCCTCGCGTGCAGCTGCCAAGACACGCACGCGCTCTCAGCGCACTAGAAACGATGGAGGTCAGAGGCACGAGGCCGCCGATCGGTATGAGTGTCTACTGCCCGCCGGCTGTGTGTACTCTGGAGATCTCTCCGACTTGGCAGAGGATCATACCTGCGGGATAATATTCTCGCCAAGTTCCGAGGAAGGGTACACTTGGGGCTATCGCTCGGTGAAGTCGATGAATGTTATTACGAGGAGAGGAGCCTCCCGATGAAAGTCCTTTGATGGAGGAACGGGGAGTCCTCGGTTATACGTGTGCAGGTCGATTTGTTTTATTAGCTCGTTCGGAAATTTTGATTGGAAAGTTGTTGTCATTATTGCCTAGGTGTAGTTATATCCTACATGAGAAACTCGATGGATGATGGTCATTTTCATTGCATAGGCTATGGGATTTTCTGAAGGAAATGAGACGTGCTCATTTGGTTGGAACGAAATTTTTGTGGTGCCTTGCTTGAGCTCGGAAATGTTACTGTAAAACAAAATGTGTATATCTTGCAATAGCAGCCGTGTCAGTTGTAGGTGAAAAAAAAATCCGGAACCGCATCTACGTATAAAATAATAAAAACAACGCAACACACTCCCTTCTATTGTGTTAAATCAACCTAGTGGTAAAGAAATAAAAGGCTCCATCAATAATTCAGAAGAAAAAAAAGATTCCTCTTCCTCATACTTCTTGCTCCAACTGCGTAAGCGTAAGCCGATGGCAAAAAAAAATATCCTCATAGTTCAGCACCGGCAGCATTGCTGACCGCACAAAGAAATGCAATAAAATCATGGCTGAATCCTCCGATATGTTTATGTCCGCAGGATGGGAGCTGAGAGGCATTCACTGTTACAAATTCTTCAACATCAGACATTCATGGGAAAAGGCTGTGGAACTATGCAGAAGGTAATTCCTTTCCCCTTATCTTCCTCCCTCTTTCTCTCCTTCTTTGATAATCTCGAGCTATTTTCGACTCCACTCTCTATATACTTATTGTATCGACGCACAATATGCGCAACGCCACCGGGTTCCCACGCATTGCATCGTCCGCACCACGTATATGGCTTAGACTCATGGTCCGGAAGCGGTTTTTTTCTTTTTTTTTTTTTTTTATTTATAAATTTTATCCTGATTAAGTACTCACATCACGACACGGTAATTGGCCACGCATAATACGCTCATATAATGTTAACAGGTACGATAATTAACACGTTTGCGCGCTAAAGTTTACGTTAACATGTCGATGCATCCTCGTTTGGCCCATCCACCAAAAAAAAGTGAAGAATTCGATCTAACTTGAGAACATGCATCACTAAATCAAATGTCGGTGCATCGTCTCGGGAAGCAAATGATTCTGGATCCGCGTTTATGTTGATCCAACTCGTTTGGGAATGTGACAAAAAGTCTTTAACGTGTCTGTGTAGAGCGTCGATCGATACAATAAGTGAATCATTTTTTCCCCCCAATATTAATAACAATTGTTAAAAAAAAAATAATAATAAACAGGTACGGCAGCGAGCTGATGGTCGTCGAGTCCTACGCCGAGAACAACGTATCGGCGAGCATGATCGGCCGCCACCTGGACCACTACTGGCTTGGTCTCGCCTCCCTCGACGACTTGAGAACCAACACCCTCGAGTCCGCGGCCGGCACTCTCGTTTCGCAATACGCCGGTAAGTACATACCTCTGGTGATTACAATTTCCTACAGCTCGATTGCATGATGCTCAATAAATAATGACGGGTAAAAACGCTACTCGTCAGAATAAACGGAAATCACCTCGTGCAATACCGATACAACGTACGTTCCTTTCCTTTTTTTTTTTTTTTCCATCGCCTTTGCATCATAAATGCGAAACTGTCGCACAAAAAAGGCCATACCCAATAATTGGAACTTAATACAGTCGAGTTTCGTAAACGAATAACAAACGCAGCCTTCCACGCATGGGCAGGAACATGATGCGCGTCGCCGCGAAAGCGAAATCGTTCGTAGTCGCGTTGTCTTGAAATCACACGACTGCGCGATTGGGTCAACTACTTGTGACGAAAGTGTCGTTTATCAATGAAAGTTTCACGTGGACGTGGCGTCCCATGACGGAGCGATTGAACTTTCGGTGTTTAATTGGTTATGTATAAGGAGTTTTGCGAAAGACTGATATTCGATTGTCACATAGAAATACCGATTTGAAGGTATGAGAGTGAAATAACAATCAGGACGATTGCTACGGCTTTTACGGAAAAACTACCCACTCGTATACCGTAATGACAAATCATTTACCGTGAATAACATATTTCTTGGGTTTGTAACAAAAGTTTTAAAGATCACCTATTATAAGCATTACGACACGATGAGCTCATAAACTTTGACGAGTACTTTATGTCTTACGACACATATTTCATTTGCATAACTTTTTTGTTCAGCACAATAATGGAATCGAATTATTTTGCTAGATTTTAATTTCTCGCGAGGTTTAAAAAAAATCTTTGAAAAGTACCCAGATGACATCCCGTAAGCTAAAGAAAATTCAAGATCGTACACGCGTCTTGCCGATGCGATGGTCTATACGTGCGAGCGCGCATTATTATATCGAGGTCGCGGAAACGCGGAACTCGAACGTGGCACGAAGACACACTTTTTCCAGTACACAATACGAGTGGCGCTGCTCCTCCTTTCCGTTTACACATCCACTGCTACATACACTATTGTACCAACGTACGTATACCTACGCTTGATGCGCTACGCTGACTCTGTAGGCGTTTTTTGCATGCTCGCTGATTTAGATGCGAAAGAAGTACGATAATTGTGGCAAAGCCCTAGTGCTGATACAATAACTTAATATATTTTTGATGCTACACGAAACCAGATGTATCAAAGAGTCGAGAAATAAAAGTATTGCACTATTTCATTAGCGTTTTCTCGTAATCAAATAATCAATTATATAATTTCTTATAAACATCACGTATTTGCAATAGACTGACTTAAAATTATAGATATCATATTTTTGGAGCTTATAAAATGAATTAATAATTTTTTGGAAATGTATCGTAAAAATTATTAAAAATATTTAAAGTGATAAACGCATGCTATTGTATTTGATCAATAGTTGTTATTGTGTTTCTAAACGAAAAAGTTGTAATGTTTTTTATAGTATTAAATTAATAAGAAAATAGTGAAAATTTGTTTATTTTTTACTTTTTCTGTAAGTTTTTGACATTAAAAGCAAATTTATTTTAAAGTATGACATAGATAATAAATAAAGTACAACCACTGTAATGGTTAGAAAAACTACAATCTCGCAAAATAAAAAAAAAGACATTATTCGTTGGTCGCAACTCATCAAGCAAATACGTTTTCCCTCTTACAATGTACATACCTGTAACATAGATATATGACGGACATAATGTGAATGTAGGTTTCTGGGCATCGAGTCAGCCGAACCCACGATTAGGTGAATGCGTCGATGTAAAAATTACGGACGATCAGCATCAATCATGGGAGCTCACGACTTGCGAGTCTCTTCTTCCTTTCATGTGCCGTGCCAATGCTTGTCCAGCAGGTGAATAATCAATTTACATTCCCACGCAGTGAAGTCCTACTCCTAACAAAAAAATACAAACAATACTCGTTTTCTTTCGTGCATAGGCTCATTCCATTGCTCAAATGGCAAGTGCATCAACAACGCGTTCAAGTGCGATAAGCAGGACGACTGTGGCGATTTTTCGGACGAAATCGATTGTCCGCAGAATTGCCAATTTTATATGGCCAGCAGCGGTGACGTTGTTGAAAGCCCAAATTACCCGCACAAATACGCACCATTAAGTAATTGTAAATGGACTCTCGAGGGTCCTCAGGGTCACAACATACTTTTGCAGGTATTGTGATTCTATTTAATTCTAATTCAGTGTATATTATACATATAATCATAAAAACACGAGAAAAGTAAAAAACGTATCAATAGTTCCAAGAATTCGAGACGGAAAAGAGCTTCGACATCGTACAGATCCTCGTGGGCGGCCGTACCGAGGAAAAGTCGGTTAATTTGGCAACTTTATCGGGCAAGCAAGAGTTGAGCAACAAACTCTTTGTCTCAGCGTCAAATTTCATGACGATAAAATTCAGCACCGATGGCTCAGTCGAGCGCAAGGGTTTCCGTGCCTCTTGGAAGACAGAACCGCAAACGTGCGGTGGTGTCTTAAGGGCCACACCTCAGGGTCAGGTGCTGACGTCTCCGAGCTATCCACAAAACTATCCTGGTGGTCTGGAATGTCTTTACATAATTCAAGCACAACCTGGAAGAATACTATCCCTCGAGGTGAACAAATCCTCAACTTGTTAAATTTTTTATTGTACTTTGTAGAAACAATAGATTGGAAATATTGTAGCAAAAGTTTTTTATCTTTAGTTAATCATTTATCAACGCTGAAAAAAATTAGAAAAAATTAAATGCTAAAAAAAAAACATTTTTTAACTCACTTTTATTCCCATCAGATCGAAGACATAGATCTCGAGAAGAATCGTGACTATATATTGATAAGGGATGGTGACTCGCCCATGAGCAACTCAATCGCTCGATTAACGGGTGACTCGGATGATAATCCTAAAGTCATTATGTCTACTGGAAGCAATCTCTACTTGTATTTCAAAACCAGTCTTGGTGATTCAAAGCGTGGATTCAGCATTCGCTACACCCAGGGTTGCAAGGCTACCATAGTGGCTCAAAATGGCACTGTTCAGTCACCTTCTTATGGACTCAACGACTATCCGAATAATCAAGAATGTCTATACCGAGTGAAGAATCCAAAAGGCGGTCCACTCTCCTTGAAATTTACCAACTTTAACGTTCACAAGACTGATTATGCACAAGTAAGCGATGAAGCCAGCAATTGGGTTTTCACTCAACAATGTATTTAAACAAAGTTTTGTTCAAACTTTTTTTTTACTCCTTAGGTTTACGATGGCTCTAATACCAACGGCCTAAGGTTACATTCTGGCAATGGATTCACATCTAATACACGACCAAAGATTACACTGACTGCCGAAAGTGGTGAAATGCTTATTAGATTTGTTTCAGATGCTTTGCATAGTAGTACAGGATGGCAAGCAACTTTCTCAGCTGGTTCGTATCGGAATTTATTATCTACAAGATGGAAAAACTCAAAATTGAAAATCAATTCAAATTGCAAACGTTTTTTGTAGATTGTCCACCGTTACAACCAGGAGAAAGGGCAATGGCTTCAAGCCGAGACACGGCCTTTGGTACGGTTGTTACTTTCTCATGCCCACTTGGTCAAGAGTTTGCTACCGGAAAATCCAAAATTATAACCGAATGTTTACCGAGTGGAAACTGGTCGGTTACTTACATACCTAAATGCCAAGAAGTCTACTGCGGTCCAGTACCCCAGATTAATAATGGATTTTCCATCGGATCTTCCAATGTCACATACAGAGGTGTTGCTACTTACCAATGTTACGCTGGATTTGCTTTCCCAACTGGAAGACCAATTGAAAAAATTTCTTGCATGGCTGATGGGATGTGGGAAAAGAAACCTTCGTGTTTAGGTATTTTTAATTTTGAAACAATATTTTTATGAAAAGTATGATGCCCCATTTTTATGCATTATTTCATAATGTACTAAATTCCTTGTTAAAGCTTCTCAATGCCCTCCACTTCCGGAAGCTCCAAATGCAAACATAACGATATTAAACGGTGGTGGTCGCAGTTATGGCACTATTGTAAGGTTTGAATGCGAACCTGGTTATGTAAGAAGTGGTCATCCAGTAATTCTTTGTATGAGTAACGGAACTTGGTCCGATGACGTTGCTGTTTGTTCGCGTAAGTATAATTATAAGAGTATAGTTTAAAAATGTAATTTAAGGCAAAATATGTAAAAACAATTTTTTATCAGGTGCTGAATGTCCGATTCTTCCAACAATCAAAAATGGATTCGTTGTGGATTCCTCGAAAGACTACTTTTTCGGTGACGAAGCTAGAGTTCAATGTAACAGGGGCTACAAGTTGTCTGGCTCTAATATAATTAGTTGTGGTCCATTCCAGAGATTCGAGAATGTTCCTACATGTGAAGGTATACACGAATTTTACTCATAACAAGCGCTTTTACTCGTTGAACTAATAAAACTACTAAAATAATACGTGTAATCAAAATTTTTTAGACATTAACGAGTGTGCATCAAGCCAATGTGATCTTGCATCAACTGAATGCATTAACACACCCGGGGCATTTACGTGCAAATGCAAATCAGGCTTCTCATCAACAATGGAATGCCGTCCAATAGGGGATCTTGGTCTGATTAATGGTGGCATTCCTGACGAGTCGATCACCGTATCAAGTTCTGAGAATGGATATACAAAATCGGTATGCATGTATTTCACGTTAGATTCGTAAAGCAATCGATAATAACAAATATTGGGAAAACTGATATCAATACGTAGAAAGACACGAAAAAAATACACGATAAAACTGACTTTTATTTATTAATTTTTGTTTATCTTTACTCATATTTGATTCACTACAGGGTGTCCGGTTAAACAATGGTGATGGATGGTGCGGTAACAGCGTGGAACCAGGTGCAAATTGGATCATGATAGATATGAAAGCACCCACCATCATTAGAGGCTTTAGGACTCAAGTAGTTGCTCGTACTGATGGAAACATTGCATTCACAACAGCCGTTCGAATTCAGTACACAGATAATTTGACCGATGTTTTTAAAGATTATACCAACCCTGATGGTACACCCGTAGAGTTCCGTATACTTGAAGCAACACTATCGGTACTGAACTTACCAGTACCCATCGAGACCAGATACATCCGCTTCCGAGTTCAAGATTATGTAGGCGCACCTTGTATGAAACTGGAAATTATGGGATGCACGCGACTGGAGTGCACGGACATTAATGAATGTGCTATGAATAATGGTGGCTGCCACCAAAAATGTATCAACAATCCAGGAGGTTTTACGTGCTCTTGCAATACTGGGTACGAGTTGTACAAAGGCAACGGAACTGCTGGCTACTATATTGCTAAATCTGAAAATGGAGAGCGAGATGGAGATTTATATCAGCGAAATAAGACTTGCGTTCCCGTTATGTGCCCTACATTATCTGCACCTGAAAATGGAAAAATTCTTGCTACAAAAGTAAGTTTTATCTTTACTGTTTACTAGTTATTAATATATTACAGGTAAATTATATCTATGGATATTTTTTTCAATAGAGTCAATACCATTTTGGCGATCTAATAAGGTTCCAATGTGACTTTGGATATGTTCTGTCTGGTTCATCTGCTGTCCTTTGTACATCTTCTGGTATTTGGAATGGCACGACACCTGAATGTCAATGTAAGTAATAAGCCATATTTAATGCTGAGCGAAATTCTACAGAAGTTTTCTGCAGAACGATTTAAGTCTTTATATACTTACAATAAATTATGTATTTTAGATGCTAAATGTGTTTCTCTACCGGATGACAAGAATGAGGGATTAGCTGTACTTCGAAGCGATGAAACTAGTGTATTGGTTCCATTCAAACAAAACGTTACTTTAAAATGTAACAATAATGGCCGTTCTCTCCGAAACACAGCTACTTCTAGCTTCAGACAATGTGTGTATGATCCTAAGCCCGGTTACCCGGATTATTGGCTCTCGGGATCACAACCAGCTTGTCCACGAGCCGATTGTGGCAAGCCATTGCCAACTCCTGGTGCTGAATACGGACAGTATATGGATACAAAGTACCAATCTTCATTTTTCTTCGGTTGTCAAGATACTTTCAAACTTGCTGGACAAACTAATCGTCATGACAACGTTGTCCGTTGTCAAGCTAATGCAGTTTGGGACTTTGGTAATCTACGGTGCGAAGGTCCTGTTTGCGAAGATCCAGGCAGACCTGCAGATGGTTATCAAGTTGCAAGAAGCTATGAGCAAGGATCTGAAGTTCAATTTGGATGCGCCAGACCTGGTTATATATTGATTAATCCAAGGCCTATCGTATGTCTTCGTGAACCCGAGTGTAAAGTTGTCAAGCCTCTAGGATTAGCTTCTGGTAGAATACCAGACTCTGCTATTAACGCCACTTCTGAAAGACCAAATTACGAAGCAAAAAATGTCAGACTTAACTCTGTCACCGGCTGGTGTGGGAAACAAGAAGCTTTTACTTATGTCAGTGTTGATATGGGAAGAGTTTATCGAATCAAAGCCATCTTAGTAAAGGGCGTTGTCACGAATGATATAGTCGGAAGACCAACGGAAATTCGTTTCTTCTATAAGCAATCTGAAAGCGAGAACTACGTTGTATATTTCCCGAACTTCAATTTAACGATGCGTGATCCTGGAAATTATGGAGAACTTGCCATGATCACTCTACCAAAGTACGTTCAAGCAAGATTTGTGATTCTCGGTATTGTCAGTTACATGGACAATGCTTGTCTTAAATTCGAGTTAATGGGTTGTGACGAGCCTACTGTAGAACCTCTTCTTGGATACGACTATGGATTCTCTCCATGTGTTGACAATGAACCACCAGTTTTTCAAAATTGTCCGCAACAACCAATAATGGTTCAAAAGGGTCCTGATGGCGGCTTACTTCCTGTAAACTTTACAGAACCAATTGCTATTGATAATAGTGGAAGTATCGCTAGGCTTGAAGTAAAACCGCAAAGTTTTAAGACACCAATCAAATTATTCGAAGACACGATTGTTAAATACATTGCTTACGATTATGACGGAAACGTAGCCATCTGTGAAATTAATATCACTGTACCAGGTAATTTAATCAATTTCCATTCAATAAATTTTTCTGACAATTAACGGACTGATAAGACACCACGTTAAAGCATTTAGAAGAAGAGATAGTGATGTCTTATTACTCCCTCGAAATTCCTAAAAAAACTGATTCATTTTTCTAGATATATTATGATGTTTTTTCTTTTTCTTTAGATGTAACTCCACCTAAACTAAGCTGTCCTCAAAGTTACGTAATTGAGCTAGTAGATAAACAAGATAGTTATAATGTAAACTTTAACGAAACTCGTCGTAGAATTAATACTACGGATGCCTCTGGACCAGTTAGGGTAACATTTATTCCTGAACGTGCAATTATCCCTATTGGAGGTTTCGAAAATGTTACCGTTTTCGCCACCGATTCTAGTGGAAACAGAGCATATTGTCATTTCCAAGTATCTGTTCAAGCTACACCTTGTGTAGACTGGGAACTAAAACCTCCTGCACATGGAGCTCTCAAATGCCTTCCAAATGATAAAGGACTTCAATGTATTGCTACGTGTAAATCTGGATACAGGTTTACAGACGGTGCTCCTGTAAAAACGTTTTCTTGTGATGTACAAAAACACTGGAGTCCAGCCTCTGTAGTGCCTGACTGTGTTTCCGAAAGTTTGTGTTAACTTCATTATTTAAAATCTCCAGTAGACGTGTCCTTAGTAATAAACGATTATTAATTCTTCTGGATGTTTCACAGATACTCAACAAGCCGATTATCATGTAATTGCATCAGTTACCTATCGAGCTAATGGTGCCGTATCTCGACCATGTTTGCCACAATATCAAGACTTGATGTCACAATATTATGCCAATTTAAACACCATTTTAACTCAACGTTGCTCAGCTGTTAACGTCAATATGAATGTTTCATTCGTACGCTCTATACCTACACTTCTAGAAGAAAACGTTCTAAAGGTTTATAAGAATTACAGTACACGAATAAATGTCTTTGTTTTACAAAACTGTGAAAAACTTTACATTCTTTTTTACAGATGGACTTTATTTTATCGATCATTCCTGCAGTTCGACAACCACAACTATATGATTTGTGTGGTTCCACGTTGAATCTAATATTTGATCTCTCAGTACCTCATGCAAGTGCCGTCATCGAGCCTCTATTGAATGTTTCGGCAATTGGTAATCAATGCCCACCTTTACGAGCTCTAAAATCAACCATTTCTCGAGGATTTACTTGCAGTATTGGAGAGGTTCTAAATATGGATACCAATGATGTTCCACGTTGTCGTAAGTTTTTCATATTTCTCCAATCAATTGTAAAAACTAACGTTTTAGAAAACGTTTCGATAATTTTTTCTCATGGTTTTTTTGTAGTACACTGTCCAGCGGGAACATTTGCTGGTGAAAAACAAAAGAAATGTACAGCATGCCCTAAGGGCTTCTATCAAAACAGCGATCGTCAAGGATCCTGCTTACGCTGTCCATTTGGTACATACACGAAAGAGGAAGGATCGAAAAGCATCGATGACTGCATACCAGTCTGTGGTTACGGAACCTATTCACCAACCGGTCTTGTACCTTGTCTTGAATGTCCACGAAACAGTTACAGCGGTGAACCACCCATCGGTGGCTTTAAAGATTGTCAGACCTGTCCAGCTGGTACTTTTACTTATCAACCAGCAGCACCAGGCAAAGACAGGTGCCAAGCCAAGTGCCCTCCTGGAATGTACTCCGATACTGGATTAGCACCTTGTGCTCAGTGTCCAAAAGATTTCTTCCAGCCTCAACATGGTGCCACAACTTGTATCGAGTGCCCAACTAACATGTATACGGACAAACCTGGTGCTGTTGGTCGAGAAGAATGTAAACCAGTGCAGTGCACCGAAAATGTTTGTCAACACGGTGGGCTTTGCGTACCTATGGGTCATGGAGTACAATGTTTCTGTCCAGCTGGTTTTTCGGGTAGACGTTGCGAAATTGATATCGACGAATGTGCCTCTCAACCTTGCTATAACGGTGCAACATGTATCGATTTACCACAAGGCTATAGATGCCAATGCGCTACTGGATACTCTGGTATTAACTGTCAAGAAGAAAAGTCCGACTGTAGAAACGATACATGTCCTGAAAGAGCCATGTGCAAGGACGAACCAGGATTCAACAACTATACTTGCCTGTGCAGATCTGGTTATACCGGAGTTGATTGTGATATTACGGTAAATGTTTTTCAATCTTGTATCAATATTTTGAAATTTTTACATTGGATTTAACATTAAGTTTAACAAAACATAAAATACTTCGTATGTAAGGAACTTTTAAATAATCCAATGTCTGATTCATTCGTTAAAATTCTTAGATTAATCCTTGTACTACGAGTGGCAACCCATGCAACAACGGAGCAACGTGCGTTGCCTTACAACAGGGTCGCTACAAATGTGAGTGTCCACCTGGATGGGAAGGGCAAAGTTGCGAAATTAATACAGATGACTGTGCTGAACGACCTTGTCTTCTTGGTGCTAACTGTACCGACTTAATAGATGACTTTAATTGTGATTGTCCATCTGGTTTTACTGGAAAACGCTGTCACGAAAAGATCGATCTTTGCTCTGGGAATCCTTGCTTGAACGGTAATTGAAAAATTTCAATTGTTTTAAATATTAGTGCAGCCTGAAATTAGAATTATAATAAAAAATTGTTTGAAATAGGCATCTGCGTGGATAAGCTCTTTAGTCATGAATGTATTTGTCACCCCGGCTGGAGCGGCGTAGCCTGCGAAATCAACATTAACGAATGTGCTGGAAAACCATGCCGTAACAATGGTCAATGTATCGATGGAATTGACGACTATGTTTGCACTTGCGAGCCTGGGTACACAGGCAAACAATGTCAACATACAGTTGACGATTGCTCCTCTAATCCATGCAATAACGGTGGTACTTGCATCGATCAGCTGGAAGGCTTTGTGTGCAAATGCCGACCTGGATACGTTGGCCTACAGTGTGAAGCAGAAATCGATGAGTGTCTTAGCGATCCTTGTAGTCCTGTAGGAACCGAACGTTGTGTTGATTTAGACAACCAGTTCGTATGTCACTGTCGAGAAGGATTTACAGGGCTTACTTGTGAATCAAACATAGATGACTGTGTATCTAATCCTTGCCTTAATGGAGCGACGTGTAGAGATGAAATTGGTGGGTACAAATGTATGTGCAGAGAAGGATGGACTGGATCCAGATGTGAAGTTGATGTTGGAACCTGTCAGAACAAACCTTGTCAAAATGATGCAACTTGCGTAGATTTATTCCAAGACTTTTTCTGCGTGTAAGTTGCGATTTGATTCCACACAAATTTTTTTTAATACGCTTAAGTTTATTGAAATTTAAACATTTAAAAAAAATAATTGTAGCTGCCCATCTGGAACTGACGGCAAACGATGTGAAACTGCTCCAGAACGTTGCATTGGTAATCCGTGTATGCATAAAGGACGCTGTCAAGATTTTGGATCCGGTCTAAATTGTACTTGTCCAGACGATTATACTGGAATTGGTTGTCAGTACGAGTACGATGCTTGTCAAGCTGGAGCTTGCAAAAATGGAGCTACTTGCCTTGACAATGGAGCTGGATTTACTTGTGTTTGTCCTCATGGATATACAGGAAAAACTTGCGAAGACGACATAATTGACTGCAAAGAAAATTCTTGCCCACCATCAGCTACCTGTATTGATTTAACTGGAAAATTCTATTGCCAATGTCCATTCAACCTGACTGGCGATGACTGCAGGAAATGTAATGCCTTGCAATGACTATTTATAAACATTGTATTTTTTTTTTTTTTTGAAAAACTTTTATTTATAATATTTTATTTTATTACTAGCTATCCAAGTGGACTATGATCTTTACTTTAGTGATCCAACTCGCAGCAGTGCAATGCAAGTAATTCCATTCTTTACTGGAGCGAAGAAGAGTCTAACAATCGCTATGTGGGTTCAATTCACTCAACAAGATGAAGCTGGAATATTCTTTACCCTATATGCAGTAAGGTAAATGATAAAATGAAATAATCTATTTACTACATACAGTGATAAAATTTTATTTGGTATTTATTTACCTATTCTTATTCAGCTCTCCTCATGTACCTGCTAATCGCAGACCGATGCTACAAGCCCACAGTAATGGAGTTCAAGTATCTTTGTTTCACGATTTACAAGATGTTTACTTGCCGTTTAGAGAATACGCTACAATTAATGACGGGCAATGGCATCATGTTGCTGTCGTTTGGAATGGTGAAAATGGTGGTGAATTAACACTCATTACGGAAGGCTTAATAGCCAGTAAGACTGAAGGATATGGAAGCGGAAGAACCTTACCTTCTTAGTAAATATTACAAATTCATAATTTTTTAATTACTAATTTTTTAAAAATTTTTAACTGTATCTATAAACGCAACAATTTAAAAATTACAGCGCTTGGGCAGTATTGGGCAAACCACGTAGTGATGTTGGAAAAAGTTATACAGAATCTGGTTTCCAGGGACATTTGACCAAAGTACAGGTATGGGAGCGTGCTTTGCACGTGACGAATGAAATTCAGAAACAAGTGCGAGACTGTCGAACGGAACCCGTACTTTATCAAGGCCTCGTTCTCACTTGGGCTGGTTACGACGAAACAATTGGTGGTGTTGAACGTATTGCTCCCTCACATTGTGGTCAACGCATCTGCCCACCTGGTTATGGTGGTAGCAAGTGCCACCAGCTTGAAGCCGATAAAATTCCGCCCAAAATCGAGCACTGCCCTGGTGATTTGTGGGTCATAGCAAGAAATGGTTCATCGATTGTTACCTGGGATGAACCTAAATTTAGCGACAATGTTGGGGTTGTAAGAATTCAAGAAAAGAGTGGACATCGGTCTGGTCAAACCTTACTGTGGGGATCTTACGACATTAGTTACGTGTCTTACGATCAGGCTGGTAACTCAGCAACTTGCAGCTTCAAAGTTTATGTTTTACGTAAGTTGAAATTTTTCTATGCTATACGTATAAAAAAATTTAATTGAAATAAATCTTAAAAAATCACAAAAAAAAAAAAAAAATTATTTTCAACAGATGACTTCTGTCCTGAATTGCCTGACCCTATTGGTGGGACGCAGCAATGCAAGGACTGGGGTTCTGGTGGCCAATTCAAGGTTTGCGAAATTTCTTGTAACCCAGGCCTTAGATTCGCTCAAGAAGTTCCCGAATTCTACACCTGCGGTGCCGAAGGCTTTTGGCTTCCAACCAATGATCCTAATCTGCCACTTATATATCCTGCTTGCACAAGTAAACGATTTTCAAATTTATTTGAACTTCTTTAATTTTGTATGAAAAATTATGTACTTATACATGAAAAATTGCTTTGTAGGTTCTTCTCCTGCACAACGAGTATTCAAAATCAAAATGAATTTCCCAACGTCTGTCCTCTGTAACGAAGCTGGTCAAGAAGTACTGAAACAAAAAGTCAGGCATGCCGTAAATTCTTTAAATAGAGATTGGAATTTCTGTTCTGACTCGTATGAAGGTACTTGCATGAAGACTATAAAATTACTGCTCGACTACTTTTTGAATTTCTGTAATATGCGATACCATTTTTTAGGAACCCGAGAGTGCAGAGATCTGAATATCAATGTCCAGTGTGATCACCGTACTCGATCAGCTCGAGAAGTTACAGAAGAAGAAGCTGGAACCTACACGATTGACGTGGACGTACTTACCGAATCGTAAGTAATTTAATTTTGATCCGATATTTAAAAATAATTCCAACTTCCAAGTCGATTGTGTTTAAGCACTAATAATTTCTTTATTTTAATTTAATCATTTTTACAAAACAATGTATGAAATAGCGTTAAAAAAGCAGTTTTATAAAACTGAAAAATTTCTTGCACCCCTAGAACGAGACAAGCACGCCAAGGCAGTGATACCTACGAGGTGGAAATATCCTTCCCAGCTATAAAGTAAGAAATGGTTTCGCGAGCCAAGACCATGCAAATATTCACAATTTACAGATACTAAAAGTCACTAATGAGGGATCACAATATTTTTAAACCAGGGAGCAGTTACGCATAAAAAAAAAAATAATCAATGTTAGAAATACAAATTCTAAATCATTTTACTGATAACCATCATAACGTCATACCATCATTTTACGTTTCCATTATCCCCCACAACAAACTGGCGCTGGAATAATGCATGTACATTAATACGCATACACCCTAACTCTCATCAATTATTTACGATGCCTACTTAGTACCAAGCTTCATTGATAACCCAGTTCATACAAACAGGTTGCAGATTTTCACGTTAAGGCTATAACAATATTTTTACTTACAATTTAACAGGAAAGCTGATGGACAACATAATTTTGCTATTTACACAAAGTGCAGTATGAAAAGAGGCGACTAAAAATTTAATAAATGTTTTTTTAAATTAACAAATAAAATAATCTCGCTGTAAATATTCGTGCAATCATTTAACGGAACAAAAAAATTAAAACGCACGTTTTTTACAAATTCATTTTTCTTTTTTTGTAGCGATCCAATTTTGAACTTAAACTCGAACGAAAAAGCAACGGTCCAGACGTTACTCGAAAAATTAATCCTTGAGGAAGATCAATTCGATGTCCATGACATTTTACCAAACACCATTCCTGATCCAGCTTCTCTAGTCTTGGAATCGGATTATGCTTGTCCGGTCGGACAAGTTGTAATGGCTCCTGATTGTGGTAAGTTTTTCCTTCGGACTTTCCTTGTATTTGTATTAGAAAACAAAATATTAATTTTACAAATCTTCCTTGACAGTACCATGTGCAATTGGCAGCTTCTACGACACGACTACGAAAAAGTGCGGGTCGTGCCCCGTTGGCACCTACCAGAGCGAATCAGGTCAGCTGAAATGCAATCAGTGCCCAATCATAGCGGGTCGGCCGTCCGTGACAATAGGTCCAGGTGCACGTAGTGCGGCTGATTGTAAGGAACGTTGTCCAGCTGGCAAGTATTACGATGACGCCGCTGGCCTATGCCGTAACTGCGGTCACGGTTTTTATCAGCCAGAAGAAGGTAGCTTTTCGTGCCTCATCTGTGGTCTGGGCAAAACAACCAGAACCGCAGAGGCGGTATCCCGCGAAGAATGCCGTGACGAATGTGGCTCCGGGCAACAGCTTGCTGTCGAAGGAAAGTGCGAGCCTTGCCCACGAGGCACCTATAGAATGCAGGGTGTTCAGGCTGCCTGCCAAGCATGCCCCATTGGAAGGACAACGCCGAACCTCGGTTCAGCCACGATCGAAGAATGCTCGCTGCCGGTTTGCGAGCCTGGTAGTTACCTCAACGTGACGTTCAATGAATGCATCGAGTGCAAAAAGGGTACTTACCAGCCCGAAGCTCAGCAGACCTCCTGCATACCATGCCCACCAAACACCAGCACCAAGGGAGCTGCTTCCGTAAGTTTAATCACTGTTGAAACCACGAAATGTAAACGAGCCATTTGACTAACTTGTCGTGTAATTTATAGACCAGCATTTCCGAGTGCACGAACCCATGTGAAGTGAACGGGGAAGAGATGCACTGTGACGCTAACGCCTACTGTCTACTGATACCCGAAACAAGTGACTTTAAGTGCGAGTGCAAGCCTGGCTACAATGGTACCGGTCACGAGTGCGTTGACGTCTGCCTTGGTTATTGTGATAATGAGGGTACGTGCCTCAAGGACTCGAGAGGGCAACCTTCGTGTCGTTGCAGTGGTAGTTTTACCGGCAAACACTGCAAAGAAAAGTCATCATTTTTCTACGTCACCGGTAGTATTGCTGGTGGAGTTATCCTCATCATTATTATTGTCCTGTTCGTCTGGATGATTTGTGCAAGGTTTGTGTCAGACAGCCAATACAAATTTGCAGTACGAGCAATTAACGTGTGGATATTTGTAATTGAGAAATAAAAAAAAATAAAAAAACATTGTTGTAGAGCATCAAAACGAAAAGAGCCAAAGAAGATGTTGACCCCAGCAACGGATCAAAACGGCTCCCAAGTGAACTTTTATTACGGTGCGCCAACTCCTTACGCCGAATCGATCGCTCCTTCACACCACAGCACGTATGCGCACTATTACGACGATGAGGAAGATGGATGGGAAATGCCCAACTTTTACAATGAAACTTACATGAAAGGTAAGAGCGAATCTGAGCGATCAGACGCCATTATATTTTGAGCACTCTTTTTAATGAAAGTTACAAGGAAAAAAAAAAACAAGCCATCCTGCAATACTTTACTTTGCCTTGCACACAATTAAAAAGTAAGAAATGCATTCAACAATTTCAAATATACATTGAAAATACCACCTTGAGTTGCACGTCAAGTCGCACGTAACTGCAATTACGCTATATGTACTGTGTGCCATATATATTTCATATAAAAAAAGTATAACGTATACATAATCAATACATATGTATAAAATGGATCGCATGCAGATATGAAATATATATGTATAAAATGGTCGGCAATGTACTACCATTTTGGACATTGTCCGCAGTTCCTTGGATTCGAAAGAGCAGTAATTTATGACAGACAGCCTAATAAGTAAAAAAGTAAGTTTTCAGAAATACTTTTTATAACATTAGTTAACAACAATATTAATTGACAATGGGACACGCAAAAACTTAACAGTTTTACAAAAACTTGTTATTTAGAGTCAAAAATAATATAATTATAACATTATAATCCTTAATACACATTTTTATGATAAAAACACGAAAAAGTTTTCATACTCATTTTAAGCAATCTATTGACAATTCCACGTAACTCTTTTACATCTTTGGCATAGTGACTTGCTAAGTGTTCATAACTCTTTTACCCTAACGATTTTGTGTCTCTATTAATATTCACTGTTCTCTTGTATAGAAGTTTTAAGAACATGACTATCATTGAAATCAAGTCAATTGTTGTAAAAGGTTGATGAGATCATAGGCGACATTGGTGTTCATGTTAATTGTANTTCTTTACTGCGTATGTCCACAAGAGATACCATACACGATTTCAACAGCAACTTGTACTCAATGTAAAATCCGAGAAATGAGCAGTTTTTGCTATTATTTACTGTGTAACAATTGCACCATGACTGTGCTTGTGTCAATTGAGAGTAATTAGGTTAAGCTCTGATTGGTCGTTCGAATTTCTCACCTGATGTGTCCTCCTTAAGTGCAAAAGTATAAAAACTCTCGCACATAATAATATTATCCTTTTCTCTTTCATCAAAAGTTCCAAAGTAACCGTAAAGGTTGGAGAGTGAGTTCTGTTGCATCCTTTAAGTGGAAGAAAGACTTTGTTCAGTGATTAACCTACGTGTTAGAAGCGTGAATTTCAAGCAAATGTAAGACTTAGTTCAGTGACTAAGCTGTGTGAAAAATGCTCGAGCAAAGCAGGCCACTAAGACTCGCCTAACAAGTGTACCAAAGAGAAAAAAGAAAGAAGGAACCATCGGCTTGGGTTTCAATGTGAAAAGCAGCAGCTTAATTATTGTCATCACCACTAGTACTTTCGTGTAGGATCAGGATCGAAATTGCGGTCAACCTTGTAAGATTTTGCGACTCCAAATGCGCATCTGAAACTTATCAGTTTATATGATTTGTAAAGTCAATTATTTCTGGCTATACTTAATTTATCAAATTGTCACATGTGACACAACTTGGTTGTTAATTAAAATTATTTTCCGCACTCGGGTGGTTTTGGGAGGCTGGTACTTCCTCGGGCGAAAAAGCAGTTTTCCAGAACTCGTTCGAAAAGTCTCCTTTACGAACCTCGTTACGACCCTCGCCTTCGGCTCGGGCCGCAAACCTCTCGGTTCGCAAACAAAGACTTTTCAAACTCGTAGGAAAACTACTATTTCCTTTATAAATTACACTATACTTATGCAATACGTGCGGTGGTGGTTGATAGTTTCAGGGTCGAAAAAAATCGAAACTATTTTGTACAATGATTTACGTTATACAATTACCGAAATAAAAAAAAAAAATATGTTATAATAAAAGTTTATTTTTAACTTGTAAACTAACAACTTAAGCATACAAGAGAAAAATTGTAGTCAGTTAAAAAATTTTTTTTGTATTTTCTAGACAGAAGTTTTAATTAGTTAGCTAAGAGCGCATATTCTTTATTGACCTTGTAAAAATAGTTCGATAAATTGTTTTTTAATACAAAAAATATTAATACATAACCTGACTTTTTATTTTTTAGTTTTTCCTTAAAAAATCTAATATGATTCGAAAAGAATTTCTTCTGCTAAGGGTAAAGTAATCGTCCAAAAAAAAAAAGACTCACACAGAGTATGAAAGTTAGATTTTAGTTTGCCCTATTTTTGCACTTTCTAACATCCTGTGATTCCCGTTACAGTTAAAACTCTGTATAATTTTTCCATACTCTTTTTTGCTGTTTGTATGTTTGCTCGGAGCTCACATTTTATCGTTTCTGAACAGGATTCATTAGACAATACACGACAAAATTGATGAAAAAAGAATCCTTGATAATTATTTTATTAATCATAGTAAATATTTAAATAGAAAATTTTCAGGTAAGAAGCTACCAATTATGTAATCGATCTTTTGCTTTATCCATTCTACGCAAGCATTTAGTGACTTACAAACGGTTTTGACAGGAATAGTTAACGTCAAGAGTGGATGATAAAAATTTCATTAAGATATGGTAGTTTTTTTCTAGATAAAAATTTATTTAGTATACTTCACGGAAATGACTAACAAATAATTACAGAGCTACAAGAAATTTTAATACTTCAAAATCGGATATAACTTTTTATACATCAAATTTCTAACAACTTTCGAAAAATGAAATTTTTAAAATTATATAATTAGTTTTAAACTTTTAAAAATTCTTATGAGGAAAATACCCAGAAAATAAATTTTATTGAAACTTTCGATAATTATTTTCGAATCTCATATTGTAAAAAAGTCTCTTTAAAATATCTTACAGGTCAATGAACTCAAAGTACCTCTCGATTAAATTGGTTTTCAATATTGATTGATTTTTTTGTTTCTTATCATCATAGCTAAGCTACCATGAATCATAGTGTGCTTGCATAAAACATAAGCTAAAATGTAGAGAAAGTAATTTCGATGAAACAGGCATGTTTTAATGAGAATTTTTAGATCCAAAGTTACTGCTGTCACTATGCATAACCACATACAGCATTTGATGAGAAGTATAACGATATGCCGTTTCTCATTTTTAAATGCTATGATTTTTTTAGCCAAATTATTAAAAAATCGGAGGATTATCAGAAAAAATTATAATAGTTGAAAAAAATAAAGGCCAATCAACATTTTAGTACAATTTTGTTGGTATATATCTAAAAAATTAATTGTGCAACACTTGGTAGGTTTACTCCCTGAAAATAAAAAACTCCAAAATATTGAGCTGTCCTGATACATTACGTTTTTGGAAGTACCATTGTTTTATAATTTGTAAAGTTTAAATAACTACATGAGATTTAAATATTATTAACAACGATCTAGTGTTTCTTCATGACACAAGTTCCATGTTATTATTGGTATGAATATTATTCATGACATAATATCCATGTATCATATTATGATGAAAATAATGTAAAAATTATAAGTATAGTAATGATGATTAAAAAAAAAAAAAAAAGAAAAAACCGTCCAGAATATAAAGTACACATGTTTTTGCAGCAAAAAATGTAAAAAAATAAACACGAGTCCCCTATGTAACCGCTGGATTATCAAGAATTTTATCTTTCCTATAGTCGATAAGGTATCTTTCTCGTACAAAATAAATCGGTCACTTTCTCTACAAAATACTTACATTATGCCTCTAAATTTATTCCGAAAGTTGTACATACATACGCATCCACTTTCACAAACAAACAGGTATCTGAGTATCTGCAACTTAATAGTTTGTACTGATAATTAACGCGTGTCAAAAAAATCCGCACTAAAGCACAGTCGAATAGTTAAATGCCTCGTACTCAGCCCGGCGGCACTCGTGCATATACCTATTACGAAAATAACAGATAAACTGTCACACGATCAAACACATCCATGTACTTGTCCATACGGGGCTTTATCTTGAACAAGTCAAGCGTGCACTTTTAAACGTATTTTGGTCATCTGCACATGTGCAGAAGTCAAATATTGGTTTCTGCACATGCGCGAACAGTGAAAAATAAACCTTCTTTGGATATGCTTGGGATGACGTATTTTCTTTTGACCAATAAACGCACCGGGACTATGAGCTTTCACACCCGTTACTAAGTAGCCAAAGTCGGTCATTCAACGATTGGCGCAAAGTCACATCACTCGGCGTGCCATTGGACGATTGGACACCTTCTTTGTCTACGTCGTAGTAGTTTTGCTCTTTTTTTTCCTCTCTCTCTCTCTCTCTCTCTCCCCCTTTTAGTAAAAGCGCCTCTCGTCTCGTGACGGACGCGCAATAAAGCCCATCTGCCGAGCGTATAGCTGCTTGCTCGTTGTCTGCGTCAGACGCTATTTACAAGTGAAACAAGCCAGACGTTGATTCACGCGTATTCGATAGCCGGCAACCATCAAACGTTTGAGGAAAGCTCGGACGCTAGTTACAGAACTACTCGTGGCCAGGTACATTGGAAATTCAAGACAGCAGCATTAAACCTGGGCAAACTCCGAAATCTCTGGGGAGGAGGACAGCCTGCAGGTTGACGGGACAAAAAGCCACGTTCGGAACAAGACAAGAAATTGCAGCGACCGTGCTCGTCGCTTCCACGCAGGTGGACAGAGTATCCAAAAGGTTGCAAGCTTTTAGGAGGGTGAGTCATTGTCATAATTTAACGGATTGATGCATTAAATCACGGAAAGGCGGAAAATTCGATCTTACGTAACGACATCGGTGTCGTACCCATCGCGGATATTCTTCGTGATACTTGCGATTTCCGAGAAAAACTGCGCAAAGAATAATTATTTTACGTAAGCCGTCGGGCCGTGTAACAATGAGTTGCATGTTGGTCTGCAGAAATTGTACAGGTAGACGTGAACACTCGCGGAAGGAATGCATGTGTGCGTGCGTGGATTAGCAGGGAGCTAAGGTGGGGGGTGGTTAAAAAGAGGTTCGCTAATCTCTTCGCGGAAAGAGAACAGGAAAATCGAGCGGCTAAAATCAATATGATAATACATACTTGGTCGTTTGCCGCACGTTTGCCCCCAATGCGTTAATTAATCTCTGTAAACCATCAGGTAATTTGGGTGGATAATTAATAAGAATGTAAAGATGTTGTCGCGAGTTTTTAATAGTTTGGTGGTGCCGTGGTACGAAAGAAACGTCGCAGTATGTGCAGGCAACGATTGCACTGCCGACATCTATACTCCGCCGAGCTCCGTCACTCCGTCGAACGTTCGAGAATAACGTGAAACGTCAACACGCGTACGTGGTGGTTGATAGTTTCAGGGTCGAAAAAAATCGATGGGAACCGTAAAATCTGTTAAAGTTGGAGCTTTCAGTTGAGTGACTGTTTGGACTGGATGATTAATACTTACGAACACTTGCATTAAACGAGCATTGTCATTGTCGCACGAAAAAACACGAGGTATAAGTATGGGAAGGAAAAAAATAAAATAAAACCGAGCCGCAACTCACACGATCGAGTTTGTTACGTAAGACGTTTGACGTAAACGCTATACATATATGTCAAACACGTTCGGTTAGCCGTCATTTTTGCTCGTTATCGCACCTCCTCCGAAAAACGCTGTACAAGTATAGATATATTGAAATTAAAATTTTATTAGTTATCCAGTGGTATTTGGGAGCTTCAAATTTTTACCACAATATATTAAAATAGTAAAACAGGTGGCGCTGACAACTGGCAGGGCAAAATCTCACTGCTCCTAAAGCTCGCCACTACGTTAATTTACATTAGCAATTTGCGCTTCAACTAAGTTTTAATTCTACGGTAAACAATCGTCATATATAACAAGCAACGTTACATGAATGCAACGCCTCTATATTTTAAATACAACTTGCTTTGATTAAGAAAATGTACGTGAGATGTATTAAATACTTAAATACAAGTATGATTGGGACCAGAAAAATCAGCAGTGGTCGTATGATGAAACCTGTAAAGTATGCTAGAAATGAATGAGAGGAGGGAAAAGTGAAAGCGAGTGGTAAAGGAGAAAAATAAAGTTTGCGAGTTGCGTGATGACTCGATGGAATTCTCCGAGCCAAAGCCAGCCACGATCAATGGACTGGCGACTTACGATAATACAACGTTATACTTACCGATGCGTGCTAGCTCCTTGAAATACCACGTTGTGGATATTTGCTTATCTACTTTTCTTCTTTTTTTCGAAAAATTTTATTTTATCGAAATCGATTAGACGTGTGTGAACACGTCTTTATGTTTCATCAGATTTTATTGAAAAATGTGGATGGAGAGATAATGAAATTTTTCATTTTTAACGCCGCTGTCCAATCAAGCACTGCAGAATTCAAGCAATTAGCCCAACATAGAAGAAGTTGGGGCAACAAAAATGCTGAACGTGATAAGGATCAATAACTTGATAAACAAGCAATAATGAGTTTCACAAAGATAAGATAAGCCAAAGTCTCTCTTTGGCTTCCTATCCTTTTTTTTTTTTTTTTTTGTATCAGTAAATTTCTGACATACACGGACCTGTACACGGCTGGTTGACTCGTGTTCACGCGCCAAAGCTTAACTCGATTCTTATCTACTTTTTGTGCCTCTTGATAAACAATTGTCATTCCTGTAGAAGTGATATGACTCATGCGACTTTCATTGATGTCGGGAAACATTATCTTCTCCAAATATTTTTTTACATTTTTAAATGTTTCGTCATATTTTCAACAAATGCATCATTCGATTTAAAAAATTTTAATTGAAACAAAACAACTATAAAATTGAGCGACGGTCTTTCTTCAGGTATAAACGCCATTACGAAGAAAAATTTATTATGAAATTTTTTGGGACTTTTAACGAATCGTACTTACTAATAGTTTATGATAATTATAATCCTTGTGCCATTAATTTTAATTATTAATGAAATACTTGACACTTGCTATTTATCAGATTTACCATCAAAGACAGTTTGGTTGTACTTGCAATTGAATGATCGCAATGAAACAATGATTTTTGTGTTTCAGGCTTCCAAAATCCCTCCCGTCTACGAGCGCCAAACGGCCAGCAACATTTCCATAGAGCACAGGGTTGAAGTTAAAGTAAGCACTTATTTTGAGTTAGAACGAGTAAATCGTTAGTGCAAAAAGGTACATACTCGATAACTTGAGTGTACTTGATGAAGATTAATTCACTCGAATTCTCAGTAGTTAATAACCCACCAGACAAATACATAAGAATAATTTTGTGCGACTAAGGAAAAATTGGCCGTTCTATCTAGAATAGTAGTTTAAGTGGAAAATTAGTAAGGTTCATAATTTTTCACCTGAATTACGTAGGCTTTAAAAATGTCATGGAACAAACAATCATTAAGGTATTTACAAATGTAAACCAATTTCACTAATTTATTACAGAATAATATTACAATAAGATAGTAATATAATCTACCGTTACTAAGTAATAAATGACGTAGATAATAATATATTATTATTCATAAATATATTGTAAGAAATTTAGTTAACGTGTTTTCAAGTAAGTTGGATACATCAATTATTTATAATAACCGGATTCAAACTCATATTATGCAATTTATATCAATTTAAAATGTTAAAGTTAAAATGGTACTGTTACGTAATTGTATTAGGTAGCTGAGATTATCACAAGAACTCAAAAACGAGATCTTAGATCGTCTCTTATTTAGCTACTTGATAGTTCTACTGTATATGCTTATATAAATTTAGTATTTTCAAGTTTTTAGTAATAAATTCTTTAATAACAGTTTTATTCTTATAGCAGTAGATGAATTTTTTTGATCCTAAAGTCACAAAATTGTTCTTTTTTCACCCTTTAGTAATTTGCATATTTCACAAAAATCATTTCTATCTATTCAAATCTATAGTTTGAAACCACGTCCAGCCCAATCCTATCTGAAAATAAATTTTCCGCCCTCGGGTGGTTTTGGGAGGCTGGTACTTCCTTGGGCAAAAAAGCAGTTTTCCGATACTCGTTCGAAAAGTCTCCTTTACGAACCTCGTTACGGACCTCGCCTTCGGCTCGGGCCGCAAACCTCTCGGTTCGCAAACAAAGACTTTTCAAACTCGTAGGAAAACTACTATTTCCTTTATAAATTACACTATACTTATGCAATACGTGCGCAAAACCAATGATTGCTGCACGTGTGTATGTTTGTCATATCAGTGAAAAAAATTACTCATGTGCAGAACGTATCGCTTGTTCTTTGTACTGTTTGATTTTTTTCAAAATATGTTGTTGAAATTTCAATTCTGTACAATAAGTAATAATTGTGAACAGAGTAAAAACATTGTTCTACTAATGCGGAAAAATGGTACTCTGTACACATATATGACTCAAACATTGATGACAACATTTGGAAAACCTTAGTCCTTAAGTTGATTATCTGTTGTTTAGCATTCCAACACCTACATAGTTGTATAGACTGACACTTATAAAGCGTTGAAAAAAAAAAAAATAAATAAAAAAATTTCTACCCCTAACAGAGCATAAAACCATGCAACACGAAGAAAAAGCAGTCGCCTGCTTCTCGTGGCGTGAGATCAAACCGACCGGAGACAATGGAACAGGAGTTGGACAACTTCTTCGCCCCGGTGAAAATGGAAATGCTGCCACTCCTGAGCCTAAACAACGAGGCGGAACCAATGGTGCTCCATCCCTGGCAGTATCCGTACGAACAGCAGGTCCGCACCGACCCTGGCGCGCCCGATGGCGTCGGCGGCACGTTTTTGGCGACTCAAGTTCCTCGAAGCAACATACTTCTCAACATCAAGGACGAGCTTGCCCAACCAGATTTCAACGACTCCTGGGAGGAGGATTTTCAGGATTTGAGTGGCTGGTGCATGACCAATGGGCAGCAGCCTCGATTCGATTTTCATGCAGGTGAATTTGCCATGGCTTCTAAGCTTACAGGTCAGTTTAAACTTTTTCTCAATAACTTTGTATGAATCGTTATTCATACAGATATTAGATGTGACCCGTCGAAAAAAAACACCTAGACCCGGAGTATTTCTTTTTGTCCTGTCAATGGTTTTTAATTGACGTTTCAGATTCATTTAAGTGCAAGTACGAAATAATTTTGCAAGAATTTTGTGTTGATTATAAAAAGGGCTACTTACATAATTATTATATATAGCATTTTCAACCCCTTACCTATGTAGAATGTAAGTTGAATACGTCGTTCGATAGGTATATTGCTTTTAAAATCAAATGTGATAATGTTAAAATCTCAAATCTGTCTTAGAATCAGTTTATGTGTATAAATTGTTATTGTATCATCACCAATCAATAGCAAACGTAACATGTTCCATGCAGGGCAAAAATTGCACCCCAGAAAGATATAATTCATTCCACTCGTGTCATCTTTTGTTGCAAAAATGCAATATTATGAAATAAATGCTATAAAGTGTCGTAGTCAAATGTATTTTACATACAAACAAGAAGAATTACGTAAAATTAGTTACATAAACCGAGTAGTACGAAAATAGTAAACTTAAGATATGCATCAAATGCTACGAAAATATCAAATGTGCCAAAAATAATTACGCTAAACTAACTATGCAGAATTCTATTAAAATAGTATAAAATCATTCGTGTATGGTTTATTATTTAAATGCCAATGCAAGAATTTGACAGATTTATTATACGACACTAACCTGGATTATTGTAGTTTCGTTACAATCAATTTATTGAGAAATTACATAACGAATCTGAAAAAGAAAAACGTTACGTAATGAAAGTCATGTAGCCATGGACATTCAGAGATATAGATCACCTAGTCCCCAGATTAAATTCATTTAGACTATGTAATATTAGAAAAAAGCCAGAATACCTCCATAAACGAACCTTTTTTTGAAATTGCAGATACAAGAATTGAGCACAATAATGACTTAACTGCAGCGGATAAGATGACGTTCAGCAGGAAAACTACTTATACCGGAAGTGGCGAGACGACACTAAGCGTACGTCGGCCTCAAACGTCCACGTACGTTGTCCAGCCACTTCACGACCACGCCTATCCAGTAAATGATCTGCAACAACAACAGCAAAAACATATGCACTCAAATCACAGTAACAACAACAACAACATCATCAACGTCAAAATGACAATGAACACCGAAGGCAACCTTAACAACAACGACAACAACAACAATAACAACGTAGCCTGGCAACACTCGAACAACCCTGGAATCACAGTACAGCATGCCACCGGCCTACCCGTTTATCAACAGCCCCATACGATGATTGACATTGAATCCAAGCAGGAACCAAATTTACTTGGAGTCAGTCAAGATCCATTCCAGATCCTCGAGACCAATGACTTACCCAAAAATTTCGATTTGATTTCCTTCTTATGCGAGGTAAGCGTGCTTTTTATGAACTATTTGTTTTTTTCAAAGTTAAATGTGTCCTTCAATAAATTTGTACGTGCTTTCAGGAGAACATCCCATCTCCAAATGACGGTGTATCAACAGAATCATCGTCTAAAGTAACAGAGTTCAATAGTATGATTATGCCGCCGGCAGATTCCTCGGCACACGTGATTGTCTCGCCTAAAACTTATGAACCGGTTCCATTGTCACCGGTGACACCCACAGACTCGAAAATCCGCGTGCAAACGACAACTGATTTATCGCAGTCGCGAGAAAGCTGTGAGCCCTCGTTCTTATCATCATCCACAACTGCCAAAGTAACGATTGCCAAGCGATCGGCGTCGGGTCGGCAGTTGAGACCCGTCATTAAGCTCGAGAACCCCGACAGTCCACCATCGATGGAGAGGCGAACGAGGATTAGAAAGACACGGACGAGCTCCATGACTAGCCGCAGTAGCACGAGCAGTTGGGGTAAGTGTAGCAAAAGAATGCACGAGAGCGACTCGGATGACGAACAGTACAGGGAAACGCGCGAAAAGAACAACGAGGCGTCACGCAGATCGCGGATGAATAAAAAGACCAAGGATAGGGAGATGGTGAGTCGAGCCATCGAGTTGGAAAAGAACAACAGGATACTCAAGATGAAGGTGGAGGAGCTGGACAAGTTGGTCACGTCTTTGCGCAACGCTTTGCTTCGCTTGGCTCTGAAGAGGGAGACCAAAACTGATGTTCCCTGAGGTGTTGGTCTCTCACGCCGCCAAGGGATCTCTTTTGATCCAAACATAAAGACAAATTGATATTATTTGTCGGCGCTACTTGAACCACTCAAAACTTTTATAGTTTTTATTGATCGAGTGCTAAACGACGTCCATGATAACAATGACGATACTTTTAATACATTTTTAGCACAGGTCCTTCAATGCAGTTTTATTCATTGAGGGAGAGTTTGCTCATGATAATTAATATCATGGTCATTCTTTACTTTGTTGACCAATTTATAAAACATGCACGTCACGGACGTTTTAAAATCAGAGGGTAAATTTTTATTTTGTTTCTTACATGACGCAGAGTAATTTTTTTTTCTAATATTTTTTTAGATTAAAATGTGATGTTTTTTTTCCTTATTGTATTTTACCAAGGAAGCTTGATATATTTCGTGTTGGTGTCAAATACTACGTCACTCTCATACTTACACCGTGCATGTTAAGTGGATATGCAACTGCATGTTATGACAAATAACGATAATTAATTTTCTCACCTGTCGAAAAAACTTTTCATTCGACATCTTGGTGAACCATGATTTCTCGAATATCTATAACATGGCTTGAAAATATTTTTATATTTATATATATCTTATAAACCACGAGGTGGTTCTATATTTGGTGGAAAATGTTAAAAAAAAGAAAAAAAGAATATTTTATCATGATATGTTTTATGTACACTAAGTGAAAATTACTTTTCATTCCGTTGAATTTTTTGTTATTAAATCCATAGTGAAAAACAAAGCAAAATAGTGTTAAACGATGAAGAAACATTCAATTAATGCTGAAATATATATTGAAAATCAAACCTACGTAGTTTTTAACCATTTGAACTGAATAACAGGAGTATTTACTTCACTGTATTTTAATCATGAAATACGGCAGTTTGAGCATCTTAATATATTTATTTTCAAAAGTTGCTCGAACAAAAAATAAGCCGGAAAAAATGCTTTTAAATGGTAGATGAATAAATACTGCTTCTATTTTTTTGAATATTACATGAAAGAAGGATAATCTTGATGATTATCTGCATTGTACTTATGATAAAGTATAACTTTTGCGTGTTGTAGATGATGATTTGTATTTTATAGTATCGTAAAACATTAAATATGTTTTGTAAAATAAAACAAGACAAGCAATTTTTTAATACTAAATTTTTATGGTGGACCATAAAAAATATTCTTGTTTCCATGTTGAGGAATAAAANGAATCGCTAATATGGATCCTAATGATAAAGAAGCTTTAGTGCCAATGATTGAAGATCTTAAAAAAAGTTCTGATTATGAAAATCGAATGAATGAAATCAGCAAATATAATAAAGTAATTTCATACTCAATAAGACAGAAGAAAAGTGGAAATGACGATGAAAGAAATTGAAAACTCTTTTGGTGGTAACATTTGCCGGTGTACTGGATACCGGCCGATTCTGGATGCTTTTAAAATTTTTGCTAGTGATGCTCCCGCTAACATGAAGAAAAGTATTAAAGATATAGAGGTAGTGTGTATTTAAAAAGTTAAATAGTATGTAATTTTTTTCTCCATACCTACATTTTTTTATATCGTTGTGCCTTTTTTATAATATTATTATATCTACAAAAATAATCAAGAATCTTTTTAACATCTCACATTAGAACCTACATTAGTTATTAAATAAAATATTGATATTATTTAACATAAATGATGAAAGAAGAATACTTGATAGGTATAAAGTGAGTACAACTATGTTTTATTTTAAATCATTTTTCGTAAAAATATACCTACATGGTGGAAGGAAAAGAAGGTGTGCCCATTAGACAATTAAATTGAAAATTTCTGCGTCTTCATAAAATCGCCATGTTTGTCTTAATTTTAAATTATTTGATTGGCTCCTGACCTAAATGGCCGACATTCGCAAGGGCTTGTGATTGGTTGACTTTTGGTAAGATGCGCGTGAGCAAACCTTGTCTTCTAAATTTCTTGTATCACAATTAACCTATAAATAGTAGTGTTGTTTATATTTGCGTTTTATTTAAACCAAGGATAGTTTAATGCAATTGTAAAATTGAAATTTACACATCCTATCATATTATTACTAGCAGATTTTCAATATTTAACAATCTTCAATAATGTTGTTAAATTTTTAATAAAATATAATAATTTTACTATTTTTCAAGATTTCTTGCAATATCCAAGCGAAAATTATTTTAACGTAATTTACTTGGAGTCAGTCAAGATCCATTCCAGATCCTCGAGACCAATGACTTACCCAAAAATTTCGATTTGATTTCCTTCCTATGCGAGGTAAGCGTGCTTTTTATGAAGATTCAAACTCATATTATGCAATTTTTATCAATTTAAAATGTTAAAGTTAAAATGGTACTGTTACGTAATTGTATTAGGTAGCTGAGATTATCACAAGAACTCAAAAACGAGATCTTAGATCGTCTCTTATTTAGCTACTTGATAGTTCTACTGTATATGCTTATATAAATTTAGTATTTTCAAGTTTTTAGTAATAAATTCTTTAATAACAGTTTTATTCTTATAGCAGTAGATGAATTTTTTTGATCCTAAAGTCACAAAATTGTTCTTTTTTCACCCTTTAGTAATTTGCATATTTCACAAAAATCATTTCTATCTATTCAAATCTATAGTTTGAAACCACGTCCAGCCCAATCCTATCTGAAAATAAATTTTCCGCCCTCGGGTGGTTTTGGGAGGCTGGTACTTCCTTGGGCAAAAAAGCAGTTTTCCGATACTCGTTCGAAAAGTCTCCTTTACGAACCTCGTTACGGACCTCGCCTTCGGCTCGGGCCGCAAACCTCTCGGTTCGCAAACAACGACTTTTCAAACTCGTAGGAAAACTACTATTTCGCAATAGTGTGCGGAAAATAGATATTTTTCGCAGTGTTTTTACTGTGGAAAATTGATTTTCCCGCATAGTGTGCGAAAAAAGTGTGTGGCAAATGTTTTTCCGCACACCGGAAAAAATTTTTCTACATGCCAGAAATCTCGCGAGGAACAAATTAAGATACCGTGTGTGTATAACTATCATTATACTACCTGGTGTAAGTCTCAACTTTCCAATAAAACTCCTTCTTGATTACTTTTTTTGTTAATTCCATAAAACTATATCATATAATAATTTCAGAACATTCCATTGGGAACCACAATCCTACTGTGTTGGTGAGGAATCCTTTAAAAAAATTGGTTACAGTTGTAAAATTATTTGAAAATGTTTTTGTTTAAGTAATTCAATGTTAATTTTTTACAATAAAATTTTATTTTAATCCAATTTTTGCTTTTATATTTGTGGGATAAAATTACTTTATTTTCTTTTGAACGATCATTTGATATTTTTGCAGTCAGGTAGGCTTTACTCCCCTCGTACTCCCTACCGTGGGCTCCATCCCCTTGTCCCCCACCAGGGGTTGCTACCCCCAGATCCTGCACAATCTTTCCTGCGAATCATTAACATACTTACTATTTTCCTCACACTTATTGCGGAAAATCTTGTACGCAACTCGTGTGGGACGACTTCCCACACTCGTGTGATAGACTAGCACTCGCGGCTGGTGACGGTAACTTAGGCCTTGCGATCATACTCGTGCTACGCACTCGTGTGCTCAACTGGCACTTATTCCCGTCAACTCCAGCCACTCGTGCGAGTCAATCACGACTCATACAGAAAATCGTCTTTTCCGCACTTGTTACATGCATAACTATTGTTTAATTTCATTTCAGATTTTTTATTATTTAATCAGTTTTATATGGAGGTATTTTTTGAAATTTTGACAAAGAAATATTGTGCAAATAACGAGGGCATGGCGCAAGTTATACTTTTACGAATTATTTAGTCACAAAATCTAGGATTTATTCAGACTTAGCTATAGATGAAAAATCTCGCTTAAGAGGACAAGTATGAATGTAGTAATGTTCAGGGCCTAATGTGCACTTAAACGCCACTAGATAACAAAGGAGCTATTTACAGTGGAGAAGCATAGAGCATAAAGCAGAAACACNGTATTTAGATAAAGAAGGATTAGGGAGCCGAGTAAAAGGCTACCACACGTTGCAAGCCACCCTAGCTGAAATGAACGGGTCTCAATGTGGTTTCTGCTCACCTGGATGGGTTATGAACATGTACAGGTATACATATACCTCAAAACCCATTTTGCATTTCACTTTTTTGAAAAACTTCTTAGACAATCATTTTTTTAGTCTCACGAAAGGTAAAAAAATGACGATGAAAGAAATTGAAAACTCTTTTGGTGGTAACATTTGCCGGTGTACTGGATACCGGCCGATTCTGGATGCTTTTAAAATTTTTGCTAGTGATGCTCCCGCTAACATGAAGAAAAGTATTAAAGATATAGAGGTAGTGTGTATTTAAAAAGTTAAATAGTATGTAATTTTTTTCTCCATACCTACATTTTTTTATATCGTTGTGCCTTTTTTATAATATTATTATATCTACCCTGTAGGTAATTTTACTCCTTAAGGCAATTATCAGTGAATCATAATTTATTGGTAATCGTAATTTTATTATCATGATTTTAGGACATTTATAAAATCCAATCGTGTAAAAATTGCCCAAAAGTAGCACGTAATGGTACTTGCAATGATTTGGAAGTCATATATAAATCCAGTATTCCCAGAAAAATGATAATAGAGTTAAAAGATAGTACGAAAATCTACAAATTATTGGATGTTAAGAACATTTTTAAAATTTTTGAAGAGCACCCAAATGCAAAGTATATTATTAATGGTGGGAACACTGCTCATGGTGCGTATACCTTATTTAATCGACTTTGCAATAATATTCGCGTTGTTCAATAAGTACTATCAACAAGTTTTTTATACTAAGGTCTATATCGTGTAAATAAAATGCAAGTGTACATTGATATTAATGATGTATTGGAACTGCATAGAGTTGAAAAAGAAAAAGACATCCTTACTTTGGGTGCAAACATAACTCTCTCTACGGCGAAAAACTTATTCAGTAAGTATGCACAGGAATCAGGCTTCCAATATCTAAAACAAATGGCTGGTCATATTGATTTAGTCGCGAGTGTGCCCATCAGAAATGTAAGTATGTATATTTTGTATATTATCATTACGTGAGATGCAATAATGATTTTATCTTAGATTGGAACGATTGCTGGTAACTTAATGATAAAAAATGAGCACCGGGAGTTTCCTTCAGATATTTTTTTAATACTTGAAACAGCTGGAGCCGAAATTCATATATGTATGTAATTTGTATTTATACGAAAATTTACATTGTTCAATTTTATTTTTTTAAAAACAAATTTTATTAAAAAATTGCAGTGAGCGCCCCAGGCTCTAAAGATAATGTTGAATTAATCAATTTTTTAAACTTAAACATGAATAAGAAAATAATTTATAGCATCGTACTTCCAGCCTTAAGCAGTGATTATGTATACAAAACTTATAAGGTAAAATGCTACATTTTTTTCCAAAATTGTTTTATGTCTAAATAATTATTTAATTAGCGCTATTAATTGATTAATTTTACACTAAGATAATGCCAAGAGCTCAAAATGCTCATGCTATAGTTAATGCTGGATTTCTTTTTAAACTTGATGATGGTGGAAAAGTTCTGAAAAGACCAAATATAATATTTGGTGGTATAAGACCCGAATTCGTAAGTATAACAAATGATGACAATAGTAAAATATTCTTATAAACCGTTTTTTGTTACTGATTTGCTTGCTTATTTAGTTATGTATTTGTTTGTTTGTTCATGTATTTGTCTTTTTTTTTAGCTACATGCAGTAAAGACTGAAGAATTTTTGGAGGAGAAATGTATTTTTGACATAAGAGCTTTAAAACAAGCATTACACATTTTGGATTCTGAGTTAAATCCTGATCACGTATTACCTGATTATAAGCCAGAATTCAGAAAACTTTTGGCTCTTTGCTTATTTTACAAGGTTTTTAATCGAAAGTTTAAATAACTAAGTCCACATAACACAACTGTAAGAATTTGAAAAATCTTATTGAATGTTTTACAGTTTATTCTTAGTGTAAATCCAAGTAAAATTGAAGAGAAATTACGTAGTGGTGGCACTTTGCTAGAACGTGCATTGTCGTCAGGCAAACAGGATTATGAGACAAATAGCAAGAAATGGCCAGTTAACCAACCATTACCGAAAATGGAATCAATTTATCAAACGTCAGGTGAAGGCGAGTACATAAATGATATGGCTATCAGAGACAACGAAGTATTTTGTGTCTTTACATTAGCAGAAGCTCCTGGCGTGATTGAAAAAATTGACTACGAAGAAGCTTTGGTAATAACTTTTTTTTTCAAAGGAATTGTTTTTATTTGATAGTTCAATTATAAACTTAAGAATTTTCTAGGAATAAAAACTAAAGCACTAACCATCACAACTTATATAATTAGTATACTTTACTTTTAAAATTTATCAAAATCGAATAGTAATAATTAATTGTTAATACCATACTATTTTTATTATTATATTATGTATCATTAAAAAAAAAAATTATTGAAAAATAATAAAAAATAATAATCTTTTGCGGGCACTTGTACTAATTGATCTCGCATACAAAAAAAATCATCACTAATAATAAGTATTAAGAAGTTTCAATAATAACTTGTGGCAGATATTGTGAAAAATAAGTTTTAGTAGTTGTTTAAAATCTAGACTTTATAAACTGTTATTATTTTTTTATTTTCAACTTTAACTATAATCTTGACTGATTAATAAAAGATTTTAAAATTATATCATGAAAGCAAACCATAAGTTTTTGTCATTATGTGTAAGTACAAATTTTACGATTCGAAGAGTCCATCCATAATTATCTTACGAAACCAGTGCTTGCAACGATTGATTCTAGGTAGGGATGAAAAAGAAGTGGTCACTTTGTATCCATTGAAAATATTAGCCATAACAAGACAAAGAAGCGCACAGTAAAGTTTAAGAGGCTCAATAACATACTTTAATAATATTAAACATATTTGTAAAATTTCAACTGAAGTTGATTCTTTTGAAACAAAATGGGACTTAGAGAAAGTAAATTAAACGAAAGTGTGTAAGTTGTTTAGACATTTAAAATGAATTTTATACAAATTTTTACATTAATAAATAATTTAATAGAGACACATCATAGTATTCATAATTATATTACACGTTTAAAGCCATTTTACATATTAATTTGTACGATTCAAAAAAATTATCACATAAGAAAATAAAAATTGTTTTGTGTTAAAATTTTTACTGGATAAAATTGAATTTTAAATATTTTTATGGACAGTAATAATAAAAGTTAAACAGCTATCGATAATTTTTTACTTATTTGGTGAATTAACGCATTTATTCACGACGTCTTTGGTGATATAACAGCATCAACATCATTACACTGTATGCTATCGTCCACACTTAATAATATATTCGAATAGAGCACGATGACATATTCTTAACAACAAGCTTACATCTAGTAATTTTTTTAAAACACCACGTTATCTTTTAAACTAGACACATCCTCTTGCATCATAAGCTGAAGTTTATAAAATTATTTTCTTAAAGAAATTAAATGCTCTCTGTTTAAATCTTATAGAGCTCACCAGTCGAAGGTCAATAGTGAAGATAATCAAGCTGTGCAACTAACGATTAATAATATTTTGTATGAAGGTATACATACTGAAATATTAATCCATCGTGTAAAATAAAGAATAAGCTGATACCTCTATTTTTCCTTGAATGTTTTTAGTTTCTAGAAACATTTCAGCTGAAACTTCCTTAAATAGCTTTATACGTCAAGTAGCTTGTCTTAAAGGAACGAAAGCTATGTGTCACGAGGGAGGCTGTGGTGCATGCCTAGTAGCAGCAGAAATTAATGGCCATGTTATGTCCATTAACTCGTGTTTGGTCCCAATTCACATTTGCGATGGGTAAGGCTGATGGTGATAAATAAATCATACATTGCCTCAATAATTTAATATACTATTTTGCCTCGCATGTTTTTTTGGCGTTTCAAGTTGGAAAATCACAACCGTCGAAGGATTAGGGAGCCGAGTAAAAGGCTACCACACGTTGCAAGCCACCCTAGCTGAAATGAACGGGTCTCAATGTGGTTTCTGCTCACCTGGATGGGTTATGAACATGTATAGGTATACATATACCTCAAAACCCATTTTGCATTTCACTTTTTTGAAAAACTTCTTAGACAATCATTTTTTTAGTCTCACGAAAGGTAAAAAAATGACGATGAAAGAAATTGAAAACTCTTTTGGTGGTAACATTTGCCGGTGTACTGGATACCGGCCGATTCTGGATGCTTTTAAAATTTTTGCTAGTGATGCTCCCGCTAACATGAAGAAAAGTATTAAAGATATAGAGGTAGTGTGTATTTAAAAAGTTAAATAGTATGTAATTTTTTTCTCCATACCTACATTTTTTTATATCGTTGTGCCTTTTTTATAATATTATTATATCTACCCTGTAGGTAATTTTACTCCTTAAGGCAATTATCAGTGAATCATAATTTATTGGTAATCGTAATTTTATTATCATGATTTTAGGACATTTATAAAATCCAATCGTGTAAAAATTGCCCAAAAGTAGCACGTAATGGTACTTGCAATGATTTGGAAGTCATATATAAATCCAGTATTCCCAGAAAAATGATAATAGAGTTAAAAGATAGTACGAAAATCTACAAATTATTGGATGTTAAGAACATTTTTAAAATTTTTGAAGAGCACCCAAATGCAAAGTATATTATTAATGGTGGGAACACTGCTCATGGTGCGTATACCTTATTTAATCGACTTTGCAATAATATTCGCGTTGTTCAATAAGTACTATCAACAAGTTTTTTATACTAAGGTCTATATCGTGTAAATAAAATGCAAGTGTACATTGATATTAATGATGTATTGGAACTGCATAGAGTTGAAAAAGAAAAAGACATCCTTACTTTGGGTGCAAACATAACTCTCTCTACGGCGAAAAACTTATTCAGTAAGTATGCACAGGAATCAGGCTTCCAATATCTAAAACAAATGGCTGGTCATATTGATTTAGTCGCGAGTGTGCCCATCAGAAATGTAAGTATGTATATTTTGTATATTATCATTACGTGAGATGCAATAATGATTTTATCTTAGATTGGAACGATTGCTGGTAACTTAATGATAAAAAATGAGCACCGGGAGTTTCCTTCAGATATTTTTTTAATACTTGAAACAGCTGGAGCCGAAATTCATATATGTATGTAATTTGTATTTATACGAAAATTTACATTGTTCAATTTTATTTTTTTAAAAACAAATTTTATTAAAAAATTGCAGTGAGCGCCCCAGGCTCTAAAGATAATGTTGAATTAATCAATTTTTTAAACTTAAACATGAATAAGAAAATAATTTATAGCATCGTACTTCCAGCCTTAAGCAGTGATTATGTATACAAAACTTATAAGGTAAAATGCTACATTTTTTTCCAAAATTGTTTTATGTCTAAATAATTATTTAATTAGCGCTATTAATTGATTAATTTTACACTAAGATAATGCCAAGAGCTCAAAATGCTCATGCTATAGTTAATGCTGGATTTCTTTTTAAACTTGATGATGGTGGAAAAGTTCTGAAAAGACCAAATATAATATTTGGTGGTATAAGACCCGAATTCGTAAGTATAACAAATGATGACAATAGTAAAATATTCTTATAAACCGTTTTTTGTTACTGATTTGCTTGCTTATTTAGTTATGTATTTGTTTGTTTGTTCATGTATTTGTCTTTTTTTTTAGCTACATGCAGTAAAGACTGAAGAATTTTTGGAGGAGAAATGTATTTTTGACATAAGAGCTTTAAAACAAGCATTACACATTTTGGATTCTGAGTTAAATCCTGATCACGTATTACCTGATTATAAGCCAGAATTCAGAAAACTTTTGGCTCTTTGCTTATTTTACAAGGTTTTTAATCGAAAGTTTAAATAACTAAGTCCACATAACACAACTGTAAGAATTTGAAAAATCTTATTGAATGTTTTACAGTTTATTCTTAGTGTAAATCCAAGTAAAATTGAAGAGAAATTACGTAGTGGTGGCACTTTGCTAGAACGTGCATTGTCGTCAGGCAAACAGGATTATGAGACAAATAGCAAGAAATGGCCAGTTAACCAACCATTACCGAAAATGGAATCAATTTATCAAACGTCAGGTGAAGGCGAGTACATAAATGATATGGCTATCAGAGACAACGAAGTATTTTGTGTCTTTACATTAGCAGAAGCTCCTGGCGTGATTGAAAAAATTGACTACGAAGAAGCTTTGGTAATAACTTTTTTTTTCAAAGGAATTGTTTTTATTTGATAGTTCAATTATAAACTTAAGAATTTTCTAGGAATAAAAACTAAAGCACTAACCATCACAACTTATATAATAAATTTAAATAATATTTTATCATAAAAAGAAATATCACGTAATAAGTTACCAAAGTATACTGTTGGACTTAAAACTTCATTTGCTGTTATTGCAAGGAATTGGTTTCCGAAGCATACGTGTCAACTTACGCATAAATCGCTTAAAATTATATTTACATTATTAATAAAAATTAAAAACAGTCATATTTTAGGACTTGGACGGGGTAATAGCTTTTTACTCAGCTAAAGATGTTCCTGGAAAAAATACTTTTATAAACTTAGCCCAACAGTTTCCATTCATTGTTGAGGATGAAATTGTAGGTTATCAAAAATGCACCTTCAACTTGTTATATGTAAATTAAGAACAATAATTATTATTTAATACTTATGTAGTTGTTTGCCGAAAAAGAAATAAGATACGCAGGGCAACCATACGGGATGGTAGTAGCTGACTCTCAAAACCTAGCTCAGTACGCAGCGTCAAGAGTAAAACTTGTATATACACCTGGCCCTCAAAGAAAACCGATCATTACTATCAATGATGCTGTGGCAAGCAATGATAAAACACGAATATCTAAAAATGTTGATATGCCAGCTCAGGCACCAGCTGGTCAGTGCAGCTCAAAGACTCTCAATACATTCAACGAAGTTGATAATCAATTTTTTTTTTTTATTAGGAAAGAGTAACAAGTACAAACTCAAGGGTACTCACGAGTGTGGCCCTCAATATCATTTTTCTATGGAAACTCAGACTTGCGTTTGCGTACCCATCGAAAATGGAGTAGATGTATACCCAGCAACACAGTTCATAGATTTTTTACATGCGAATATTGCTTTGACTCTCAATATACCAATAAATAAGTATGTATTAATAATGCATTCTTCCTAAATTTATAATAAAGAAACTACTTTTTTTTCAGCATAAACATAAAAGTTAGACGACTGGGAGGTTCTTACGGTGGGAAACTAACACGTGCCAACCAAATTGCTTGTGCTTGCGCATTGGCTTGTCACTTGTTGAGACAACCAGCAAGACTGGTCATGACAATTGAGGACAACATGCGTGCAATTGGAAAGAGAGTACCATCACTCGTTGAATATGAGCTAATCGTAGACGAGAAGGGTGAAATTCAAAAACTGGACGCAACTTATTTTGGAAACATGGGTGCTTCGTTCAATGAGCCACACTCTATTCTAGTGGTCCATCATTTTTTCAATTGCTATAATCCATCAACCTGGTCTTTCACAGGATACGACGTGAAAACTGACATGCCGCCAAACACGTGGTGCAGAGCTCCTGGTATAATTTCGTTGAAATAAATTGTACAGTAATAATATAAAGCAATGGTATAAAATAGTAAAAAAAAAATTAATTATATCAATGCAGGTTCAACAGAAGGTGTATCGATGATAGAACATATAATGGATAGAATTGCTAAAGTAACCGGTAAAGATCCGATCGAAGTTCGAATCGCTAATATGGATCCTAATGATAAAGAAGCTTTAGTGCCAATGATTGAAGATCTTAAAAAAAGTTCTGATTATGAAAATCGAATGAATGAAATCAGCAAATATAATAAAGTAATTTCATACTCAATAAGACAGAAGAAAAGTGGCTTTTTTATTAATTAATATATTTTATTTAGGAAAACCGTTGGAAGAAACGAGGAATGTCACTTGTTTTGATGAAATATCCTTTTTTTGTATTTGGGCAGTATTACACTGCAATAGCTGTTCATGCCAGAGATGGGTCAGTGTCAATTACACACGGAGGGATAGAAATGGGTCAAGGACTCAATACAAAAGTACAAAAATCAAAATTTTCAGGCTATAACACTCATAGGGTTGATAAACGAAATTTGAAGCGGGGTTCATTTTCAGGTTGCTCAAGTCGCTGCTCATATTTTAGGAATTGACTTAAACATGATTAGTATAAAGCCAAGTGACAGCTTCAACGCACCAAATAATTTTTTTACTGGAGGAAGTTTTGGAAGCGATGTTTTTGGAACTGTAAGTGTGATCGATATTACGTAATTTTATGTAATAAATAATTTTAAACGATGATTTTTTTGTTAGGCAACAAAATCTGCATGTGAGAAACTTTTGAAAAGATTGCAACCAGTTAGAGAAGCTTTGGGTGGAAATCCATCATGGCAAGAGTTAGTTTTAAAAGCACACCAGATGCTAGTTGATTTGTTTGTCTCATTCACGTACGTATCTCTACAATCACCAATAAAAATTTTAATGCAACTGACTTTTGTAGTATACCAATACAAACTGCATTTTTTACTATATTACCGGGCTATCACAACATTTTTTTTCTTAAACAAGGTATACGCCAAATCCGCAAATAAATAGTTATAAAATTTATGGAGCTACAGTTTCTGAAGTCGAGATCGACGTATTGACAGGTCAACATCTGATTCGGCGAGTAGACATTATAGAAGATCTTGGAGAAAGTTTAAATCCAAAAATAGACGTAGGTCAAATCGAAGGAGCCTTCGTTATGGGAATTGGTTACTGGACATGCGAAGATTTAATATATGATCCAAAAACCGGAGGACTAACAAACTACAGAACTTGGGTGAATTGAAATAATTGTTTTTGATACGTTTTTGAGCAATAACAATACATATAAAAAAATGGTTTAGTTTGATTTAAATCTCGTACACAAACAAGATAGGTTCAAATGGCATGACAATAATAAATCATTTTTATGCATAGAACTATAAAGTACCAGGACCTAAGGATATACCCACGGATTTTCGCATATCATTTCGTCGTAATTCAACAAACCCTTTAGGAATATATGGATCAAAAAGTAAATATTTCAACTAAAACTTTATTTCCCAATTGTATATCTCCTTGTTCACCAATTTTTCACACAATTATCATAAACATGCATTCATAAATCATCATGATGTATAATAAAAATTTTCGTATTTATAAAACGAATTCATTACCGTTTTTTTCATGTAAATTTAAAGTTTTTTTGTTTTTTTTTTAAGCTGCAGGTGAACCCCCTATGTGTATGAGTTGTTCAATACCTCTAGCAATTAGACAAGCTCTTGACTCGGCACGAGCAGATGCAGGAAACAAAGATCCTTGGTATCAATTAGGTAAGCAGGAATACGAAACTTGTGCCTTTAAAATTTAGAATAAATATTATTATTTCTCTTACAGATAATTGTGTCACAGTAGAGAAGATTTTACTGAATAGTCTTACAAGTATTGAAGATATGAACTTATGAATTCCAACATAACTTTGTTTAATTTATAATCATTTGTTTATGTTTGAAACAATTTAAAAATGATAAAGGGAATCATCGTATTGTAATAAAAAGCCCCGATAAATAACAGTTAAGCCATTTAATAAAAAAACTCCATATTCCACCCTCAATGATTTTAAACCAATTTGTTTTATCAAATTTAATACTAACAAAGCGTCTAAAAACATTTTTGTTACACAAATATATATAGTGTTTCCTGTGTGACTAAAAAAAAATCTATGTTAATACCATGACTTTTTATGCTGGAAGCAATTCTTCACTTAATATAACGATTAAATATCATGTTCTTGTTCAACAATTCATTTGTTTGTGAAACGTATATCTGTTTGAATAAAAAGCAAGCGGATTTTTTTGTTATTTGTATAATAGCCCCGAATTTCGTGTACAGAGAACGGACTGCCAATTTATCATTTAATGCTTATCTTGGCTCGTGTGGGGATAAATGTCTCGGAGAGAGGGACTTGAAAATTTCGCGTTGCAGATGCAGGCGAGTTTGTGTTGACTGCTGAGATACAGTGTTGATTGGCTCCAGTACACTGGACAGATTATACAAAGACTCACAAGTTATTCAGTTATTAATTATCATAGAGTGAGAGAAAAGTAGATATTGTTCTAATAATCATGGGTCAGGGTGAAAGCAGTTCACCAGGTGAACAGTAAGTTATTGAAATTTTTCCAAATCATAAGACTTGTAATTAGTTCAAGAAAATCAAGAAACATACTCTCGCAGACGTATGAATTTTTTTGGTTTTTTAATTTTCCGTACAAACATTTTTTACTCAAATTTTAAGGCTGATGGAGTTACAAAACAGGTTCACTTTCACTGCGCTTTCACTATGTGCTCTTTACATTAAATTTTTTTACGTGTAATTTTAGTGCATCATCAATATATACTAAATAAACTCGTTAAATTTGTTTAATTTTATACACTATCTATTCTTAGATGATTCCGTATAGTATCATAGAAAGCCAACATTGTGTGTAACATAATAGTAGTATAAGATACTAGCAATAGCATCATTTAGAAAAAATATACAACAATAATTTACTATTATTTAGGACTGCATAAGACTGAATTGTTTACTTGAACTATGCTATAAAACTTCAGTCACAAAGTTGATTTAATTAACATTATAATATGTGCAATACATAAAGGCATTTTACCACAGCTTTCGCAATACTGTGCACAAAGGCCTAAATCCTAACTTTTCGGCTTGTAATTATATGGTACTAAATCTTATAAGTACCCAAAATGTAATTAAAATATGTTTACGTTGTAATTTTTTCGTAGATTTACTATAAAACCGTCAGCTTATCGAAAACGTTAAATTTTAACCTTGAAAAAACACAAGTCGTGTTACACCTTGAAAACGATTTTTTTCCTTCTTTTAAGATGTAACCGGTTTTTTCACTTCACTACTATCACATCGACCTGCCTACTTCACAAATCTCTGATCTGTCTTGCATATATCCTTACCATTATTCGTACGGCACATCCGTATTCACTTTGGTATTTAGGGTTTCGAAAAAAAATGCTTTCTAAAAACGATTATATTGGCGTAAAAAAATTCATCTTTCCTTCTACCAAAAAAAAAAAAAAATGTCCAAAATACTTTTTTCAAGATATAACAGATTTTTCGTTTCTTAAAATGAAAGTCGATACTACTCATAAACTGATAATTTAATTTAAAAGCAAAAAAAATTAACTGAAAGTGTGTCACAATATTTTTACGTATGGACTCAAATACAATAATCATGATTTGTAAATAAAGAGTTTTGATACTGACACACAGTACTAGGAAGGTTGACGTGAAATAATACCTTCATACGTTAAAATATACGTAAACAATATGTAAACTATAAATTCAAAATATTGTTAAAAAACACACAATTTTTCGATAAATGTATATTAGAAATAATGTATTGTCAATGATCTCTAGTGATGATTCAACAGTCTCACTGGCGATAAATGGCACGGTACATACAGGTTGGTATTAAAAAGCCACAAAAATTCACCAAAAATACAACTAATCAAATGTTTTTTCATTTTTTTCAGTTTCTAATAAAACAATATTAAGAAACTCGTTAAACACATTTATTCGTGAAGTAGCTTGTTTAAAAGGAACGAAAGCTATGTGCCACGAAGGGGGATGTGGTGCGTGTATTGTAGCAGTAGAAACGAATGGTCGCCTAATAGCTGTGAATTCTTGTTTGGTTTCAGTATTTTTATGCGATGGGTAAGTTGACCAACTAAACCTACAACTTATAGTTTTTGAAAAGTAAGATTTTTTACAGCAAATGCATTATTAGAATTTTATGTAAAAGTCAAATTCAATTCATTCAATAGATGGAAAATCACAACCGTTGAAGGATTAGGGAGCCGAGTAAAAGGCTACCACACGTTGCAAGCCACCCTAGCTGAAATGAACGGGTCTCAATGTGGTTTCTGCTCACCTGGATGGGTTATGAACATGTACAGGTATACATATACCTCAAAACCCATTTTGCATTTCACTTTTTTGAAAAACTTCTTAGACAATCATTTTTTTAGTCTCACGAAAGGTAAAAAAATGACGATGAAAGAAATTGAAAACTCTTTTGGTGGTAACATTTGCCGGTGTACTGGATACAGGCCGATTCTGGATGCTTTTAAAATGTTTGCCAGCGATGCTACGCCTGAGATGAAGAATCAAATAAAAGATATAGAAGTAATTATTTATTATTACCGTGGAGTACATGAACTTCTTAGTTTTAACGTGATATTTACATTAAACGCCATTAAAACGTAGCAATTATAGAGAAATATTGGGTTTATAAAATCATCTAAATTGTTGTTTATGAGCACTACTATCCGATTAATTAACTTTACTCTTAAAATTATCATGGGCAAACAAAAAGAATATTTTATCAATTGGTTTTAACTTTTGTTTTATTTACAGGAAGCGTATAGCATTCAGTCTTGTAGAAATTGTCCCAAAAATGCTTGCAGTGGCACATGTAAGGAAATGGAAATAATTCACGAGTCTAGCATGCCACGATCATTACAATTAGATCTAGAAGATTCCTTAAAGTTTTATAAGGTATTAACTGTTGATGATATTTTTGACATCTTTCGAAAGCATCCATCTTCTTCCTACGTAATCAATGGTGGCAATACTGCTCGTGGTATTTTAAAGATATATTACCAATAATCGATTATTAGTTGCAAATCATTCAAAATTAATATCTTTCAGGTGTTTATCGCCTCGGTAAAGTACAGGTGTACATCGATGTGAACGACGTTCTGGATTTGCATCGACTGTCCAAGACAAACGATGCTCTGACTTTGGGTGCTAATGTTACTCTTTCTATTGCAAAAGACAGTTTTGAAAAATACATGACACATCCTGGCTTTGAATATCTAAAAGAAATGGCCAAGCATGTGGATCTCGTCGCAAGTGTACCTGTTCGAAATGTAAGACTGAATATTTACCTCAGTATAAATCGAAAATGTTGAGAATTAAAAAATCATTGATTTATTAGATCGGTACGATAGCTGGAAACTTGATGATCAAAAATAATCACAATGAGTTTCCATCAGACATATTTTTAATTCTAGAAACGGCAAGGGCTGAAATCCACATTCGTAAGTAATCATCACGACAGCGTTATGATAATTGCTGAAATAAACTTTGTTAATGTGGTTATTTTATAATTAAAGTTGATTCACCCGATTCGAAAAAAAGTATGAATCTAATAGAATTTTTGTACCTACAAATGGAGAAAAAATTAATTTACAGCATCGTCTTACCGTCTATGAGTAAAGACTACGTTTACAAAACGTACAAGGTAATTGTTGATGTTGTTCTCTCGACTAAAAAAAAAATTTTTTGAAACCTTGAAATTAATCAATCTAAATTGACCGATCGTTTTCCATGATTCCGTGTCAAATACAAAACAGATCATGCCTAGAGCTCAAAATGCTCATGCTATAGTCAACGCCGGATTTCTTTTCAAGTTGGATAAGGATGGAAAAGTGTTAGAAAGACCGAATGTAATCTTCGGAGGGATTGATCCTGATTTTGTGAGTTAACTGTCTTGATAATCTGCAACATATAACTGAATGAAAAAATTCGATAATTAGCATAAAAAGTTTAATTATAAAACCAGAACAAGAAATATCACCCCAATAACTTAGAGAAACGGAGTTTTATGATATATACATACACAATTTACTTAAATATATATTTAAAACATTAAAACTTAACATGGTCAAATAAATATCTCGACAAATATAAGTATATTTTTAAACTGAGCTCAATCGGGCCATTTTTGCAGCTTCACGCATCAAAAACTGAAACATTTTTCAGTGGAAAGTGTATTTACGACCATCAAACACTCAAGCAAGCATTTAATGTTCTTAAGTCAGAACTCAATCCTGATCACGTTTTGCCGGACTTTACGCCAGAGTATCGTCAGCTATTGAGCGTTGGCCTCCTGTATAAAGTAATATGGTTTCACAATATTGTATTGCATTAAGGAAAGTTTTAAAAGTTGTCAAATTTTACTTAAAATCTCGATGCTAGTTTATTTTAAGCATCAGTTCAAGTCGCGTAAGTCCCAAGTTACGTAGTGGAGGCACTTTACTAGAACGCAAGTTGTCTTCGGGAAAGCAAGACTACGATACAAATAAGAACATTTGGCCAATAAACCAACCTATGCCAAAGATCGAGTCGATTTATCAAACCTCGGGTGAAGGCGAGTTTATTAACGATATCCAGATAAAACATAATGAAGTATTTTGCGCTTTGACACTCGCTGAAGCTCCCGGAAAAATATACAAAATTGACTACGAAGCTGCTCTGGTGATTGCCAATTTCATACATTATCGAAGCGTCGAAACTTGAAATAAACTATTTGAACGACATGTTTTCAGAATATCGATGGAGTCGTAGCTTTCTATTCCGCAAAAAACATTCCAGGGAAAAACTTATTTATAAACTCAGGTCTTAGTTTTGAATCTCTGGAATACGATGAAATTGTAGGTATTGACCTTAAAAAAAAAATTTAGTATTTTCATCCAAGATAAACATCTAATTGTTTTCTTCAAACAGCTGTTTGCAGACAATGAAGTACAATACGCAGGTCAACCTTACGGTATGATTGTCGCTGAATCTCAAAACATTGCTCAATATGCTGCTTCCAAGGTAAGCTTAGTTTACAAGGCGACATCCAAAAGGAAGCCTCTGATTACCGTGCAGGATGTCATAAATGCTAATGATAAGAGTCGAATCAAAAAGATAATAGAATTACCTGCAAAGGAAGCCCCGGGTATTGATTTCATACTTTGACATCTTTTATTTATAATTAACGAAAATATTATGTTGATGAAATTATTATCCATGTGATATAGGAAAAGATGAAAAGTACAAGATCAAGGGAAGTCACGTGGTAGGAAGCCAATACCATTTCAGCATGGAAGTCCAAACATGTGTTTGCGTTCCCATTGAAGATGGAATGGATGTTTTTTCAGCAACGCAATGGATGGATCTTACCCAAGCTTCTGTAGCCTCGTTACTTGACGTTCCTACCAACACGTTAGTACCTTTGGTTACTCAAAAAAATAAAGAAAATCCTAAAAGCTAAGAATCTGCTGGATGTTCTACTTTTTTAAGCATCAACATTAAGGTGAGGCGCCTCGGTGGCGCTTATGGCGCGAAAATCAGTCGCGCCACCCAAATTGCTTGCGCTTGTGCGTTGGCTTGTCATTTGCTGCGTAGACCAGCTCGCCTAGTCATGTCGATCGAGGACAACATGCGCGCGATCGGCAAGCGAGTGGCTGCTTATATGGAGTACTATGTGAGCGTCGACGAGCATGGCAAGATACAGCGATTGAATGGTTCTTACTATGGGAATAAGGGTGCTGCTTTCAACGAGTCGCACGCCACGAGTGCGATCAATTTTTTCTACAACTGCTATGACGAAAAAAAGTGGAATACGATCGGTTACGATGTCAAGACCGATTTACCGTGTAACACGTGGTGTCGATCGCCAGGTAAATTACATATGTGTTAGAAAATCGGTTATATGTACATTGGATTCTAATAGAGAGATGGATCTGCAACCAAACGCTACTGAGTCCAAGTTTTTATCTTATTTTATCATTATATTCGAGAACTAAGATGAGGGGCTTGAGAAAAAGAGATTTACCATAAAAAAATGCCCTTTCGAAATAATTATTATTTTATTATATCCATTTTAATTATCCATTTGAGATGAAAAATATTTCTTTCCCACTTTCCCAAGTACAATGGATATTTTCACCGTAACACTTCCTTCTCCATAAAATTGTCAATAAAATGGATTTTTATTAAATATTTTTTTGAATTTTCACAAATTCAAAATTTTCATACATCCCTTGTTTGTAATTTATTGATCCATACAACAAATTATGATTTTTTACTTTTATACGTAGATTAAACTAGAGAACATTTCTTACATACTAATGAAAATTGAATGACGTTTAGGTTCTGTAGAGGGAATTGGATTGATAGAGCACATAATGGAAAGAATCGCAAGAGTGACAGGAAAAGATCCATTGGAAGTCAGAATAAACAACATGAATCAGACGGACAAAGAAGCTTTGCTGCCAATGATTGAAAATTTGAAAAAATCATCCAATTACGAACAGAGACTCGGAGACGTGAAAAAATTTAACCAGGTATTTGTTGACTACTGCTACACGTCAAATGAATCGATGAGATCTTCATTCAGCGAATCAGCAAACGTTAACATTTGTTTTATTATTTCAGGAAAATCGTTGGAAAAAGAGAGGTATATCTTTGGTCACGATGAAGTATTCACTGTCACTTGTTGGACAATACTATTCGATGGTATCGATCTACGCACGAGATGGTACGGTCTCGGTATCACACGCCGGAATAGAAATGGGGCAAGGACTACACACTAAAGTAAAAAATAAATTTTCTCATCGGCATTTTCTACTTCATAATCCGTAACGCAATGTAATATGCTCTTACTACTGTTTCATTCACAGATGGCCCAAATAGTTGCATCTGCGTTTAATATAGACTTGAAAATGGTGAGCGTGAAACCGAGCAACACTTTGATATCCCCAAACAGTTCCGTCACCGGTGGAAGCGTTGGTAGTGACGTCTGTGGCTTTGTACGTCCCAACGTTGAAAAATATCCATAAAAATTATCTCACTTCTCAAAAAACACTTTTGTAAAAACGAGTACTTTTGTTTAGGCAACGCTGTCGGCATGTAAGATTATTTTAAAAAGACTCAAGCCAATCAGAGACACTTTTGAAAAAGAGCCCACGTGGCAAGAATTGATACTCAAGGCGCACACCGATGGAATCGATCTACATGCCTCTGACCTGTATGTAGCACCATCCAGTGATAACTCATACCCAATATACGGAGCTACGGTATCCGAAGTGGAGGTGGACATGCTGACTGGACAGCACCTCGTCCACCGAGTTGATATTCTCGAAGACGTTGGAGTAAGCTTGAGTCCCAAAATCGACTTGGGCCAGATCGAAGGAGCCTTCGTTATGGGCATAGGCTTGTGGACTTGCGAGGATTTAATATATGATCCGAAAACCGGAGGACTGACAAACTACAGAACTTGGGTGAATGTGGAATTTTAATCATCATGAGTACACTCGAGTGCTTACTTACGTGAGGTTACTTTCGTTTTCAGAATTACAAAGTTCCCGGGGCAAAAGACATTCCAGTAGATTTCAGGGTCTCCTTCCGTCGCAATGCTTCCAATCCACTCGGGATATTGCGTTCGAAAGGTTAGTTTTTAAATAATATTTTCAAAAACATTGAAACTGGTTATACCGAGTCGTATCATTTTTTTTTTCAGCTACTGGAGAGCCACCTCTTTGTATGAGCTGTTCCATTCCCATCGCAATACGCCACGCTCTAAACTCGGCAAGAGCAGATGCGGGAAATACAGATCTTTGGTATCAAATGGGTAAGCTGGAAAGCAATGTGATTTTAATTCAATAATTCACATAAATTTTTTGTTCAACAGATGCCGCTGTCACAACCGAAAAAATTTTACTCAACAGCCTCACAAGTATAAATGGAATGGAATTATAATGTGGACAAAGGACCTTATAATAAATTTATATTATACGTATACTTAACCCAGGAATTATTTTTAGAAAAAAGTTATGTACACGCAAGTTTCTCTGGATAATAAATAATAAAAGACTCTTAATTTTTTTTTTCGATTTCATTCAATCAGCTGATGATTGCTTTCCATAAAAAATTATTAATATATATTCGAAAGCGTGAACATAATGTGCAATGTCAAATTTTAGTTAAAAACTACTATTACCCTGATATTTGAACGAATTTTTATAAAAAATGTACAGATTTTTGAAAAGTTATGAAAGCCTCGGTGAATTGTTGTATTTTTTTTTCAAAAAAGTGCTCTTGTGTAAGAAAATTTTTTATAAATTTTTACCATGCATCTTTAAATTTTAAATACTAACTATTCTTGGAAGATGGCAATAATATCATTCTCTTTTTTTTCAACAAATCAAAGTGAAGGTAGCCCAAATTCAATTTGATATTGTGATTATCTGTCAGCCGGAAGTATATTTTTTTATAATAACCGAAAGAACGCATTATTTGTCAAAACATTATTTAAAAGCTTGATTGTTAACCCAAAAATTGTTCAAAAGTCAAGTGTAAGTATAAAAACCATGGTCTCTGACGAGCTACAATCGGGTTGCAACAAAACCTTCCAAAATCAACATCTGTGCGGGGATGGTACCGACACGAAAATTATTGCTAACCTCAACGTAAGTTTCTTCATTTCCCAACAATCCTGTTTATCCCATAAAAAAAAAAAAAAAAAAAAATACGGAAAAACTCGTTGCCGATGAAACAATATGCACACAGGACTCGTTATCGGACAAAAGCTTGAAAATAGAAAGTACACCCGAGACAAGCGCAAACGACGAGTCCGACGGCACTGGCTATCAGAACCTGAACCGCACGTACTCGTGCGAGAAAATTGACGAGACTTACAACGCGGGGGATGCCGATCCCAAGGAAGATAAGATCGATGAATTCTCGGTCACGGAGATATTCGACGACGTGTCGCAAAATACGATCTGGAAGCACCGCAACTTTTTCAGTATTGCCAATGGCTTCGAGTCCATCAAGTGGAGCGAAATCAGCAATCTCAACATCGGTACTTTTCACGATCTTACGTGTTCACCTACAACTTGACTGAAAACACTAATCAGCCAAGTTTCCATTGCTAAATAGTTGTCGTGGACTTGACGAGGTTATGTTTTTAATAATCAAAGTAAATCCGTGCAGAAAACTTGACCTTCGAAGAATCGAAAACCGATGAAAGCGAGAACGATTCGATGCTGGTAAAAATCAGGAACTACCTGGCAGAGTATCAAGAGTTGCGGGGTATGTCCCGAGGAGATCACACGTACTCGAATTTGTTGAAAATAATGAGCCAAGCGACCGGACGATGTTTGTTGGCTCTGTTTTACGTGATGATCAATATCGCACCGGTTTTGGAGGTAAATTTGACTTATTCGCACGAATCGATAGCAGCCCAGGAATTTGACGATATTCTTTTCAGATTTTTCTACACATCATGAGGTTCGTTTTCGATGCGATGATAGACCTTAAAAATACTACAGATACTCAACAAATTGCCGTCAAGACCGCGCTGTTTTTCGTTCAACTGTTGAGCATCTGCATTTGTTTGACAATCATTTTCGGCTTCATTGTCTCGCCAGTCATTCGAATGGCTTTCGGTATTATTACAAAAATCATGTTTTACGACTAATTTTTGTTTCTATTGCAGTGCATCCCAATCTTTTGCTCAACGCGTGTTTGTTACTTTAATTTTTCAATAAAACAAAACAGGGTTGCTTGACACAGTTTTCATGTAGTTATGAAAATTATTTATTTGTTTTTCATTCATTACATTCGAATCGTTGTAATTTGCTTACTTTACATTAACAAACCGGTGTGGAAATAACATGCTAGTTAAATCTTATAGCCATAACAATATTTAAAGTACGTAACTATACACGTAATTATCGATGCACTACATCGTTTTTTTAAAAGAAATGTTTACCATTATGATCAACATTGAATTTCTTAGAGATATTCACTGTTACGTGGTAATCTGCGTGTATCTAGATTTTTTTTATTTACACTTTTCTCTGATTGAAGATCGACATTGATGTTTATAACATCTTTTCTTAATTAACGTTATAATTAAAAAAGAACTTAACATTAGTTTCTTATTGAACTCGTCATTATAATAGAATTGTAACAAAATTTACGTGTTTTATGAGGTGTTGTTGAAATAATTTTAAATATTCTAGCACCTATATACAGAAATTTGTTGAATATTCAAAAAATTAATTGAATTTATAAGTGAAGCGTATTTATGATGCGACTTATTATCAACAAATTTTCTTAAAAATTTTTTACATTAAACATGCTTCTAGAGTACATAAAACCTAAGTATTGTTTCTTTAAAATAATCCGAATCTTTAAAAAATAACCAATAAATATTTAATACATGTATACTCATGAAAAAAAAAAATTTCGTCGATCCAAAAAAACGTTTATAAAAATACAAATATGTAAATATGTATTTTATTCAAATAAATATTTTATTTTAGTTTATCAAATATTACTTTACAGAGAGATTATTTATTTGGTTAAAATTAATATCATTTGATTTGAACAAATGTTTATTTTATTTGAATATATATTTGTTTGTCTTCATTCGTATTAACGTTTATTTAAATTGACGAAATTTTTTTTTCAGAAAATACTACTTTGATGAAAATCGAAAATATATGCATATGTATTGGTTTATAGTTACTCATATAACTTTCTTATAAAACTTTTAATGCATGATACAAATTTTCACTTAATTTTCACGCAAATTAAAATTAAAAGTACAGCGTTCTTGCATTTTCTTTCTCTTTTAAAATCACACAAAAAAATATAAAAGTACAAATAAAACTTGAAGACTAACTGTAAAAAAAGTCACCAGTCTTCTTAAACAATTGTTTGAAGTCTTCAATGAAAAAACAAAATTTTTTGTTAATGAATTCGTATTTAGATAAAACACACAAGATCGCAATTATCATGATCAATGTGATGATACTGTGAGTTAAACTCACTTATTTCCTTGAGAAGTGTCTTTTTATGTTACGATCAACTTTATAACTGTAATGAAATCGCAAGCATATACACAAAAGTAACAAGCAGTTTGTCAGATGTGATGTTTTGTATTGGAGTTTTATCATAAAATCTCAGATAGTTATTTTGTACGCAATACCGAATATTGTTTTCGGTGGAAATCAGAAATTTCATATTTTTATAAAAAATTTAATGCTTTTAATTTGTTGATCGTTGACACAATTGTTGCATAGGATATCGTGACACAATTTTCAATCTCATCGATAAAAATTTGGTTGAAGTAGTAGATTCTCTAAAAGATTGTTCAAAAATAAGTATGTCATACGGACTGGATTTAAAGTTAATTTTTTTCTTATTTTTTGGTACTTTTACCTGATTTTTATAAGAAAAAAAACATTAAAAATTGAAAATTAGATTTTTTATGAAATATTCGTGAGCCAGAGTTCATTTTTCTTTAAAACTACATTTTTACATATTCGCCAGATTTAATTTGCAAAAAAAGTGTACTCACTGTAAGAATAGAGATGTTTGTAAACAATTTTGTCTATTTCCAAGTATGTATAATATTCTACAATAACTACATTCAATTTTACTAGTTTTTTTAAATATTTTTTTTAACTTTATTTCACCAAAGGACTTTAATAGGCCTAGAATTCTTGGGAAAATACTACCTGAATTACTATTTACATTATTTTTCAGAATTATTAAAACCACGTTGAATTTAAACGTCAAAAAAAGTTAAAGATTTTCCTGTCATGTAATTACAATTTGCAGAAGTACTAAGAAAATGTTATGGGTATCCAAATATCTAAAAATAAAAGATATTTTGAGAAGTATTTTTGTTTGTATTTTTATATTAACTTTTATATTCAACTAAGTAAGTTTATGTTAAAGTTGTCCAGCGTATACATTCTTGAACCCGGAATTTTTCAATTTTGTATACTTGTGTATCGACTGATACTAACGCGATAAAATAACATCATTTTTTTTTAAAAAACAAAAATTTGTATTTCAGTTTGCATTTCGACATAGATTCGGTAAAAAGTAGTTGCAGTAAGTATACCATATGTCGTACCATAACTTATGAGCCTCACGCCGTGGAAGAGACCTAGAAAACAGTACGACAAGTCCGCAACTCGTTTCGATGAAAAAAAAAAAAAAAAGAAAAACTTCACTTTTGCTGAAGCAATAGTTCACATTTTACCAAAAGAAATTCGCCCCTTTTTTGGAAAGCAAGCAATTCTCCTTTGCTCCTAATAAATCACGTACATGGCAATCCAAAGCAAAGTCAAGAGGATCCTTGACAAACCAAACGAGTCCGCCGCGGCCCATCCACACTCGAGATCCGATTTGAGCGCCTCGGCGACCGAGACATTATTTTTATTGGCACAGTACGTCTCCCGCAAATCGTCGTCCCAGCCGTTGTCCCAACACTCGTACTCGTGTCCCTCTTCCCTATCGTAGTTGTACAGCTCCGAGTGCGAGTTGCAGCGATCCTCTTCGTACTGCCTATGTTTCCTCATCCACATTTCAATCCAACTAAGAAAAAAGTGAAAAAAAAAAAGAAAAAGAAGAAATCGTTTTTTTTTTCCAATGTCAAACACCTCGAGGCATGCACATGCAAAGCAGTTCGTGTCACGTTTACCCAATATCGCAGTCGCAGTTGAGGTGGCTGCCGCGCATCCGAAGCCTCATCAAGAACCGCCGGCCCGGCACGCCAGGCTTGTAAGAGTTGGAGGGATTGTGCAGGGTTTTGATCTCGTTCTCTCGCAACTCGACTGTCACGTTCCTAACGATCTCGGCGTGCGCAAACATTGTCTTGGGCACGTTGCTTACGCTCGTGTTGTACAGGCCAAAGTGCAGGTGCGGGTTTCTCATGCCCTGATGCAAACAGAGAGAGAGTTTTGGTCATTGTATTTTGAGGGGAGACAAAGAAAAAAACAGGAAGGAGAAACAGTAATTTAAGCTCGCCACAGTCTCGCTTTCGCGGCTAAATGAGCTTAAAAGATTATCTTACATGTAAGACTTCTGGGTGTATGCTCTTCAACGCTCGGCCGCTGAACGTGAAGTTGAAGAGTTTGACGGGGAAGCGGCCCCTCATCTCCTTCTCCAGAGTTGTATCGTTGTGTACCTTAATTGTCACGAAATTATTTGATTTTTCATTCACTTCGCAAATACAGGGGGTCCATCATCTCAAGTATACTCACGTCGATGAACAAGTGCCTAAGACCATGATTGTACTCCAGCATGTTTGGGAAATTGAAATTTTTTACGCCCGTGTAGGCAGTGCATAAGAGGGTTCGAAGTTTCGTTGCTTTGCACAGGGCACCAGCCTAATCGATAAATATGTATCACTGAATTTTTATATGTAGGTACAATCAAATAATTTTGAAAGCCCACAGTTAAGATGAAAAACTTTTCGAAATAAAAATAAATTTTGCAAATATTTAGAGATTTGCATTTACTACAAAAAAAGAACAAACATGATCGAGAGCTTAATCTCATAAAACACGTATGTGAATAAATCTTTTATCCAAAACTGCATACGGTGAAAAATAAAAAAAGAAAAAAAAAAAACAGAAAAAAGAGGTAAAACCAGAAATTAGAACAAACCTCAAAAGTGGAGAGCGAAAGCCTACGTATATCGAGAAGCTCGAGACTATCCGCGATTCCGAGGAAACTCGTGTTCGTGATTATTGTGATTGGATTATAGGCAATGTTGAACATTCGTAGATTCGGTAGGGCGTGAGTGATAAGTGGAACGACGGTCAGGTCGTTGTGACTCAAGTCCAGCAGATGAAGGCTTGTCAAGTTCGCCGCCATCTCCGCGGGAACTGTAGCCAGCTCGTTGTGTGCCAGGTGAAGCCTTTGTAGTCGATGGAATGGAAGCTCTGGGACCTAAATAACATGCAGAAAAGAAGAAAAAAAAAAAAAAAAAGAAAGAAAGAAAGAGGCGTACATGGAATCGCTTGACCTGTTCCACTCGGATGGGGTCTAATGAAATGTGTACACGTAACCGCAGGCGAGAATACTAACTCTGTCAACGATTACTCGTGTATTTACCCCAATACATATTTTGTGAGTAATTTTTAATAGAGAAATACAATGTTTCGTAGGTAATATATGATAATTGCTTATCATCATGTGTAGCAAGTACCAAAAACAAATCAAATTATCAATGAAAACAATGAATTGTTACGTCCAGTTGATAGAAGAAAGGAAGATTTAATAAATACCTGAAGTAAGGAAATATTGCTGAGTCCAAGGAATAACAGACATTCTTCCAATCCATGGAAAGTCCTTCCTCGGGGTTCAAGTATGAGCTGCTTGTTGTGGCTTAATTCAAGGTATGCCAATTGCGGTAAATCCGAGAAGACGCCATCGTCAAGCCTGACTAGTCGATTATAGGACAAATCGAGCCAGGTCAACCCCTACAACATCGTCAATTAAAAAAATAAGATCATGACAGTGTATGCGACAACGAAAATGAAACTTGTATAAGTGTACTACACGTCGTCATTGTTACGTGTTTTTTTTTGTCCCCGCCATCAATTTTACTTTCATTAACTTCCGAGGGCTATATATCTAGTTCAGAAAATGTGTGTCAACATAACGAGGGAGGAAGTTAAAAATAGAATAAAACATATTCCAAGCGTATGGTATTCAGCGCACATGGTAAAGATTAACTAAGGTCAATTAGCTTATCGCATTAGCGATGTGTCCACGTTCGTCGAATCCAATGAAGCGAAATTTACCAAGCGAGGTGGAGTTATATGCTACCTAGTCTCATTAACCACTAATCAGATTCGAACCGCATGTATCTGGTAAGAAAGAGTGAAATGAGGTTTGATTATATTGAAATTATGTAATCTTCGACTCGGGGTACGCGATCCTTGTTGAGATGTAATTGTTTTTATTCGTTATTTTTTCGGTATTTCGGAACGTGTATTACTTATCTTTTTATCCTAAAGAAAATCTTTAATCCTTTTATCGACTAATGGACAAAATACTAAAAAATCAACCTCTTTTCTCTCGATCTGAAGCAGTAAATACTTACAGTCTGATTAGGTCAATGGTACATCAGTAAATCTCAAGGTGTTACGAACGATTAGAATCTACGTGTGATCTTGAATTTTCTTTACTGACCAGTCGAGAGTAAAATTGTTAGCAGTGCAATTAACATTTTAAACTACTGGCTGTAACTAATCTAAATGTTTACTAATTTAAATGTAGAAGTACTGAAACTTACCTTTAATCTAAATATGGCATCTGTATTGTGTACACCGGAAATGAAATTCCACGACAGATCGAGAATGGACAAACTGGTAGCAGCAGTCATTGACATTGTCTTAATTGGCAGTCTCATGAATTGATTGTGTGACAAATCCAAGTACTCGATACTTGCGTCCATAAACAAATTATCCGCCAACGATCTAAGCCTATTGTACGATAGGTCTACTATTCTTAATTTCTTCAGTGACTTTAATGATTCGGCAGGTATGTCCATGATATTGTTGTGTGAAAACGTTAGCACTTGAAGATTCTTTGTCTCTCTGAAGCAGTCAAAATCAATTTCCATGATGTCGTTCCAGCTGAGGTCGAGCCACTGCAAGTGCGGCATATTTCCAAACACAGCCTGAGTTACGTTGCTGAGATCGTTGTGCGAGAGATATAAATGAGTTAACGAGTATTCGACTGGTTTAAAGTAAAAACGCATTATCTCCGTGATATTGTTATAGCTGAAGTCCAGGACTTTTATGTTCGATTGCATCATCCCACCTATTTAAACAACAAAATGATCCATATCTTTATTCCATATTAGATGTTTGTAAACGAAAAATTGTATCCTTAAATACGAAACCTTGAAAGTAGCTATTGTGGTTTGAAGAAGACGAAACTGAATCATTCACGCTGACGGACAATCGATGAATCTCATTGTGACTGGCATTTACTTTGAATGACGATAATGTTCCAACTTGATCAAAAGATTCAAAATCAAATTCGGACAATTTATTATACGCTAAGTCTAAAAATTCCAAATCTGGCAAATTCTGAAATCAATTCCCAGTTAACGAAACACAAATTACTCACTATCATAATCAAAGCATAAAACACTATTACTACCTGAAAAGCTTCATTTTGCATGTCTTTGATCTTGTTTCCGCGTAAATTAATGTACTTCAAACGATTCATGTTCATGAAGGCACGTCTTTCAATAGTACTAATTTTATTATCTTCAAGATTGATGGTTTGCATTGATGGTAAATCCACGAAAGTGTGAGTGGCTAAACTACCTATGTGATTGTAACCAAAGTCTGTATATTCCAAGGTTGAGTGGATATCCCCCTAAAAATAAAACGCACTCATTTTTATCGACTTTAGAAGGATATTGTTATTCTACCATCGTACCTGGAATGTTCCTTTTTTAATGGAATCTATTTCATTGTCTTGCAACTCGATGCGCCTGATTCTCTTCAAAAAATGAAATGACGTATCTGGCATTGATTTTATTTTATTATTACTAAAATCTAAGTGTTGCAGGTTTGTCAACGATTTGAATGGTTTATACGGCAGTTCGCTAAACGACGAAGACAGTCCGTGTGCAATTCTCAACGTCATTAATGAATTTCCAACCTACGTTATAATAACGTAAACATTTGAGCGATTGCTGTAAAAATACTTGACTGATATGTAACTAATCGTATTACCTCTTGGAAAGCATCATCCTCAATAGTGGAAATGGCGTTCTCAGAAAAGTCCAGGTACTTTATTCCACGAACGTGCGAAAAAGCATGATTCTTTATCGTTTGCAAGTTGCTCTTTATTACGCGAAGTTCCTTGACGTCCATGCCAAATTCGAGAAAATCGTTTTGTGACAGTGTGCCTCCAGGCATCCTGGAGATGGAAAGGAAACGCAAGTTTCGCATTTGCCGTAGATCCTGAAGTGAAACCATGCCGTTTTTCTTACCAGTGAGATCGAGATTGTAAAGTGAATACTGAAAACCGTTGAAGACCTCACCTACAGAGGAAGTATTAAAAACTGAGATTTTCTTCGGTAAGTGCACTACATACGAGGGCTCAAGTCATAACCAATGCAAAATCGTTTTCCATCCTGCAATGATGGACAACGATATTCACCGGTGGTCATTGACTTGCAGCCCTGGTAATACTAAAGGCATTCTTCCGCGAGGAAGGCAAGTAATTTTACTTGGATTAAAGGTATCCACAAGATTCTCTCGAAAGACCAAAGTACGCAGGTTGTCGTAATTCTGAAAGACGCTATTGGGCAGGGATGTAAGATTATTTCCAGCTAGGTCTAATAATTCCAAAGAAGACTCCAGACCCATGAAATCCGTCGATTCGATCTCGTAAATATCGCAGTCAGTGAAGTATAGTTCCCGTACCCTCGAATTTTTGAAAGCCCCTTGCTAAAATACATTAAAGCGAAAAGTATTTATTCTTTCAGTTTTTGTTCATCTACAACAACGGTGGAGATAAAGAACAAACAAATCCTCATCATCACCTCAATCTTCATAATGGGATTGCCATTGAGGTACGTTTTGTTGATTTTGCTGAAATGCTGGAAAGAATCGGGAGGCAGCATATTGATCTGATTGTAATCCAGCCTTAATACGTCCAAGGACATTGAGACGCCCCGCGCCTCCGCCTCTGTTTGTGGATGTATCATGTGGCGGATTCGATTGTAGCTCAAGTCTAATACTCGCATGCGCTTCAGGTAGGATAACTGCTGGTAGGGTATGTGGTGCAACTGATTATCGTTCAAATAAAGGTGAGTTAGGTGAGCCATGCCGTCCCGAAAAACCGACGGATCGATCTCTTGGAGACTGTTTTCGCGCAAGTCCAGGTACTCCAAGAACGTAAGACCGGCAAAAGCGTCGGCTGGCAGTTTGTCGATCGAATTGCGACCCATTCTAAGAGTTTGCAAAGAGTTTTCCAAGCCACGCCAATTGTCAGCAGCTATGTGCGAAATCTGATTACCTAAGGGGTCATAAACTCTATTAAGTAATAATGGCAATTTCCGTACACCCACGTGAGCTTAGTTCCATTGACACTTAATACTACAGACCATTCCAAATTGGCAGTGATAAATTGTAAAAAAAAAAAAAAAAAAAAAAAAAAAAAACCGGCTTATCGCTGNAAAAAAAAAAAAAAAAAAAAAAAAAAAAAAAAAAAAAAAAAAAAAAAAAAAAAGTCACAGACAATAGCATGATTAGACTAAGCTCTAACATGCAATCCTCACATGAAGACAACTTGTCATCATCAAATCGTCCGATCCTTCCTGCACAAATCAGAGTTTTTTTGTTTATGTAACGCTCAAAGACAGATATTTCCGCTGATGTAACCCGTGAGACGAGCCTAAGCCAATGCCTCGGACTCGCTAGACTACAGAGCTTCGTCACAGTCACAACAATAGCACTATGTCTACACGAGTGGGGAGGTGTACACCGAACGTCTCGAGGCCGAAAGGCGAACGTCCGTACATATGTATGATATTTAGTTTTGTTACCTGTTAGATCGAGAAGCCGCAGCTTCTGCAGATGTCTGAACGATTTGCTGGGCACTCGCACGAGACGGTTGTAGGGTAGTTCAAGCTCCCACAACGATCTTTCAAGCCCTACGAACGCCTCGTCTGGTATATCCGATAGAGGATTATGCTTGATCTGCAGCTTGTACAGCCCTGTGGACATAAGGCATGCACGTACGTACGTATTATACACAAGTGCTCCTTCTCTATCTGTCTCTCACTCTATTTGCATCATACAACCCCGATTTATTATTTTTCCACCCCCCCTCCCCCACATCTCGCTCTCTTGCTTGATTACCATTTTACCGATCACCCTCTTTTGTCTTTCAATTCCAGCCGATTAGACGAGATTAGCTGTATGGGTGTTGTGATGTGTGTATAAAAACATGTAAGATCCAAATGTAGCGTAAACAAAAGATTAGAACTGATATATTTACTACAAAAGAACTTCAGATGTATTTTCGTACAGGAAAGGAATGAGAGCATTAAGTGACATTAATGTGAGTTTATTTGAATGGTGGGGCTAAGCCCCGTGTAAATATTTAGTGTCATATGTATTAAAAGAAAAATTCACGTTAGTTTTACCTATAATTACTGATTTTTAGCTTGTTACTACTAAAAAAATAATGATAAAATTTAGGAAGTATAAAAAACCTGCTTAAAAAATCTGTAATATAATAAACATCATATAGCACTAGAAATCACTGCAGAGAGAGGAGAACTATTTATTGTAACTTAAGACAAATGATCGTTACTTATTTATATTGTATGTGTGAATATAAATAGTGCTAACAACGCCACTACTTTCTTGCAATAATTTCAGTAGAAATAACGAAATTAAAAACATTTAAGCAAATAAAATATGTATGTATCTAAGACAATGAAGTAAAATTATCATGATAAAGTCATGAGAGAAAAAAGGGAGAGACAAAATGAAAGAGAGACGCATAGTACACAAGGCTCTAATTACATGCACATACTGTTTTATAACGAAACTGTAAATACTTGTAAGAGGTAATAATTATTGTTAAATTTTCAACTGTAAAATACACTTTTTTAATATATATTTTCTACTCCTGAGGCTTCGTTCTGATACTCATGTTACACGATGTTTTGGAACACGAAACTAATCCGTGTGATCGATACCATGGCCGGTATCAAATTTCAAGATTTTTATGAACTTACTCCAAATATTAAAATCAACCAATACAGCGTAAGAAGTCGAATAATTATACGTTGGCCCTTATTTAATCAACATTAAATTCAAGTCAATCATCGCTTCGCTCTGGCGATTACCGGGATAAACATTTCTCCAGAGTTTCAATGGGCATTTGTGAGTGTACATAATATGTTCTTAATGAATGATTAACCCTTGACAATGCATGTAATTACATCTTCTGCGATAAATTTTAATCGTTTGTTCGTAATTGGTTTTGAATTTGTGAAAAATTAATTGTCATTACTTGCTCAGTTATTTGTCTTTGCTCCAAAATGTCAATAAATAAGCCCGTATAAATCAGTAAAAGTTGTCATCAATGCTTTAATAATTAAGTATACAGATGCCCAAGGGAACCAAAAATATTTTTTGTTATCAAGAAAAATGCGATCGAGCTGTAATTCATTATCAAATTACAAACGTAATTGGACTTAAATAGCCTTGATTAACCACGCTCTCTCGTGATGATAAAATTACGTAGTGCAAGCTCTTATACATTTAATATTGGTAAATATCATCGTAATTATAGCTTTATTCGTTCGGAAATAACATGAGTAATAATTAATCAAATTTTATGAGAATAAGCTGTATAATACACGTCGCACTTACCGGTGTTCATGAGAAAATGGGGCTGTATGGATCTCAGGCCATTATTTTCGAGCTGCAGCATGAAAACCTTGGAAGAGTTGATGTGGTAGGGTATCCGGGGCATAGGGACGTTGTAGCACGTGACGATCCCGAGATCGGGTATGACCTTGGAACAGGTGCACAGAGGATTGAAAAAGCAGGGCGGGTACTGGACCGGTAGCTGCCAGCTATCCGACCTGTAGTTGCTGCCGTGCATCTCGTGCAGCCGGACCGTCGACGCCCAGAACATCAGGATCATTGTGAAGATTATCGCCACGTAGCCGATCTTCAGAAACGTTATGAGATCCTGCGAGCACATAGTAAGATGCTGATACTGATATTTTTTTAATTGATTGCGGGCTCAATTTTGTACGATCAAAGATTTTTTTTTTTTTTTTACAGAAGATTCAACAGCATGATGGTAAAAATAAACTGTACATTACATTTTTCAGGGATATTTTCCGGTAACCGATCTTTTTCTCAGCGCATATCTTGGAAAACCGTACGAAATTTTATGAAATTAAAATTAAAAAACTCAGCCGTTAAGCTTGCCGGTATCGGTAGGGTATTTTTTCACTGTTCACAGGTCAATATTTTTCAATCGGCTTAGACTAGATAAAATCATATAAGTTCCCGGAACACGTGAATAACTTCGATATGGATCGTAACTTCAGCTTCGTTTCGTCCGCAATATTCGTGAACTTTAAGCTCGTTAGGCGTCGCGAAGCTAAAATTTACTACTTCGTGACCACTGCGCCGTTGATTATATTTTTTTTAAATAAAATACATAAAAATCAGTTAAAGCAATGGACAGGTATATTAATTCCAAAATTGTTATCTTGTACGCTCTAAAATCTTCTCTGCATAAACCACTGCTATAACTCTGTAAATTTTAACGAGCAATGAGTCATCTCGCTAGAACAGAAACCGCATAGTTATACCTCTTAGCCACGACAATAAAATCGGTAGGTCGACCCACACTTGACAGCCAAAAATCGTTTAACATAAAACACCACCACCACACCACTGATCACTATCTCTTTGAAAAAAAGAAGATAACTAAAGAGTAAAAAAAGAAAAAAAAGAAAAAAAAGAAATGAATAAAAAAACAAATGGTCCTTTCCTACCCAAAAGCTCTCCCCAGGTTTAGCCATGGCTGCAGGGCTCGCAGCAGTCTCCTGTACAAATGAGCGTACCCGGGCGCTTTGTCCTCCAGGGCACTGCACCCGTGTATATCTTAGTGTACAAGTACCGCGGGAGATACAGCCGAGCTCCCGGCTGTTACGCTACTAACGAGCGCAGCAGCCCTGCAACACCGGTACACTAACTTCTTATTTCCCAGGCAGCGCCTAACATCGGCACCTCGCGCACGATAGGTATATATGTGCGTGCCCAAAGGGACGCGCGGCGCGAGCTACTCCCTGGTGTACGAAAGCTACAATATACCAGCGACGCCAGTAGCCGATGGCTGTAGGAGCGCACACAGCGCTAAGGCTTCCGGAAAGCGCAGCGGGACATTTGCAGTGCTTCTCTTTACTCGATTACACGCCCATCTCCCTCTCTGCAAGTGTGTATGTATATACGTCATGCAGACGTTAGGGCTATGGGTTAGTTTTTTTTTTTTTTTCATCATACACACGAAAGAGTTTCTATTAGGTCGCGGATGGATGGAAGGAGTTTCGCGAAAACGTGGGTGTGGAGCACCGCTTTTCCTTCCAAATAGCTTCGACCGGTATATGACTGACCTCTTTTTTATTTCGATTCTTTTTTTTTTTTTTTTGCTCCTAACGTAAATCTTGACTCGTTACTTCATTGTTAACACGCTCGCGTTTTCTCGACGGTGACAATACGATGCGGAAAAAAGGTGGCGAGTCTTGAGGGACGCAACTCTATTTCGTTGCCTCGGTGTCTCGCGTTGAGCGAGAACACGGTAATCCAACGCCTTTTTCAGACCGTATACATGTAACATGTACACGCAAACGAATGGTACATCGCGACGGAGTATAAAACCTCAAGGATGCAGGAAAAACACCTTCGAACTCGATATCCGACACGACTCTCACCTTCCCTCCTGAGACTTGTGCTCTTGATCCCGATGCTTCGCGAGCGTTAAACTATAAGGGCTTTTTTTATGCGCGTTTGACTTCGAGGAACATCTGAAGATGTTTTTAGATCCATGGACCTTTTTTTTTTTTTTTTTTTTTTTATAAAGGTGATGAATTTGATTGTGATCCGTTGTTTCGAGACTTTTTTTTATAGACGTGCAGAAAAATATATAAGTTCAAAGGGCAATGACGAAAAAGTGCTTATGATAAAATGATTTTTGTATTTTCTTTATTTAAATAGAATTTGGCAGGGCTAAAAAAGAACTTTCAGATAATTTTAGCTTTCTCGTATGAGAAAGCAAAAACTCTTCAGTCTTCGACTTGGGGGTGGTAAATTTCTCAAATCATAAGCATGTAAAAATCCTCCATGAATCTTCGTAGAGTACACTAGCGATAAGCTACATATATTGCAGCTTTATTTCAGTGACCCCTGTTAAATAACTGCATGATAATAATTAAAAAAAAAGATAATAAAAATTTTGAAAATTAAACAGATGAATAAAATAATAGCCTTCGATTTTGTCGTTATCTTATTGTTTTAAAACTAAAGCCAGTGTAAATTAGCTACTCACTTGTAGTGTATTTCAAAGGAAATATACGTTTGTATGTAGATAATGTAGATTAATTATTGGCAGTAACTTTCCTCTAGTATTAAATTAAAGCCATATATTTGAAAATTAAAATTTTTCATTGTACAGTTTTTTTTTTTTTTNNGTGACTGTACATAAATATCGTTTTTTTTTTTTCAGATAGTTTAAAAAATTACAAACTCGCACGAAATACGTAGTAAAAGAGACGCCATTCGAGGCTGTTCATATACGTACCTATCAGTCTATTCTCCAGAGCTCCGACTCGAGGTACCGAAATATAATTTATGATACTTATAAGTATCGCGAATTTCAGTCACTTACGGTAAACGCGCGAATAATACTGCGTAGTTGTGACTTTGGTAAATTGATTTTGTAATTTGGCTCTTGACAGCGATTTCTTGCCAAGTTATGGAAAAACACTGCTCGGTTGATTTGTCGAACGTATCGCACATAATGACACCTCGCGTAACCACTAATAGATCCTCGTTACGTGGTGTATTTTTTGCATGTTTTTGTGGTAAAAAAAAATAAAAAAAAAGTTAGAGTTCCTTAATCACTTGTATAGTATTGCGCTTGCACGTAGTCTTTTGGGTTTACTGTCGGTGCGTCGGCCTTACTGGATTGTATATATATGAGCATCTGTATCCCCACACCGACTCCGATAGGTACTAACTCTATAGGGTATACAGACACAACATACGATTAAGGAAGCGTCATCTGGTGACTGCTGAAAATATCACGTAGCGAAAACAACAACTTACCAATACACTGGTACTCGATGCTGATTATACAGCTGATATACCGATACTTACACTGAAATGCACACGTACACTGTGACAAAAAAAACGAGATTCGCGTGGCGTACGTGCCGGTCCCCCCGCACGTTCGATTCGATCTGTATTTACGTATTTTTAAGATAATGAGATAAAATTAAGCGTAAAATTTTTCATGAAAATTTCAAATCGAGATTATTTTTAATTGCTCTTATGGAAAAAATATAGAAATCGGCTACGGATGTAATCGGGAATGTTCTTATCGATGTACAAAAAGTTTACGGTTGATCTTGATGCAATTTGGTTTTCAGATCAAGATGTACAAAACCCAGGTGCTGTCAAAATTTGAACTCTTAATATTAATTAGAATGAGAGTAATGAATTTTCAAAAAGTTGGGCCAAAATCGGTTATTCACAAAAATTATGATTTGCAAAAACTAAAAAAAAAAGAAATTTTTTTAATCAAAGAGAAAAATCTCCTTGTAAACCGTTTTTAGCGAGTTTGGACCATTTTTGTTCTTTTTTGTTAATTGACAGCCGTGCTAACATCGTACACTTGTTCAAGCTCAATATATTATTACTGACACAAATATTTAAAAGTAAAAAAGAAAATTCATAGCAATCAGTTAACTCTTGTGGAAACCCTCTTATCTTTTTATTTCTATTCAAGAGCAACGAAGAGGCCCAAAATAGTATAACGCCTTCGTTAAATTATCATCACCAGTTTGACAATCGGAAAGTACATGTAGCATAAACTAATTTGAAAAGTAATAAATTACCCAAACGTAACATAATTCAATGTTTCCATTCAATGTCTTCGTACTTTACTAATATCATTGACTCTTGAGATTTATCGAGTTAGTTTCCCAAAATATGTAACACTTAAGAGTACTTTGTGACTTATAATTAAAATAAATCTAACATTACGATGGCATTTATGAACGATTAAACATAAAATGGCAGGAAGAAAGGTGACTTACAGATACAAGTTGATGCAGGGCGCGTATTCGAGGATAATAAAGCTGAAAGTGAAGTACGCCAACACGAGCCGAGTTGTGACCAAGGTAAACGCGTCATAAAATACTTTCTTTGTACTTGAGGTGAGAAAATGTGGCCTGAGGTGCCGCCGAGCCTGTGAACAATGATATCGAAAAAAAATATTTAAATTTAAATTTATCCTTCGCAAACTCGTAAGTAAATGGTTGAGGAGTGTAGGACTCACCAATCGCGCGACAGTCGTGAAAAAGGCTCCATTCATGAAGGTGAGATAGTAGCCGGGGTAAAAGCCGTGCCAGAAGGAAGACAGAGCAAAAGTGAGCATCATTTTGTGCCTCTTGGCTCTCTCGAAAACCACCATCCTCAGCCATTTGTTTGTGCCCTTATTCCACGAATCTATGGCGTCTTTCAAATTTAACGCAGTCTATAAACAAAATTAAAAAAAAAAAACAACCCACGTTAATTTCAACGTCTTAAACAAGGAAAAGATTAAATCGAGATATTTTCCATCGAGTATACGTTTCGATAAGAATATTCTTGCACGACACTTCCGTACACAATTAAAATCTACGTATTTCTATATCTATTGTTGTTTAATGTGGTTAGATAAGCGTAAGGTTCCCACTTGTGGTGCATATGCAACCGAACACGTACGTACGTATGTGCGTCAGCTAAATTTAACGCGGATATCACGAACGTGTGAATACAACGAGCAAGAAAAAAATGTGCTACATCCATAAATTGAGATCACTTGGATTTATAAAAGTTGAAATTACAACTTTTACGATAACCCTCGCTTTTTGTTGGTGTGAACATCGTGGTTTGGATTCTTTTTTTTGCCGATTCAGTGGAAAAACATAGTTACGAGTAATCAAAGATAAACGTTTGGATACCTTGAAATGTCCATATGTATATACATATAAAAAATATTGTGTTGTAAAGATGTTTTGCGTCCCTGATCTACTGTTTTCTTACGTATTTCCACGCCGTATTGCATAGTGATAAATGTAAATTGGTGATCTGAAACGGTTTTTTTTTTTTTTTTTTTCCAAAAAAGTATAATTTAAAGTATATCAAATGTTTTTAACTTTGATGAAAAATTCAGAATGATAATATTTAAGCGAAAAAACCTATCTCTAGACAAAAACATATGTATTGATGTGATATCAAAGCTAATACTTTTTTGCCATTTATCAAGTAAATGGATTTAAACTTAGATAACATTATACCAGCTGACTTTTATCAACAATAATAAAGAAAAACGAAACAAATGAGTATTTTAATGAATCAACGTTCTAATGAGACATTGATCGTTTTTTTTTTATTTTAATCACGTATCTCTGGTAGTCTCGTGTTAAGCACACCTACGTTTTTTTATGTATTTTAAGTTAAAATTATAATGGCATGAAATTTAAATAATTTTTGCATACAAACCTTGTGGTTAAATATAAAATGATAGCGGTTCTAGTGGTCACGATTTTCGTAGCTTATGTCATACTTGATTATCGGCCATTAGGAGTGAGGATTGAAAAAATAATAACATATACCTCAAATGTGTACGGATCAACATTCGTCACTAGATCCCAACGATGTCGGCCCTTCTCGTCAACGCCATTAAAGCCCATGCCGGAATTATTGCAAATTGCATCTGCAAAGATCCAAGCGTGGTAATACTTAAATCGAACAAGCATAGTTGCCATTATCAGGTACCAATATTTGTACGCCATGGAAGTATTGTTGAGGAACTCGTCGTCTGTTAAAGAATATAGAAATTAATTAAATAATCGAGTCTCGTGAAACAAAGCGTCTATGGATTTAAAAAAATGTACTATGCCTTTAATTCTTTGAATAGGATACGATGGGAGCAAAGTAACGAAGATGAATGCGCATATCAAACTCTCGGTGACTTTCCTCAACACTGCTTTTCTGGGCGACGGCTCCAGCACGATTTCACTCGCTTGGCCGTTCTCGTCACGTGAACCCTGCATTTTTTACAATACAAGAAACGCACGTTATTATTATTATTTTTATTATTTTTTTTACGAGGATTTGGTAAATACAGTTAGTTTGTAACAAAAACTGTATAGTACTTTTTCTATTTGGAATATGGTGTATTAATAATCATACTTATTTTAACTGTGCTTATGGGTACATTTCAAGCGTGACTGTACATAAATATCGTTTGAAAAAGAAACTAGTTGAACGTTCATACGAGCTTTAATTTTATTAACAGAGTTGGTTCCAAAAAAAAAAAAAAATTTATTGTACCGATTATCGAATAGAAAAGTCCAAAACTATATTTATGTATCGCAACTGGAAACAAATGATGTTTAACGAGGAATTTTTTTTTTTTTTTTTTAATTTTTTAACAAAATGTTAATAAAAGTGAAACTACCTTCAAAACGTATTGTTGACCACGCCCATGAATGAAATCGATGTAGTCATGATAAAAAATAATAGGCCCAGCCATTAGTGTTTGAAAATGGAAGACATAACTGAAATATTCTATCACTGTGGGAACTTTCCTGTAAATATTTAATACATCGACATAAACATAATTATTTCTCAATCATGTTTCATTATCAAATAGAATGTATTTCATGAAACAAAAAGTTAATTATAATATGCAAAAATAACTTACTGTACGGCATGATGTCGCTGTGAAGGCGTAAGCTCGTCCTGCTTGCGTGACAAGCCGTCGTGCACGTTGTATGCCAGGCTCGTTACTTTTTGAGTTATCACCATAAGTGGACCTTAAACATAAAAGAAATAATATTATATAGAAACGAATCCACGTGAATTGTTAAGTTAACTGTATATTATTACTATTTTTTGTTATCTTGTAAAATACTATTTATAACACAAAATAACTTTGTATGGATAATAGAAGAAAAAAAATATTTCGTCCATGAAAAATCTTTGCAAAAACGGATTGGCTGAATGAGACATTATCTCATCAACATAACATTATTGATGATAACTGATCAACAGAACATACATTTTTGTGCTAAAGTTTTGCATTTATGTATAAATACTTTCATCGATGCACATAACTATTCACAACAATTCACATACCACACGCGATGTATTGTCACTTTGGGCATTTGAAAACTGTACGATTCATTCCCTATCGATCACACACTCGTTCTATATTCATGCACGCATACAACCTCTTTCTCTTCACATGTATTAAAATATACATATCTATCGGTAAGTTGTAATTAGTTTTAATTATGGTTGCTGATGGTCTTTTACAAATATATAGATAAAACTCTTTAGTTGTACATTGCTAATCGTACCCATTTTCATATATTGTATCCTTGAATTTTCTAATGAGAAAAATCTGAAAGACAATGACGTTGGACGATAACAATGAAAAACGATCTGGGTGCAAGGCATATTTAGAAAAAAAAAATTTACCGTCCGATAACTCGACTTGGCAATGCGCAAGTACAATGTATGTTTGTATACACATCGAAAACCGATTTGGGCATCCCAAATAAACGAAAGTTGGACCAGAAATATGACAGAAATATCATAGTGCTCTCATTTTCTTTGGGACCTCGTTTATTATTTCTCCCAGTGTTGGTCGACGAGTGAAATGGCTCCTTTCGGAAGTCAAACGTAGGTAGAGACGCGATCGGAAGCGGCGAAGAAAACCTGTACCCCCACCTTCGTGCTCTAAAGATAATTTCTCTTGGAAAAAGGAAGAGTGAAAAACTCTTTCGAAGCATGTAGGCGCAGCTTCCAACAATAAATATTAGAAAAAGCGAGGGAATCGCTTTTAACTCTTAGCGACTTTTTTCTCCATTCTAGAAAAATAATTAATCTACGTCAATTTTCGGCGATTCTTGAAAAATGTGCGCTTCGTAGTGTAATTTATTTACCAGTGATTGTATATTATAAACAAACAATTTTCCATGGATTTTATATTTGTAAAAAATGTATCTCGTAGTACTTTTTTTCTAATTTACAAGCGGTATTTAAATGTTTTGTGCCAGGGCACATATGACACGAGCGTCATAAGAACAAAGGTTTAGGAATGACAGTACTTATATTAAAAAAATTTTCCCTGGATTACAGTCAGTTTATGATATTTTTTGTGGTCAATTCATGCGTTTTTAAAGTGATTAAAAACATTGGTTTTACTTAAACACGTCTCTATTGGTACTAGAAAAGTAAAATCGAAGATATGTTTGTCCATTAACTTTCTGGTGAAACTAGTACGTTGTCGATTCACTTGTTCTCGTAGTTTACTAATGTTATGAAATATTGGCTTGTATAATAAAATTTTCTTTCATTTTCAAGGCTAGCACTGAGATATTAGATTATTTTACGAAATGTATTATTCGTTCAACCAATAAAATCGTATCATTTAGAAATTAATTAATGAAGGATAAATTTAAATTTCAAATTAACGATTTAGAGTTGTATCTAGATTAAATTCTTACTTGAAAAATTTCGATTTATAATGAGCTCAATTGAATGAATTAAAATCTGCACTTCAGTGGATTTACTTAATTAATTAAAATAAATCGAGAAATGCGAGCCAGAGCCTTTGATCAAAGGTTTTGTACAGCTCCGACTCAGGTTACATCAATGATTGTTGCGATCAGATCTACTGGAGATTTTTTACATATTAAAAAGTTAAATGCTACATGTTTTACATTTATATATCGATAACAGGGATTATTTTGCACTCGTTTGAAAATTACAGTACTTAGTAATGATTGTACAAGCAATCGCGACCTTTTTAAAAATCTTTTGTGAAATATTTCATGTAAAATAGAACTTATTGGAGACAAGATGTAAAATAGCTTTTGTTAATTCCAGTACAAGCATTGTCGGTAGAGGCATCGTTTCTTGGTCGATAGATAAATACGAAATGAAATTTTTCAATTAANTCATCGAAAATATGATAAAATTGTTTTTTGAAAAAAAACTTGGCAAAAAAATATTTACTCATATTATTTTACATATTTTCAATTAATTTTTAGTTTATTCATTTTAATCCTAGCAATGGACGTTGCTACTGTATAACAAACAATTTTTACCTCCATAGTTAGACAATTAACATTTTCTTTAATATTTATTTTATCAACATAACGTGTAGCTTCCAACGTTAAAGAAAAGAGGATAACAGTTTTCCTCGTAGCTACTATCAATCAATCGAAGACAGTCCGCAAGTCAACCCACATCAATTAACTTGCTCTACGGCCAACCTAATAACCAATTTCATTATTGACGCTTACACAATACGTTCGGGCATTCAAAAGCAACAAAATCCCAACTAAGATCCCGTCACGAGATGAAAAGTCGCGTGAGCGCACCAGTACATGTTATACGGCCGCGTTTCCTCGTAGCCTCGTTCATGAGACAGAGAGAAAAAAAATATCGTACGCTCAGAGTACCCACAGCGCTTTAATGATGACGAGGCCAAGATCACCGGTTGAATTAAAACTTTTTTTTTTCTTTCACCATAGCTGTTCTTAATTCGCGCAGATCTACAATATCACATTAACATCGATCCGATACGAGCCACCATCGGCCGGGGGGTGGATTTCTATTAGAAGCATTGAATTAAGCGTACGACTGATCTGATTACATGGTATACAGAGCCACTTTGGCTCGACAAATTAATCGTAAAAAGGTTATCGTTTAACTTGTAGATTTGTAATTGTGTCTTTTTTTTATATATATTTTATTCATGTTACAAAAGAAGTACATACCTCTGTACGTAGTGAGGACTCTGTGTGCGCAACGCGATGTAGCACAGAGTCGGCAGCCCCGCCAAGTGCATCGTCTGGCTATATCGTACGAAAAGAAACAGTATATTCATTAGTTACATTGTTTGTAAAAGAGTACGATTTTTCGTAAATCAAAACTTAAGATTTTATTTGCACTAAAAATATATCAGAAGCTGTTTTAACAACTGTGATGTGTACTTGTAGTGGCGGGAGAGATGTATGAACAATTCGTAATTGTGAACTGTAGATTTTTGTTTTTAAGCATTTTGGAAAAATCAAGGGATTTTTGGCACTGATAAAATTTTATTTTTATTTATTTTTTATTTTAATTCACTACTTTTTCTAGATGGCTATTGTACATGGGGACAAAACATGCGTGAAAGTTTAGTACAACAAATTTACCTTCACACCCTTAAAAATACTCAGCCATACGTTGAGTTGTGTAATACAAATAAAACAATGACGAATTTGATCATTTAATAAAATTGACAATCTGCAAAATATTTTATCTCATGAATTTGAATTGATGAACTTCTTACAGAAGAATACTGCAAATATTATCTATAAGCTTGTAGAAATATACGATTACATCAGGAATGCATAACGTTTGTCAGGATTATTTATTGTTAAAAATTAAAATGATATTACATTAAATAAAAAATATTTAAATTTTAATCACAACAAAATAATTGAGCGACCATAAAATTTTTAACCTCTACAAAATAAACAATAATTTTTTTAATACTGTGTGATTTATTTGAGGGTATTGAATGATAAAAGTGAGAATCAACGTTACCTGCCAAAACTGAAGTATACAAGAAAAAGGCCCATGATGAGGCTGAAGGCATGTCGGGTAGTTGGGGACACTGTTTTTGGACTTAAAGATTTCCTAAGAAATCCAGCCAACGCCAATGCCGTAAACTGAGTTATCATAAAATTAATCTGGAATAAAAAAAAGAAAATATCCTTTTTATTCATTGATCTTGGAAAATGAGTGTTATGGATTTTCGGATATTTATGAATTTTACTAAAAAAAAGCATTATTTTTATGATTTTTTAATAAATCATTGTGAAAAAAAAAAAAAAAAAAAAAAGAAATCTTAGCTTCTGATTAAGACTCATTCGACTTAAATTGCAAGTCTGGATATTAACATATTTGTATTATTATCATATTTACAAGTACGAAGCGCCATTAACACCACAGTTTATGGCACTTCGTACTTGTATGGATTGTAGGTACCATTATGGACTCTCCTACTCCGCCCTCTTATTGGCTCCTTCTTCTCTGGAGCCCTATACTACTCAGAACGTGAGTTCAGCAGCAAACACACTTTGTATACATTTACGCCGCAGTATGGTAACCAATCGTAAGCTTAGAATCATAATATCTGGAAGAGCCTCGCACGTAAAATTAAACCCGTGTACAGCAAGAATTGTGCTGCCATTGCAGTAATCAGTACATCTCCAAAGCTTCTACAATATATTACTTGTTGTGTATTTAACGTTTAGATAGATAGAACATAGATATCCCAAAAATTATTAAATTCATGTAGTTGCTTTAGTAAAAGTTCCTATTACTTTTTTTTGTGCAATGCTATTGCTTCAATACTTAATTGCGATGCAATTTCCCTATACCTATCCGACTCTCCAAATCCTACAGTCCATAGAAAAATTATGTTTCTTTCGAGTAGAAGATACACGTTTTTGTGTCCCTTTAACATAAGTTTGTCCTCTAATACCACATGCTTAATTAAAATCAACGATAACTGGAGGCCACGTTGAACAATGTTTCCTAACCTAAAGCCAAGAAATCTATAAGCCAGCATAGTAAGTATGTTTCAAATACGTTGTACATACATATTGTGTCATCGAAAATATGATAAAATTGTTTTTTGAAAAAAAACTTGGCAAAAAAATATTTACTCATATTATTTTACATATTTTCAATTAATTTTTAGTTTATTCATTTTAATCCTAGCAATGGACGTTGCTACTGTATAACAGCTCGTCCTTCGAACTAAACTTATACTGTCTTAGAATACAAACAAAAGACCAACAAAATATAATTTTTTAAACACTCACTTATTATTACAAGGAGATTTGATGTAGAGATAAAGTCGTTTACACTGAGAGAAAAAATAAAAATTACTCTGCTAAAATAGTAAACTAGTATCATTCCGTTATTTCGGGACTTTTTACTTTTAATAGCCTAATTTTTATTATGTTAAATTATTTTTGCTGTGTAAAATGTAACGTAGAAAATTATTGTACAAACAGTTCAAAGTTTTTAAACAATGAAATCATATTTACCAGATTACAATTCTAGTATAGTATTTTTCATAATTTTTTCTCTCAGTAAGGATGTAATAACTATGTTCTGCCAACTAATCCATACTTACCAATCAAAAGTAAACAAATTGTCATCATAATTTTCGCTTCTATATTATATTGAAATTCATATGGCATACATAAATTGCCTTATGCATTTGTCGATATAGAAGTTGGAAATACACGATAAATGTACTAGTAAGAAATAAAATTTATTTTATTGTTTTAGTGACATAACTATTGACACCATCAAACAGCGCAGACACTGATTCCAAATTTTCCACAACGGATTTGTACCATCACTTTGACAACTTAAGTGATGTTCATTATCGAAAAGGACCACAACTCACCATGAATAACTTGTATAATAAACAATGTTTATATTTCCTAAATAAATCATGCTTTAGCTATTCTGACCAATTTAGATAAATCAATTTCTCATTCTTTTTACATAGTTCCATTAATTAATTCCCCACACATTGATTAAAAATAAATTTCGTCAATGTAAAAAAATGTTTATTTAAATACAAACAAGAAATATTTATTTGAATGAAATAAATGTTTATTGAAATCAAATAATATTAATTTAAACCAAATAAATAATTTTTTGTAACGTAATACTTAACATACTTAGCTGAATATTTATTTCATTAGAAAAAACGTTTTTTTATTCAAATACACGTTTATTTGGATAAACGAAATTTTTTTTTTTTTTTAGTGAAACCAACAATTTACATACTTTTAACCAAGACTATCATTCATTGTCTCAATAATTATCGTTTAATTTTAATGCAATGTATACACAAGAGTTTGTAAAAATACTAGAAAAACATAATTCATGTTGTAAATTGAGAAACAGTAACGCAGGTATAAACAGTCAGTCAGACGTTTTCTGCCGACTCATGTTTTCACGTGGTACGATTCTGCTTTATGAAGTTTATTCATTTAGTTTGAAGTTTTTGTACCTGTGTACTTGAGATATTTAAAGAAATAACACCAGCTATATTTATTTTACTTTTTTTAGTGAAAGTTGTAATTTTTTTATACATTTTATATTATAGCTATTTCTTACAAATTAAGTAAATAAAAATATCGATTTTATGCAAAAGGTAAAGAAATTGGCTGGAAAAAATTTAAGAGGAATAAAATTTTCTATTCAAGAGCAACGAAGAGGCCCAAAATAGTATAACGCCTTCGTTAAATTATCATCACCAGTTTGACAATCGGAAAGTATGATACATTGAAAAGTAGTTGAGTCTCACATTAAGTATTGTGCACTTGTGTGTTGCAAGATGTTTTTTTTTTTTTTTTTTTTTTTTTTTTTTTTTTTTTTTTTTTTTTTTTTTTTNTTTTTAAAATTATATGTTGATAAAAAATTAATTAAATTTCTCAAAAGAAGAGCTTAGTAAAAAAAAGAATTTTTACAGTTCTATACTAAAGTAAATTTATACCTACAACTAAAAATGTAACGAGTACACAAATAATATTCGAATCAGCAAATCAACAACCATCCCAAAATAATCAAAATTAAGTGTGCCGCGATCATACTCCTGGCCCCAAGTATCTAGAATCAAGTTGTATGTTAACATGTAATTCGCATTATGCACCCAAATGTCGTTCTTTCAAAGAAAAAAAATCAATATAATTTTTTTTCAAACCATTTGAGAGTCAAGATGATTCTATTACATGACTTTTCACTCACACTCGAGAGATGACTGTCCACTGAGAATTATATGTGTTTATGTATGCTTACATGCCATTTGTGCAGGAAACAAACGTGGCCTCGTTTACTGAAACTCACACATTATGCACACCTGCCAATCTACAAAACCTATACATCCAAGAGACATGCCTGTATCGGAAAAGCTCGATCACTGCATTCCCCTTTGCGATTATCTTAGCTTTACGTTGCATATATGTATGCGCATGAGACGCACCCACCCATGCGTCATTTTTTTATTTATAGATATCGGTTTCACAAAGTTTCGAAATTCACTCAAATGTTGCATCTAGTAACGAGCCGGATCTATTCACTGAGTTCATGTGATATCATTAATTTAATAGTCACACTGTGTGAACTTCATTGTTATGCCATCTGGTTTATTGATCTTTAGATTGATCGCGTACACCGTTTGATCACTATTTTATTATTGCAGTATACGGCCTAAGTTTCTAAACCACGTTTGGATAATCCACACGAGGAATCTTGGTGCAAAAATAAATAAAAAACACGTGAATATGTGAAGCATCAAATATTTTATGATTTTACAAAATCGTTGTTACTGATTGAAATTCAAATAAAAACATTAGAATACTTCAAATTAGCGTTTTTTTTTTTTTTTTTTCTTTTTTTTCACTAATGAGGAAAGAACTTTGCACTCTTAATCATTTCATGTAACATAAATTAGTTTTAATTTTACAAATTTACACACATCTAAGTTCATTGTTTCGTACATTACGAGAAAATTAAAAGCTGTTTTCTTAATTCTTCCATGACTTCTACTATAATTTATCTTAACGAGTGGTTTTTTTAACACCTCGATTTAATTGTATTACAATTAAATAATGATCAATTAAAACTGTGTTTTTATCGATAATTGCTACTAATATTCTAAATGGATGTAAGTACATAATTTGTAACCATAGAAAAAACATTCTCTGTTATACAAGCTGTTAAAAGTACGTTGTTGCACTACAACAAACTTTTGGACATTCAAGCAAATAAACTAATTTAGAAAGACAAATAATTAAGGTACTGCTCGGAAATATCATTTCGATATCTACAGCAACTTCTACTGGCTACAAATATTACTTCAATTCTCAGACATATGAGACCTCGCTAACCGAGACATTAAAATTAGGAAACCAAACAGTATACTTTTTTTTTTCGTTGTTAAAAATTGCCCCCACAGCTTTGTTAAGAGAACATGGCTCTGCGTGGACAAGTGCTATTGTCGTGCTTCGTGTTCAATCACATGTTCCCTTACCTCTTACTCTTTGCGTATACTTGTACTGCTTTAGAGTTAGAGTGTAATTACTTAGACAAAAATTTATACACATAAAAAAGTTGTATGAAATAATTCGTGTATAGATGACTGACATTGCATGTGTACACACCTGCCCTCCATTTAAATAGCTTATCGGGACAGAATCAATGCCAGCTGAGTGTATACTTCTTTAGCAAGGTTTCACGTGAAATGTTTCAAATATGGAATTGGCAACTAAATGATAATGTGACTATTACAACACTCTAATAGCAGTTTGTAACAGATTTCTTGTTGGATGTATGGTATTAACAATATTAGTTTTTTTGAAACGATAAATATAAATTTCATCAAAGCGATTAACGAAAATTAGTGCTTGCACGTAGGTTGACGTGAGGAGCTGTTGAAACGCGTAGGTTGTGTTAACTACCTGGTTTTAACGATAAAATGAAAAAAAAAAGTTAAAAACCTTACATAAAAACGAAGAGAAATTGATGAAAAAAAAAATTCGCGTATTTATCTATCTATCATTCAAGAATATCAATAAATTCTATGGTAAATTTCGAATGAAATCGGACTGCCAAACATCTCTACATGTCTGTTACCACGAGTAACTTTTCAAATAACCTGATGTTTTCTCAGTGCCAAGTATGCGCTTTGCATTTCAATCGATGACGATCGAACGATAGTAAAAAATCTAATTTTAAACCAACAGCTATATCCACGCCTTCAAACATCGTCTTCATCATCGTTGTGCGAGAAAGCATCTTTGTGTATGACGAGTACACCCGATCTTCTTCAAGGACTTGTGCGAAACTCACGGATTGCTGCTTGAAATTCACGAAAAATATCCCATTTTTGTCCCTCATTTTAATAAAAAAAATTTTTTTGAAGCACACCTTCGAGATAGGGTTAATTTTACTCGTAATAACATGTTCTATGAGGAAAAAATTTTGAACACGCGCGGGTTTCAGTAAGGGTGACACTCTTTTTCCGCGATTTACATGATATGATTACATCTATACAGATTATGTTGAGAACACTGAAATCCGTGTTCAAAATTTTTTCCTCATAGTTTATAAAATTACGAGTAAAATAAGCCTGGTTTGGAGGGTATGCAAAATTTTTTATATTAAAATGAGGGACAAAAAAGGATATTTTTTGTGGATTTCCTCATATACGTACGTTACATGGCACTCTTGTTTTGAATAAATTCGTACGTTGGCTAAAAGAGAGCAAAATAATACAGCTTGTGAGTTCAACAAACGAATCGCAGATATCGGGAATCTGTGTAATTTTTTTCATTCATGAATTGTTATAATCTCGACGGGTCTCTTTGTGTCTTTTTTTGTTGTTTTTTTCTATACTTATTGTGCACTAGTTGATTTTAACTCGTTGAATTCGTCGTTGTTACACCAAGCTTTAATTGTACTAGAGTATCGTCAATTTTATTACGCCTTGAACTTACGAATGATTATCATCCTAATAAATTTGCAATTTTTTAAAATTATTATTATATCGTCTACCTCTTCTTTTCATATTTCCATCGCTAGCTACGATTTTTTTACTTTTTATCTGTAATGAAGCTCTGTGAAAACGAACTCTCAGAGAAACTATTTGTCATTTGTTGTATTATTTTTCAACTCAGAGTTATACGGGGAAAAAAAATTTCAATTGAAGAAGTTTACTTTTAATTTAGTTAATATACAATTGACAGCAAGTTTTGAATTATGAAAGAGAAAATTCATCTGGCAGGTCGAATCAGAGCTGAGAAAATTAGCTTTTTTGAAAGAACTCGGTCAGAAGTAAAGTGTTTGAAAACAAATAACAGACTCTTCTTCTTAGCATGTTAATGTAAACGGAATACTGATTCTTTTTTTTTAATCATAAAGCAATTTTATGATTACTATAGATATGCAATGATTAAAAACGTGACTCACTGCAGATAAGCCGCTTTGTAATTCGATAAACAAACAGAACGAACACAACCCTTTTGATAATAATGTTTGAAGACCAAAATGTACTTGAATCATAGATTTCGTCGGAATTTTTCTAAAAAAAGAGTTGAGCTCGGAAAAGAGCAAACCGAAAAGAAAAAAAAACTAAGAACCTTCTGTATAATACATCGTGCAATGAAGTTTTGGGTTTACTGTCAGAGCCCCACAGCTATAGCCAATAAAATTACAATGAAGTGTCTGCACATGTATGTACCTGTATATGTAGTCGTACTTACACCAAAATCGATGAAACAAACTCTAATTTCTTCCTTTCTTTCTTTTTTTAACAACGTAAAAAATAAATAAGTCAACGGTAGGGCAACAAAAAACGTCTAGTACGTGTCCGCTAGGTCGACCACAATAAAATGAAGCGCAACGGCAGTCTGTGGCCTGCTCTCGTCAGTAATGTATCCTTTTCTCAAAATACGTTTGCCTGTTACTACCCGAATGAAGACTACTGCATTTGGAAAATTTTTCTCAAAAATTTAATTTAGTTTTTCACACTGTACTGTGGATAAAGTAAGATACTAGTTTACGCGACGCGATCGGTTAATTGTTGAAATTATGTCAAAAGTTCCTTTGTATGAAGCTTCCCGTCAAAGATGACTTTAGGATTTTTTCTGGTATGAATGTGAACAGTGTCACAACGCACATTCTAAACACAATAAAGCAATTGTTTAAATTCTATACCTACCCGCAGTACAGTGTTTCTTGGCGGACAAGAGCGCGATTCATGTAAGTATATACGCGACCTATTAACGCTCATTGATAGCGAGTAGGTGCAATGAACAATATATTGTTTTTTCACGTCTATTTGCATTTACGTACGAATTAACGCTCTGTTTTATAGATTTCTCGTCAAATATTCATCATTCGCGTACAATGTACAAACATCCACAATAGAGATGTACAAGTCGGTAACGGAGAAGTAACAAAAAAACAAAAAAAAGAGTTATTCGAGGCCTCAATTGGATTAGATTTTCAGCCCCAGGCCGACAGTAATAAAACCAAAGAATTTATTGAATTTTTCCCCGTTGACTATAGCGATGACAATAAATTTTTATTTCACGCTAATTGGACCACCGATCGATCGGTAAATTCCCTCGTACCAATACGACCAAAATTTACTTCCGCACTAAAACAAAGCCCACATAAGTACGCGCGTGCACGCGCCTCTATTTGTACTGTCAGCTAATCGACGGGCCGAAATGTAACATATATCTGCGGCATGAGAGCCAAATCTAGATAAGCCGGCTTATCGATGGTTCCATCCTTGACACCGGCAACCAGCAACTTGCGGTAACGTTAGGGAGATCGGCACTAGAGAGGCTTATTAAGTATCGGCATCGGCAAAATCAACTCCACCCGCTATCTTGGGCTCAACAAGTGTAGGTACCGATGTAGAAGATGAGGAGACAATCGCGAGGAAAGATGTCGTCACCAGGCGTTTCAAGGTTACAATAGTACATATATATAGGTATTGGCAAACGCGTGCGTAAACGAAAAAAAAAAAAAGAAAAAAAACGAAAGTCACCTTTGCACGCACCCCTTCATTATCGTGGGTTTAATTACATTCGAGCAATGGTACAAAAAATTGCTGTGAAACCACCGATCTTTTTTATGCTTCGCTTGTTTTAGGAAAATTAGTGTGTTTAACGTGCCACGGTACAGCATTATCAGTATGAGTATTACAACGCCACTAGAAACCTACATGTGCGCACTAAAATGAACTTACGGCTCTAATTTGTTTTTTAGTTTCTTGGAGAAAAACTGAAAGTGTTGGAATGAGAAAGCTAATGCAATGAGTTTCTTTTGTAGATAAGACAAAGTCTTACTGTTGAATTGTGGTTCATTGTTAAAATACTGTACACGATACAGGTGTTGTTAGATTAAAAGAGCCAAGATTAATTTAATGAATTCAATAAATTAGCTCAACTAACATCATGATGTTTTTATTAAAAGTTTACTATGTATAGAATTTTCGAATTTTAGGAGCTCATAAAAATAAATTCTAAATTTTTTACCCATTTAAGTACGCTGAATTTCAAAATATCATGTATTGTACCATAATTGTTGAATAAAAAAATCTCGTGTAACAGAGCTTTTAGATTCAAAGGGCTTCCGGCATAGAATGTTTGATTTTATTGAAAGCTTGTAATAATCGATTCTACGAGGTTTTGTTCTTCTAAAAGAAAAGCCACGCAGGCAAGGCTCATTTTTTAATTAGATTCAAACTCAACACTACAAAGAAATAAAACAAATAAACAGGATAAAAAAACCGGAAACCAGTATAAATTATAATATTTTTAATTGAAACTGGGGTGAAATTAATGTATATTAGTTTTTCCATCGAAAGCCACCTTTAATTTTCAATGTTATGAAACATTCCTTTTAGAAAAGAATTTGTAATCTTACATGATTTTAAGTATACATGGAGAAATGAGAAACTTGATATGACACTCATTTAAGGTTTCCATTGTGGAATCTTCAAAAAAATTTCTTTTTCTGTTCCACAATGCAATGCTCGAGAAAACTAAATTGTGTTAAAAAAAAAAAAAAAAAAAAAAAAAAATCAGGAAAACCAGTTGCTAAAAATATAGATCGAATTCATCGCGTGTTCCGTAGTTTCTTCACATGTGAGTATACTCAAGAACATTTTTTTGCGGAATTACTCGTATAATATCTACTGTCTCACGATCTATACGCCATCTCCAACGAATTATAAGGATGTCGTACATGGAAGAAACGAAAATCTACGTAAGTGTTTAACAATGCAAGGGGTAAGGCATGAGAATAGCGCATAAGTCATACTTATACCTCCCTCTCAGATATAAAAAAGAAAAAAAAAATCTTACGAGCGAGTCGTTTTGCCATCATCGTTTTATCCGCAACGTCCACGTAACGGTTCGTTATAACAGTATGGGTCGCACATACATACACGTACACAAATTCGCAGAATCTGGTGAATGTATCATCCTCTATATCTATGTATCCCACTCACCCGACCTCTTTTCACATTCAACAGTTCAATCTCCAGTGCACACGAATTTTATTGTACCATTGTATATTATATACTCGATTACTCCTTATTTATATAATACATATATACGCATAAAATTTACCCTTATACGGTACTCTAATTTGGTGTACAATAATCCATGCAGGCGGTTGCTCCAAAAAACAAAACCCACCCACACGTATATAATACATACACGCGCACATACGTACAGCACCGGCATTTCGGAGCGCAACGTCTTCTGCTTTGCTCCAAAATGCTTGGGCTTAAATTAATTTTCCCTCCTGCTCGTGTTCCAAAATACCTCGCATAAAAGTACGTACGTCCAGGAGATTGGAGTAGGGAAAAAAGAAAGAAAAAAATAAATAAACAATGAAAAAAAAATAAATTCGGTGCTTAAAAAAAAAGAGGCAAATATTTATGGGGCGGTGAGCTGATGTATCTTTTTACCGTAGGTATGCAGGATGCAGGCTTTATAAGAGGAATAGATAGAATGTACGCGTATGGCATAACTCACTTGGTCGATAGGCACACCGGCGAACTCAGAGAGCCAGGAAAAGGTGCGGAATCCGTCGTAGTTCGGTTCGTCCAGGATCACTGCCATGGCTATAGTTTTCAGACCTTCTCTGGCTCTGTTTTTTATTTATTTATTTATTTATTTATTTATTTCTATCTCTTTAGCCGAGATCAAGTGCAGCTGTGATACTGTTAATTTACTCTGATTTTTTTTTTTTTTTTTTTTTTTTAATTTCTACCAACACTCGCAGCTTCTGCACTGCCTATTGTGGATATAATAAAACAGTCGCCACTACACCAGCCCTCTCTCTTAGTACGAGCTCGTCCCGCTCTTTAGGCACACAACCATCAACAACCATCCTTACCACGGCACTGGGTAAGCGAGTATATATAACATGGACCACGGGACGTGGTGTCGTAAAATACATGCTATGCTGTGCGATAAAGCGCGCGCGCACGCCAAGCGACTTTTAAAGTGTGGCTGGCTTGCGCGCAGTTTGGCGAGGCACTGCCAACTAAGAAGTATATACTTACTCTATTCTCTATTGCTCTCTCATACACTACTTACTCCGTCATACTGTGCACTAGTGTAACTACGGGTTTACCTAAGTAAGTATACGTGCCTTGTGCGATGCGCCGTACCATACCTATGCTTGGCTGTATAGGTAACGTGGCCGAGTTAACGGAGGCGATGATGATGTTGCGACAACGCCTACACGCGCTGCTCGTACCGAAATTGCCGAACTGCCGATCTCCGGCCTACAGGAGGCTCAAAAACTTCCAAAGACAAGAAAAAATTCAGAAAAAAAAATATTTATTTTGGAGTTCGATAATTGTAAATAACCAAAAAAATATTATGAGTCACCTGAGGAGTAGTTAAAAAAATCTAAATAATTTTCAGTTATAAAAGAATCACGTTTTTTTTTTTTTTTTTTTTTTTAATATTAAGGGTGGCTTTTTTATGGTAAAAAATTGAATGATGATAAATTTGACGAGTTTCAAAATCCTATGAAATATAATTATGAAGTGCTTCAATGATACATCTCTTGATAATTAATGTAGGGCCATCTTTATTTATTCACACCAGAACGAGAATTAGGATTTTGGAGCAACGGAAGCTATTTTTGATTGATGCGCGTACCGTCAGTCTCTGCAATATATTATTTGCTACTTATTAAGTGTAAGAAAGATATATTAACGTAATTAATATACAAATGTGCAGCCAACAATAACAATGCACGAATTTTTGTTTGTTTGGGTTCTTGTTGTTTTGAAAATCCTAAAAAACAGAAATAAATTAACACTGAAAATCTTACGCAACTTCAAATTTATTCCTCAATTAACATGCAACTGTGCAGCTAGCGAAATATTCATAACAATAAATGAAAATACAACATAAATTAAATTTTTTAACTTAATAATTGTTATTTTTCCATTTATGAGGTTTCATTCATTTTTATACGTCGCTTATATTCATTTCAGTATTTCATTCTTTTTACGCAAAACTGTGTACATGTACGATGGCATATAAGAACATGTATGTATACCAGTGCTTACGCTCGTGAACCACCCCCTCTTATTTTTGACGTGTCAACACAACATATCCTTCTATTTGTATTGTCTTTTTTTTCATTCCTCACCAGCAATTAATTTTCCGCTGCCCGTTGACTATTCATTACTACATTTTTTTTTTCAGGATGAATTTCATTTAGATCAGGAAAATAATTTTTAATAATATAATTACAAGTTTAATTAAGTATAACATTTAAATACAATATTTTTAGCTTGAAAAACTGTGCGGTCAAAAAACAAAAACAGCAAATCTACAGGTATGTAGATATGTGTGTTATTTGACAGCTTTTTCAAGATTACGTACGGCAAACTTTTGCTCTCCATAGAATTCAGGGCAGTATTCAATAAAAATTACCACTCCTTCCATTTAAGTGATATTTTTTCAACATCAACATTTAAAGACCTATTAATTCACTTATTTTTTAAGGAAAGAAATAAAAAAAAAAATTTTTCACAGACACATCAAAAATTCGTTTTATTGAACTGCTGTTTGTGAAAAGCACTAGTAAAAAAGTAAAAAACGGCTTAGGAACGGAGAGTTCGCGATTTCCATTGCGTGCGAACGTCACTCTTACTTGGATTTCGTCAAATAATTTTTTTATGTTTTTATTTGTTTTTCTTTTTTTTTTTTTTTTTTTATAGACAAGTGCCGAACTCGGGTCTGAAAAAACAAAAGTTCTTATTAATGATAATTATTAATCTGCAATCATGTTTTCAGTCTAAATATTGGTAATTTTCGAAAACAAACAAATAAATAAATTAAGATGAGTTCTTAATTAATAATAAATAAACAAATAAATTAATATAGTATGACGTAGAAAAAGATTTGTAGAGGTGTCTTAATGTCTTAAAAATTGTTATACGTTTTTTAAGATTTTCGAGATGTCAGTTTTAATCAAATATTGATGATAGGGCTGCTGAGCAATCTTAAAAAATTAAGGTGAGACTTGAATTATGCACACCGCTGAAGTTATATATAAATCACGCGATTGTACATACATATTATGCAAACATAAAATGTAGAGCTATAGTTGAGTGTAAATAAGGTCATGCTTATTTCTGAGTCCACAGTATAATGTTTACGGTGGTGTGTGGTTTTTGCAGGTGTGCAGTGTTGCAAGATAAAGTGTAAGAAAACTTTTTTAAAAGTTAAGGGTTATGAAGGTGAATTAGCTAAATCTCAGAGTATTTTGAATGTTAAAATTAAAAAATTTTTAAAAAATACATAAAACCTTGCATAAAAAATTTTTCGTGAACTCAAATAAATGTTTATTTAAAAATAAAAATAATATTTATTTGAATAAAGCAATATTTGGTTAAATTTATTAAATAT